GTCGAATTTGATTTGCGTTTCGAGCAAAAGACACAAATTTTGGTTGATTTCCAGCCCCAAGTACCAGGCGCACAGAAATCAGCAGCAAGCTGCAGTTTATTTTGCAAAAAAGCAAAGCATACTTTTATGCTGAACAATTTTGGGACATATTAAAAAGCAGTGCATACTTTTTATTGCAGGGCATTTTAAGACCCAAAATATTTAATTGCATACTTTTACTGTGACGAAAACTTGTTTGGCATGCAGTAAAAGTATGCTGAGCTTTTTCTAGTAGTATTCAGCAATTCCTGCTGATGATGAAAATGAAGCTGAAATTAATAATTTTAGATTGCAATGTTCAATGAAATGATGCTAAATATTTTAAGCTCTTCGATAGCATTTGACCTTTTCAGCTAAAAAAAATGCTGACCTTTTCAGTATTTTATATTTTTTATTTTTATTGGCAGTTGTGGCAGCGATCCCAAACTGCAACAGCGAAATGCCCAATTAATATTACTCAGTGTCAAAGTATGACACTCTGACTGCACAGATTCGATATAAATAAATAAATGATGGGGAAAACCAAAAGGAAAATGGCAAAAATCTTAATTGCTGCCACATGGAAAAGTTGAAGAAAGTTGAAGAAATTGTAACTTACTTGCTGAGCTCCAACGCGCAAAGTTGAACCTGTGAGTTATGTGGGAGCTGCCGGGCGTCAAGGGGGAAAGCGGGAAAGGGGCAAAGGTCTGTGAGCGGCAGCGCAAATGACTTCATTAGTTTAATTGCAAACATTATAATAGTGCAACCCAAAAAAGTTGCTGTTAAAACAGCTGCAGAAGGGAAAGCATTCCCAAAACAAAAAATCGGGAATTTCACTCATTTAGCAAACGATTCTTGTCTGCCTGCAAGCAACAACAATTGTTGCTTGGCCAAAAGAGATAATGAGACAAAAGCAGAAGCACTGCCATGTTTTCTTCCATTTTTGTTTTTTTTTTTTAACATTTTTTCGTTTTTGCTGCTGCATAAAATGGCTGCATTATGCAGCGAAAAAAGGCAAAGCCGAAAAAGAAATCTCCGCCAGCTGCCAAAATGCCAAGCGGTTAAGAGAGCAGCTGCCAAAGCTTTAACAGCTTTTCGCATTGCTTATACTAATAATTAAGTTAATCATTGGCCAAAATGCACTTAAATTTCGTGCGTAATTAATTTTGGTGAAGTTTTAACAGCTCGGCAAAGTTTCTAGACGCGTAACTCACGTGTGCCGTATTCATAATTCATAAATTCCACCCCTTAAAAAATGCTATTAAATATTTTATAGCGATCTGTTGTTGTTTATTATCGTTTCGAATTTATTTTACAAGTTTGAATTTAAATTATAGTACTAAATAATTAAACTCTTATAGAAATAGTAAATAGAGTAATAGCCTTAGACTTTTTACATTTTATCCATTTTACTTATCAATTTTAATAATTATTTATTTTTAATTATATAATATTTGATATTCCTTGTTCATTTTCAGGAGCTTATTTCCTTATTATTCTTGGCCTCTTATACACCTTATGGATCCCTTGCAATTTCATTATATTTTTGCTTACTCAGGCATATAGGAATTTCCGTATTTTCCGTTATTGCCACATAATGGCATTTCTAACGTTTTTAGCCTCATTCTCGTATCGAATAACATTAAAAGCATTTTTTCTTTTCTCTCACACACATTTTTCCTTGGCGCGCATACAAACTTTTAGCATAATGGCTTATTGGCAACGCTGCTGCACACAAGCACACACACAGACACACACACACACACACCTCCAACTTCCCCCTTCCCGCAAACTGGGAGTTGACTCCACTCGACACCTATCCGCTTAACTGGGCCCATTAAAGAATGCATCAAAAAAACGGAAATTGCCTTTTTTGCCAAAGCTCTTGCGAGCTGCAAGTTTGCCCGGTTTCATATTGAAAATTAGCTGCTCTCCGATATTTATGTGCAAATTGCATTTACCAGTGATGCACATCAAAGCAGGTGCAAAAGCAGAAAAGAACAAAATTGATGCCATAAAAAAAAGAACTTATAAAAATGAATCGCACTGAAAAAAGAAAAAAAAAGAGAAAAGTCTTAAAGCTAAAACTTGTTTGGCAACAAGTTTCAATTGCAAAATAATTATTTTTCATTAATATTACAGTCGGTGCTAATGAACACACGCACACACACAAACTTACTGTCTGCACCTGTTGTACAACCAGAAAAAAGAACTGATAAAAGCCAAAATAAACTTCAGGTCAGTTGAGAAAAGAGAGAACACATTCTGGCAAGAGCAAAAAATTAGAAAATACATTTTTCAGCATTAAAAATTGTTCGACGTGCGGAGATTGCGGTAATTTCGCTTAACAGTTAGTTGCTGCCAAGCACACGCTCACACACACACACACATGCACAGCTGGCCAGTGGTTGAAATGTTTCGACACATGCTGCGGTGCCAGTCAAATACACCTGCTCGCCACTTGATACAAGAGGGGGCGAGACGAGGGCGTCGGTAAGCGAGTGGGTGACGCTAAATGTCGAATGTGCAGCCCCAACTGTCGGATGGAGGAGGACACAGCAGCACACACACACACACACATACGCACACATGTATACAGAGACAAGGACAGAGGAGGCAGGAGGCCAACAGCTGGCACTTGACGTGAACAGGCGGGCAACGAGAAACAACTCGAGGGCCTTCGCTTCAACTACTTTTTGCAACACTCGCAACATTTCGCTTCCGCTGCCAAATGGCAAAAGCACATAACAACACACCAAAACACATACCAACACACACACATACACACAGAAATACACACATGCATAGCGGAATACATATTTACACATGATACATTTAGAGCTGCGCTGTGTGGAAAAAGTGTAACTAAAACAATTTGAAATAAGATACTTCTGTTGGACAACAAAATAAAAATGGAGATACAAAGAAAGATAGTACATTTTAATGGAGTTGTCAAATTTATAAATTAATTCGCAGAGTGTATGGATTTTAGTGTGTTAAATACTATAAGTAGTATAAAGTATAAATAAATACAATTTTTCGCGTATCAACTAAGCTGTGGCATCGTCTTAAATATTTTCTTCATCATGCAATGGCAAATAAAAAAGTGTGAAGACACCCCACACACACACTCCAACACACACTCACACACACAATAAGAAAGCGCAGCGTTTGAAATAAACCAATGAAAAAATAGCGAATGGCGGCTCAACAAGCTGGCTTAATGTATTTTAGCGCTTGGGGCGCACACATTAAAAACCACATACCCAAAAAAAATAGAAAATAAAATGCTGAAATGCTGAAATGCTTGTCTTATGTCTCTAAGCATATTTCTTTTCTTTATTTTTTATTTGCGTCACTTACATTTCGCCCAACCAACACGTTAGCCAAGTGAAGTGTAGCTTCAGGTGTTGGCCAGCTGCTTTGCTTCGCACGATACTCAACTATGCGTGTATGAGTGTGTGTGTGAGTGTGTGTGTGAGTGTGTGTGTGTATATGTATTTTGAGAGGTTCTGGAAATGTGACAACAATTGCTTTTGGAAATTGACTTACAGTAATGCGCATTACAATTACGTAAGCAGCAAATCCCCGAATTTGACAAATCATCGAGCAAACAAAAAAGCAGGCAACAAACTCTGTCAATATGGCATTATGGCCAATAATAGCAAGCGTTAAATGCATTGGCGCGAAAAACCTTTTGGCCCCAGCATCAATCATAAATGTTTTAAGCTGGCTTTTGTATGTTCTCTGCTTGTGTGTTGTGTGTGTGTTGTTTGTTGGCTAATTGCATTTGCTGTAGAACGCAACTCGATAAGCTTAGCCTGCTCTGCTAGCATTTCGGCTTAATTATAAAATTTCACATCAATTAAAGCCAACTGAAGAATGTGCAACAAGGATTTCCACTTACAACCAACCACAGAGAAAGCGTTTAGTAATCGAACACCTAAAAGTAGGCAACACATTTTAAATACTCAGTGAAATCAATGTGTGTGTGTGCTTCTCTGTGTGTGTGTGTGTGTGTGCCTGCGTGCATGATTTTTAATTGCTAACGAGGCCCATGCACCAGAATAATGACACTTTAAGCGTCAAGCTTTTAAGTCTTTAAGTCAAATTGCGTGTCCAGCAACGATTTGTCCAATTAAATGGAACTTTGCGCATAAATACGGCTAAATAGCCAATGTGAACGATTTGCACTTGAGATAAGATTTAAATAAAAGGGTTTCTCACTTTTTATGAGTCAATAAACAAGTACACAAAACAGCATGTTGATTTATACCCTGTATACCCTGCCCTGTCAGTGTAATCTTGTTATATATATACATATATATATATATATATATAATCTTAATATATATCTTCCTATCTAATTATATATGTAACTGACTCAGTTTTGAATCGGAGTCAGTCGGATTAAACTACTCTATATATTCCTTGATAAGCATTTTTTTCCAGCAACATTTAATACTCATTTGCCACATATATATAGGAAAATATCGGTTGTTTTTTGAAATCAATAATCGTATCTGACTTTGGGCAGATGTTCTCTGATCTGCAAGGGTATTTCAGCGTCGGCATGCCGAACACAGCTGCTTTTTCATTTTTTGCACACAGAGACGCCGTTCCTAAAAGTGAGGCCCAAAAAGGGGTTGCAAAAAGTTGTGGAATTCGGAGTTCCGTAAAGCTCTGATTTATGTGCAAATAAGAATGCATATCTAATATATTTTTAAAGGACCTTCTTCCTATATTCTGCTGGCGCTCCTGTCCGTCGGCCAATGTAAACAATTTTGATTGCCTGCCAATAAACAGCTCGTGGCTGGTTGCGTTTAGCTTCGTTGAAAATGCCAAGCTTTCGGTGCTGGAATGCAATAATCAACACCATCAACTCTAGGAATTAAGTGGATCACACGCAAGGCAGGAATGCGCCTTGGATTGGACACGTCAACCTTGCATTTCAGTTGCGAATCGACAATCGTTCCATAAATATGGAGCTCATGTTCAATACTGCGCGCCCAAATGTGCAGGGCACCAAGGTGTTGCAAGCGATAAACACCACATTTGTATTCAAAATTGTGCAGAGCATCGATGGAGTGCATCATTTTCATACTCTAATCTTGTACATAACGGAGAAGCTGCGTTTAAGCACACCCGGCGCAGTACATTTTTTCAATCAGATGTGGCTGATCTTTCCGCTGGTACCCCGCATAATTGTAAGGAACAATGAGGGAATGAGTAATACGTTAAGGGATATGATTAGCACACCATCCCTGGTCCTGGTCCTAACAACAGATCGTACGGATCCCATTATGGAAGTGGCGTCAAAATCACTCACAAGCAGGCGATGGCTAAAGACAATATTCATACTCTTTCCCTATTTGAGCAGTGGCGACATTCACAATAACTTTACCACATTCACCGAGTTCTCGAACATCTGTAAGAATGTGCTGCGCTGGGCATGGGAGAAGCAGTTCATCAACTCCTTCCTGTTGACGATTGGTGAAAATGTCTACCAGCTGGATCCGTATCCAACGGAGAGCATTGTGAATTATACGCAAGTTTGGCAGGATGCTGATTTCTTTCGTCCTTTAAATAGGCATATGAATAAATATGTGGTGAGCACACCCGTCATGTACGACATGCCCCGGGTGTTTAAGGGTGCGGATCAGAAAACTATCTTCGGCTCGAGTGCAAAATTGTTTTTGGGTTTTCTGGATTATGTGAATGCCACATTGAAGGATACGAGTGCAGATATGATGAATAAAGAGTTCGATTTACCTTATCTGCTGGAACTGGTTTCCCAAGGTGTCTATGAGACCCTGATACACTCCTATACGGATCTCGCTGCCAACTACTCAACGAGCTTTAGTTATCCCATTGCCATCAATGATTGGTGTTTGATGGTGCCCTTTAGAAACGGCTCGATGCAGGAGCTGTACGTGAAGGAAGCATTAGAAGATGATGTTTGGCTTATCCTGATTGCAATCATATTTTATATGGGTGTTTCCATATGGATTTGTACGCCAAATCGTCCGAGGGATTTCAGCGCCGCCCTGCTGCAGTGCGTCTGCAGCCTGACAAATATGCCACCCATTGCGGTCATCAAGATAGCCACCTTAAGGATGAGATACTTGTTTGCCATGTTCTCCATCATGGGCTTGGTTGGCTCCAACATGTATGTCAGCAAGATGACCAGCTATTTTACAACTGCTCTGCAGGAGGAACAAGTCAACAGCATGCAGGATGTGATCGATGCCAACCTGAGGATACTGGTTGTGGACTATGAATATGAAGCACTCGCTAGCATGCCGGAACAGTATTCGCCACGATTCATGCAGCAGGTGGATATGGGGGAGACTCGTGTTGTTCAACGTCATCGCGATAAATTGAACGCAACGTATGGTTACTTTATGTCCAGCGATCGTTGGGAAACGATTGACATGCTGCAGCGGAATCTGAGGGTGCCCGTGTTTAAGCTAACGTCAATCTGCTCGGGTCCCTTCTATCATGTTTATCCCCTGCCTCTGGATTCACATCTGCGTTCACCGCTGCAGGAGTTTATACTGATTGCTCAGGAGTCGGGTCTGCGACATCATTGGAAGTGGGAGGCCTTCTGGGAGGCAATGTATATGGGGGTCTATCAGTGGACTATTGTCAATGAATCTCCGGTGCCACTCAGCATGAGTTTCTTCTCCAGCATGATGCGCACCTGGTGCGTTGGACTAGTCCTCGCCGGGCTCACCTTTATCCTCGAGATGAAGTGGCATCAGCACGTCTTTGAAGAGTATTGCCTGAAGTCGTACAACAAACTGCGCAGGATTTTCAGAAGACGCAGGAGAGCCGGTAGACGATGAATATGCAATCGGAGGATTTTCAAATTTCATTGATTTTTATAACACATATTTTTATACACATCTTTACAATAAAAATATATATCTTCAGCTATACCACCATTCATTAAGTGAGTCAATTTTTATGTTCTTAAAAATTATATATTTTGGTGAATTTTGGAATTGAAAATGGAAAAGTTTAAAGATTTTTCTTGAATTTATTTGCATTTTTTGTACTTGTTTTCACTACAAAAAACGCAGTTTGTTTTTGTAGAGTGACAATTATGCATTGAATTTTGCAAAACTGATTCTATCGAAATGAAAATATATATCTACCATATATTGAGGTCAACTGGAATTTAAAATACGTGCAAATTCGCATTGAGATTATTATTAAATTAAATATTTCATTTGCATTCATTCTGCATTCCAATTTATTTTGCATTTTAAAATATAAATGTCGATTGTTGTTTTTCATAGACATGCATCAACATTTGTATATTTTTATATATAATTAAAGAATTAATTTCTCGAGTTGCGTGCTAGAAACACTTCCAAAGCAAAAACGATAGCTGCAATTGCTGACATTGTCACAAGGAAAAAGAATGCAATAGCCAAATGCTGGAGACCCGCCGATTCGAAATCCTTGTTCTCCTGCAATCGTTGCACTAATCCCGCATGCATAGCAGACTCAAGGCTGATCCGGGCGTAGTAGTAAAGCAGTCCGGACGAGTGCACCCGGAACGTAAAGTATTCCAGATCACGCCACAGCGATGAATCCTTCTGCATGGGGTATGCCAGGTGATAGGAGCCGAAGCAAATGTCGCTCATCTTGAACTGGCGCTGCTTCAGATGCTGCTGCTGGCCATCCAAAAACTGCCAGGTATCCTCGGTGACAAAGTACGCAAAGGAGCTATTGAAGCTCAATTGATGTTGAGCAAAAATTCCACTATCCACAGGTCGCAACAGTTTACTGAACTCCACTGGCAGCTCGGTGTGTGCTTGCAACAGAAACTCCAGCTCATAGTCGATGATCATGACTGGAAGCTGGGCGATTATAATGTCGTCCATAGTATTAAGTTGAGCATGGAAAAGATTGACGGTTAGAATGCTGCCCAAAGTCGATGTATAATTGGCCGACAAAAAGAAGCCATGAAAGAATACGGCAAACAGCAGCAAGAAGCGAATGACAGACGGCTTGTGTAACAACTGCCGTCCAGTGGATATATTGATTATATAACAATAGGAGTTGAGCAGGGCGACAGTGGGTCCCTCAGCCGCATTCGCCGAACCCAAGCACAGCCAGAGCAGCTCCAGCAAACTCAAGAGTACAAAGGTGCCCAGCACAAAGAACCAAACAGTCCAATCGAACGGTTGCAGTGCATAGAAATAGGTGGAGACACTATTATACAGTGGCACCATCAGACACCAGCGGACCACCAACAGTGGATAGCTCTTCTCCAGCTCATCGTCAGGCATAAACAAGGCGTAGGCATGGGCTGAGAACTGAATTTGTCGCTCCCTTACCAGTTGGAGTGTCTGCTTCATGTTGACAGCCCTTCCACCCAGTGCATCTTGTGGTAATTCCCACTCCTTAAATCTGCCATTGATATGCTTGACAAAGGTGTTGATGATGCGATAAGTGCTTCCCTCATAACGTTCTCCCACACGAAATAAATGTGGTACATCCTCTCGCAATGGTGTCGCAAACTGGTATCCACCCACATTCTTGCTAAGATTTAAAATCTCTTTCATTTTCTTCTGCATAAACTTTCGCAGATCTGTGCGATTTTCGATCGTCATCTGTGGATATTCGCTGGCGCCAAACAATTGATTGATCCCATCGACAGACTCGAAATATAGTAGGGAATTCTCGTACTGATAGCGGTTGAGGAAGCGACATATGTCATACATCGGTTCCATATCGCTCACTTTGTCCATTATAATGATGATCAGTAGATTGAAGTGCCTGCCGATCAGTACCTTATTGGCAATCTGGAGGATGGGATCATTGGGTCCGTTGGTGAACACAAAGTTGGCCTGATTACGCCTCACAGCTGATAAGATTGCCCTCATCTCCGAGTTATTCGTGTTAACTATCTGAGTCAATTCAAAAGCATCGTCAATTGTACGTATGAACTTCTCCACATTATCCATATGGTCTCCGTCCAGTTGCTGACTAATGTACCACCCCAGATCCTGAAATGCAGCAAAAGTATTAAAAGTTAGTACTAATCTGCTAATATATTTCAAATTGAAGGCATAGCCCCATTGAAATATGAATATGCAAAGTATTCCTCTCAATAAATTCATGACTGAACTTCAAGAAGCACACGACTCGTATACGCAATGTTGACGGCTCGTTACGCATTTAAACGTATTTGTAGTTTTAGGAAAGTGCCCAGGGGATCAGTTACAAACTACAAGCTTTATCTGGAACATAACAATTAAAACAAATGGGAACATTAAAGTTGATTTAATCGATTTCGTTCGATGATTAATATTACATTTTTACATAACGAATGAGCTTATTACGAACTGGTCAAACATACGATAAGTAATTTGTTTTTGTAATCCCTTGGATCATGTTTGGCTATAAATGCAGCCAGTTCATTTTTTGAAGGCTTAACGATTATTTTCGACTAGATTATACCCTGTTTTTTAGTTACACCTTTTCAAGCTAGCAATTTTCTTTCGTTATGTTCCAATTCACTCGATGAACTAGTTCAAATATATATCGCTCTTAGTCTCTACTTTTCCCAGCGGCACCACAAATGTTCCAGGCCATAGACCACAAGGCCTGTGAGTATACCCACTGCCAGTACAATCCAGGCTATCGCAAAGAACTCCACGTTCAATGGCTCCACGGAATAGCTGTCCACAAAAATGTTTGCATAATCGGCACGCAAGGCATAGATAAAGGCCATCTCCTCCCAATATTTCCAGAGACCCACCTCACGCACATACAACACAAAGCGATCCAAGGCCGAGGCAAATGGCGCCTCCCTTTGGAGGGGAAACGCCTTGAGTACGCCCCCAAAGCAGATCTTGGACATTTGAAAATATGGCTGAATTAGCACACGTTGTTGCCGATCGAAGAACTTCCAAGTATCATGGGTGAACACATAAGCATAGTTCCTAGATGGATGCGTGAGCAGTTCCTGATAGTCCGGTCAGCTGCGTGGCTCAAATTGTGCCTCCAACGAAGCGATATCCGTAAAGGGTACAATCCGCAGCTCCTCCAGCAAAGTGTCTGGTATAATGATGCGCACCCCGGACTCAATCAGCTCTTGCAACGTATTAATGGGCTTCACAAAAACCGGCTTCATATTGTAGCTTGTGAAGTGACTAAAGTAATAAATGGATATTATAAATCCCTGGGCATAAAGCAGCGTGTAGAAGACGATCATCCTTATGGGTGGGCTTATAAGCGGCAAATGCACATTCATGTTGGGACTGTACATAAGCAGTGCCATGGCATGGAGCAGATTCCGCCTGTACGGGCTGGATATGCGCTCCGGATACTGATTGTAGCGCAACAGGAATGCCACATAGAAGATGCCAAGGAAGAGTGTTGCCCAAACATAGCGACCCAATGGCCACACCACATACATCCATTTGGACAGCTCCGGTGCCAGGGGAATCGCAACGCAATACTTTCCCACTTCGATGGGATAACTGTATTTGACATTCGATGAGGAATTGAGCAACATGGTCCTGATGCTCACACCATGCAGCGACACATTGTAGCCTCCCTCGGCCATCTGCTCCTGCAACTCGCTCATCGGAGGCAAGCTGGCTACATGATCCAGCCGCAGCTGGTAGTGAAACACGTTTGCAAATGTCTCCATGCACTTGAAATGGGGTCCACAGTACAGTGTTCCCTCGTTTCGCGTATCATTGACAGCGAAAGCGTGCGGTATATCCGAACTGACAGGTGAATAGATGTGATCCACTATCATTTTGCTGACTGACTATTTGCACGATTCGCGTTGCAGGCCACATTTATAGCTGAAGTGCTAACTTGCTGTGACTCCGTTGGGGCGGGGCTTAGTCCTGCTCCTGTTGCCAACAATGTCGAACAACTGCAAATTATCGCAACTCACAAAATCTGAAATGCAACAAGCCAAACCAAACGGAATCAACGATTCAGTTCTGACTCTGAGACGCGGCAGACTGGTTGGCGGCAGTCTGCATATCATTAGCAGCCACTGTATGCAGTCGATGGCAATACAAAGTAAATACAAAAAATATATTAACTAAAATGTTTTTTGTTTGATGGGTAAACAAATTGTACCAAAATAAATATGCTCAAAAAATTTATTAAATCATCTTCATAAACATAAATCGAAAAAGTACTAAAACAAATGGCAATTAATAAACTGTATTTTGTGTTATTTATTTAAATTATCTGAACCACTGTATCGCAATTATTAATCGCAGTTTTTTGCTGCCCTTTGACCTCTATTCTGAATTACACTGCACACAAAGCCGTACCACATTTGGACCACTCTCCTCGCGGGCGAAGGAGCTAAATTTCTCTGTGTGTTTTTTATGTTGTTTGCCATCAAATATTAATTTGTAAATACGGCACAGAAATTTGCATATTTGTATGTTATCGTCATACGGTCAATACTTGTAAATAGCCCAACTCTTTTGCGTAATTATTAGAGCGCGAATGTTTACACACATAGTCACACACAGCACACACACACAGCACACATACACACGCACGCTCACACACACAAAAGCAGTCCACAAAAATTGCAAACAAAAATAGTAAAATCCGTGCAAAAAATTTTACGGATTCCTGTCTCTGTGTGGGTGTGTTCGTATTCCTGTTCGTATGTGTGTGTGTGGGTGTGTTGTGGCTATGTGTGTTGTGGCTATGTGTGTGTGCTTGTACATTTTCAGCTCACATGTAAACACTTTATAGCTCTTTTTTTATACATTATAAGAACTTTCAGCACGTAACGCCAAAGTGGTGTTAAAAAAAAGACTGCAAGCCCAACCCACTTTGAGCCTCAGTCTCCACACACCCCTCTCCATACACCGCAACCAGCTTTATATTATTTGTAAATGGCGCACAATAAAAACAAAAAGTGCCATTGAAATAATATTCTGCTTATGGGTAATTACAAAATCATTAAATGTAAAAAATTATTTTACGAATTCCGGTTTCAACGGGATATTTTCAGTTTATTTGAGTTGTCGACAATTGAAACTTCTTTACAGGAAGTGTCTGATTTTCCATAAATATATATATATATATTCTGCTGTTGCCGAGCAACTTTTGAAGTTGCATTTGATGCCAATTATTCAGGTTGTGTGTGGAAATGGAATGCTCAAAGGTGTGCTCTCATTTTTTTTGTAAGCGCTTTAATATAATTAATTGAGTCCAATATGCATCTGCTTTGTCATTATAAGCATAACGCTTATTGATTAAATTATAAATACAATTCGATTTGCAAGCAGCTTGCTTATAAATCATACTTTACACGCCGCTCGTGCAATTTATGTTGATGACAAGCAAACACGGCTATTTTCTTATCTGCCCAAACAAAAATATGGGCATCATTCGTAAGCCGATAAATGTATTCCATTTGTGTAGCAATCGCAGAACGAATAAAATACTCACACATATTTGGGTGGCGACAAACATAACTCATTTAAATGCCTCTGGGGAGTTATAAAATCCGACGCATTCAAGTCAGCAAGTCATTAAAGGTTGTCAGTTAATTCTGTTTGCCGGGAGCAAAGGGTATATAGGTTTTCCAAAATAATTCCACTTAAAGTGTTCCGAAATCAAGAGCTTATTAGATTTTGTAAATTTAATATTAGGTTTTGGGTATCTCTGAGTCGACTTTGGCGCTTAAGCCTCGTCCTGGAATTGGAATAAACACGCAATCATAAAAAAAGGTACAAATCCAATTGTGCACACACAAATGCAAAACATAAAATGCTAAATGGTAAACGCAAAGGGATTGCTTTCATCTTTTTAATGGGTCTGAGCACACATGTTTGAACAAATTAATAGAATGCCCCAAAGGTAAAATAATAATTTGGTTTCAATTAGAAAAGTGCATTAATTTTGTGTCTGCTGATAAGCAAACTTGTTTTTAGCGAATATGTGTTACTTTAACTCCGATTCCAATGAACCCAAAGGTTAAACAATCTATTCACATAGATTATACTCAGTTATCAGTTGAATATTTATGAGCCTTATATTTTCAGCGACAAGATAATCTATTTTTGGAACGAGGAACCAGTTTTGAATGCCAGACAGAAGTTAATCTGTATTTTCTTTCTTAAATTGAGACCTTAAAACGTAACAAAAATTTAAACATAATCAAATTGTTTATACTTAGTTGACCCAACTCGGTTCTACAATCGAAAGCAGAGCTAGGGCCATAAAGTGCTGCTGATAGCAAAATGAATTGAAATGCCAACTCGAGTCAAGCAACACCCCAGCACCCAATACACCCCCCACTTCCTCCCATTTACCCTGCACTTCTCTGCTGTTTGAAATTTAAATTCATTCATAAACCAAAATCTTGTTTATTGGTTGCTGGTCGGTCGTTTGTTTGGTTGTCTTTGAGTTATTTTCTTACTTGTTTTTTGTTTTGTATTTTTGTTTGGGTTGGGTGGGTCTCGCTCGCAGCTGCCTTTCACCGCTGATTCTTTTTTTGGTTTATTTCTCTCTGTTGTTGTTGTTGTTGTTATTGCTGCAGCTGCTCGTTATAGGCGTACATGCTCCATAAACAAGTCTTTCAGAGCAATTGTAGACAAACCGTAGCAAAGCTTGGCCAACTGCTGCGATACATTTTCCAATTTGTATGCGCTATTTTTGTGTGGCTATTCAAGCGTCTTCAATAGCCGTGATCGTCTAGTGGTTAGGACCCCACGTTGTGGCCGTGGTAACCCAGGTTCGAATCCTGGTCACGGCAATGCTGCAATATGCATTGTCACGGAGAAGACTTTACTTTTTTTTCAACATTTTTTCTTCAAATATTTTTGTAAAACAGAAAAGATCTCTAGCTAAATTTGTATCTATAAATAAATACGCTGGGCACTCGATCATGTGCCAAAAATAGCCAAAAATATATATAATATTTGTGTGTCATTTTTGACATAGAATTTAAGTCAACCAGAACCGAATTTATGTGCACAAATTAAATGAAGTCTGTTAATTATGTGAGTGTGCCAATTAGTACTTCATTTAAGTATTGAGTAGCCAATTTTCCATCTCAAACACTGATAAGTTCAATCACAGCTTGTCGATTAAATTCAATTATATAAATTAGGTTCGCTGCGCCCCAAAAGTGTCCTTGCTGCTGCTGCTGCTGGCAACGTCCTGAGGCACAGTAAGCAAACTGCCGCTTGGCCATGCAACTGGCAACTACGACGCTGCTGCTGCTTGCCACATGGCCCCAGCAACAGCAACTGGAATCACACAATCTGAGCTTCGTCCGGGATGTGCTACACAATGCCGCAGGTCAACAACGCTGGACGAATACGCCCATCTTCCTCAATAGCTATGTGCAACGCGAGCAGATGGATCAATTATTGCACTGGTTGCACAACAATTTGAGTGTTGCAAGCTATCAATTCGATGGCACTCAGGAGCAGCCCGATACCTATAATCCGCTGAGGAATCACATCAAAAACGATGCGTTGAGTTTACTCTTCTGTCACAGCGCCGTGGAGCACATCTGGTGGCATCTCGATGAGCGTTTGAGCAGGTTACGCCAGAGCAAGCTCATCATCAGCCTGGATGCACTCCAGAATCAGCTGGCGTTGCGTAACATCTTCGCCAAGTTGTGGAGTCTACAGTTCATGCGAGTTCTGGTGCTGCACCGGCAAAGGATCTACACTTATACGCCGTATCCCTCAGTGCGTTACTATGAAATCAAATTGGAGCACTCCAGTCAACTCTTTCCACATCACATGCCACACAATTTGCATGGATATGTGATCTCCACGCCGGCACAGAATGATTTGCCGCGTGTATTCCGTTTGAGGGATGAGCGTACGGGTGTCCTGCTCATCCGTGGCTATGGTTACCGTGTCCTCGCCGAGTTCCTGCATCGACACAATGTTCGGCTGATTATCAGCAATGCCGGAGAGATTTTGAATCTGGAGAGTAACGTCAACATGACTCGCATCAACAAGCTGATCGGTGAAAATAAACTTGAGATCACCATGCATCCATATGTGAGCATCGATCGCGATCTGGGCATTCTCAGCTATCCGCTGCACATCGCTCAAAACTGTTTGATAATGCCAGTGCGCAATGAGATTCCACGTTTTATGTACCTGCTGCGTCCGTTCCACTGGAGCAGCTGGATACTCCTCCTCTTTGCCGTGATCTACATTAGTTTGGCTCTGTATTGGCTCCGACCGGGCTTGGGTCACAGTCCTGGTTTGAGCTTTCTGGTGGCGCTCTGTCAATTGCTATTCCTCAGTGCACCGAATCATACTTACGCACCTTCTCTTAGATACTTTCTGGTCGCCCTGCAGCTCTCGGTTCTAGGCTTCTTTGTGACCAACTGGTACTCGAATCAGTTGAGCAGCTCTCTGACAGCCACCCTGGTCGGAGAGCAGGTGAACACCTTCGAGCAGCTCATCGCCCAGCAGCAACGCATTCTGTCCAAGCATCATGAGGTGCGCATGCTGCTGGAACAAGTGCCGCCACATCTAAAGCAGCAGGTTGAACGTCTTGTCATTGGCTCCGAGGCTGGGGAGCAGGTGAGTGCTCTTCTCCACTTTAATGTCAGCTACGCGTATCCCTTTACCGTGGAGCGTTGGCAATTCTTTGCCCTGCAGCAGCAATACGCCGACAAGCCCATCTTTCGTTATTCCTCAGTCTGCCTGGGTGCACCTGTCATTGGCTATCCGATGCGGAAAGATTCGCATCTGGAGTCACCCCTCAAGCATTTTATAATGAGAATCCAGAGCATCGGTCTCTTTCAGCATTGGATAGTCTCCGACTTTAATGATGCTTTGAACGCGGGCTATGTCCACCACATTGATAACACCCGCAGCTTTAAGGCACTCGATCTGGACGCAATGCGCCTGGGCTGGTTTATTCTCCTCGGTGGCTGGCTGCTGACCGCAGTGGTTTTTCTCGGCGAGCACCACTACAACCACCACCACCAGCACCACCTGCCAGTGACTTCAAGTTTAATTCAATTGCAAGCAATTGACAGAAATACACAAAACCAGCCCCTCAAGCGAGGTGCGACGATATCAACTCAGTCGACAGTTGGCAGGGAGGCAGAGCAGCAGAGCAGCAGGGCGACATCAGCTGCTGTTGACATAAAAATGCAATAAAATCTGTCACAAAAGCTAAAGCCATCTTGAGTAATAGAAGTTGGTGGTTTTTTTTCACATAAACAAACGAATTTGCAATGCACTAAAAATATATATAAAAATAAATCAAAAAATGAAACTGCTCTATCAAAGTATGAATTATATTATGTATGATATTGATATAATATCAAATAATAAAAATTTAACCGTAAAAAGTACACAGGTGTAAAAACAAGCTGTTTTCAATAAGCGAATGTGCTTCTAGTTTTTTTCTTCCCAGCAAGTAGAGAAAAATGGTTCAAAATCAATTCAATGTGACCAGCGCTGCATGGTGTACCAAAATGGCGACAACAATACATTTTATTGTTATTGTTGTTGTTATTGTTGTTGTTGTTGTTGTCAAGGTGCTGCTTATTGGATTTTCGTGAGCGAGAAGTATTTGACAGTTTCTGCCAGTTGAGGGGGGCGCTCCTGCTTGTCACAATCGCTACAATTCTCACATTTTGCAATCCAAGCAAAATAATCGTCCACTGATTTTAATTGAATGAGCCTCAACCAGCCTTCTTTTAAATAAAATAAATTGTCACACGCATAAGTGGAGAGAATCATATTATGCATTACAATACGCAATAATAATGGCCATTTCCAAGCCATGTTTCACTAAATATATACAATAAGAATATAAATATTAACCACAAAAGCCCCGTTTGCCCTTCTTTATCTCTGTCTCATTCTCCCACGTGTGCATTCGCTTTATTTGTGTTAGTGCATTGAAACTCGCCTGTGTTGGTAAATATGCATATTGAATGGATAAAAGGATTTACAATTATTTCGTGTTTCGTTTGGCCGTTTGGGGCGCTGACTGCCACCTTGCCTCACTTTCAGCTGTCGAACCAACACACCGGAAGCACCGTGTATACCGTTGTCCTCTTTGCATTGTTACACATTTATTTTCTTTTGTTTGTTTCACACATTCACAGGAACACAGCCCGAGAGCAGAGAGAGCCTCAGTCACTGAATGTTCTATGGAGCATGCGACGACTGTCACCGCTAGTTTCGCTTCATAAAATACGCAAAATATTTGTTATGATTTACTGAAAGACACACATGGCTTATATTCTTGCGCTTTAAAGGTGATTATAAAATATTCTTTCATTTTTGAAATTTCAAAAGTCTTAGCCGAGACAACAACCAAAACGTTATATGAGCGCCAAAGAAGCAATGCTATACAACGCTTAAGCGGATGGCATTGAACAGCACTGTAAATAGCTAGCGCAGCTCAAAACCGATAACAGCGTTGCCTGCCCACGAAATATCCTACAGCAATGTTAACCGGTAACCATCATTAATATAAATGTTAAAGTAATAAGCAGAGTACATTTAAGAAATAATTTATTTAAATACAACTCTCACTCTTAATCGTATTATTTTATTATAATTGACTGTGACTTACTTTAAGGTCAATATACCCCCTTGATAACAGGGTATATGAGCAACGGAAACGCTACTTTAAATTGATTAAGAGCTAACAAGACACAGAAAATTAGACGAGACGAGAACTTAAATCAGCTTATAAATTTTATTAATTACAATTTATAACTTGAATTTAGCTCCAAAAACTAATAAATTAATGCAATGGCAACGTTTACAGCTTGCATGGGGGACTTTTACACAATGATTATTGTTATTCTTATGTACGTGCCTCGGGACATTCTTCCAATTGTTCTATTTGTGCAAAACGACAAAATAAATTATAACAACTAAAGACTACTACAAACGACAATTAACAACAAATGTTAGCACGTACAACAAACAAGCATTTAAAATCGAAATGAGACAACTATTTGGTCTTTTTGGACTCCACTGGCGCCGTTTTGACTGGTGGCAATTTCTCTACCGCCTGCTTGTAGAGCTGATTCAGTCCAAAGGTGGCGCGTACATTGTCGCTGGAAAAGAAGAACTTTTGCAGTTTGCCCTTGGCATCACCACATGGCCGCCGTTCCACCTCCTTGCCCTGCTGGAACAATATAACCGTCGGCAACTGTTTCGAGAAGCTGCTGTCCGAAATGCGATATTTGGCGGCCACATCCGGAAAGCGTCCAATATCGATTTTGCCAAACTTGAGCAACTGCGTATTATACTCCGCAGACAGCTCGGCAAAGATGGGCGCAAAATGAACACAAGTGGGATTCCACACCGTATAAAAGCAGATTAACCAACTGGTCTTCTTATCCCTGGCCAGCTCATCCTCAAAGACCTGTGCGTTGCGGAAATAGGTAATGTGCTCGGGACCACGATACGAGGGCTCCGGCAGCACAATACCAACGAGCACACAGATGAGTAGAAATCCCAAACCATAGCGAAAATCAGCATAGCCCCAAAGTATTAAATTGGCGACTTTTGTGTAGAGGAACGACGATGTCAAATAGTTGATCATCGTAACGCTGCCCGTCTTCCGCGAGCGTATCATCACAACGATGAGCAGAAAGAAGAGTATTTCCACTTCGCGACTGTCCATGTCGCAAACCTCCTCCTGGGCGGCGTGCTGGAAGAGGCGCGTGCAAATCACCTTCGTCTTCTTCGCAATCAGATATGAGACGGCTAGCAGTATGTTGACCCAATAGTATGGCTTGGCCAATACGCGCAACTCTTTTTTCCATGACATGGCGTTGCGTTTCCTGAACTGGGTCACTATTTTAATTAACAACTTGCCGTGTTTTTACTGCTGTTCTTAGCTAATTTTTTTGGCGACACGACAATCGATAACTCGAATGCAGCTCGATGAGTGTGACCAGTGAATAGTGCTGCTAACTTTTAAGGTTCCAGTGCTGTTAAATGCTTGCGAATAGTAAAGAACGCGCTAGATTTGAATTCAAAATTGTATTTCTATAGAATTTGTTTGAACTTGATTAATTTAAATTCAAAACACACACAGAGTTCAATGTTTGCTTGTGTCTGGTTGATTGTTTTGCGAAATCATGAGTCTGATGTCTCGATTCTTTTACATATGTTTGATTAATTTCAATTTAAAACACACACAGAGTTCAATGATTGCTTGTGTCTGGTTGATTGTTTTGCGAAATCATTAATCTGATGTCTCGATTCTTTTACATATGTTTGACGCTGCTAGCCTTACCCAATTTAAAGTCCACGCAATCTGTTTAAGTATTTATTATCTGTTAAATATATATATTGAAAACACACGCTCGCCTTTAATCAGTCAAACAAACGAGAATACGTGACTTCAGACGCGCGTGGCTGGACAAGTCATCCCCTCTTAGTATTTTTGGGGCACCTCTCTTATTTGTTTATTTTTTCTTTCATATTCAATGATATGTTCCCGAAAATTGCAAATGTGTTTTGACTGCAACTGATTAGAGGCGGGAATAAATGTAAAATTTATTTTATATAGTAAACAAAAGCATGCGTCACAAATTTATATAATTAATACAATGCTTTCAATAACATCATTCACAAAGTTTTTGCCATGGCAACAGACAGATTGACAGGCGAAAGCCAATAGAAATAATGATAAGTGTTCGGAAAATGAGGTTACAGCGTTTTTTAATCGTACAAAACATAATTAAAAATTCATTTTACAATATGCATACATTATATATAGATAAGGCATCAAACAAAAGGAGCACTCTGTGTTTTTTTTTTTCAAATAAGTTTTTCTAATCGCGATTTTTTTGTAAAAATCTTGTGAGTCAGTTGTAAACAACAATTTACATAAGCAAAATGATTGAAAATTGTTGTAAACAACATTTCAATAAACGAAACAATCAACATTAGTAAGGTCAGTTATTGCATCAGCAGGTGCTTATTATATTGTATAAATACCTATAAGTATACAAAAATATACACAAATACTCACTTATTTAAATATAGCCGTCAAAAACAAGAACCACCCCATAAGTAATGAAAAAATATAACCAACAGTACTTCTGGGCAAACCGGTAATAACCGGTTAAGTTATTGACTTCATAAGATCCTCAAGAGATAGATGTTTTGTAGACTGTTCTCGCAGTCAAGCAAAAATGTGCTTTTCGAAAGCACCTGATAGGTTTTTATGGGTTATCTGCGAGATTTTCGGCGATAATTTTTTGTTAAGCCTTTAAATGATTTAGCAACAAATCAATTTGATGAACTACGCAGTTTTAATCGATCCGACTTAACAAATGATTGATTGCCCACTGACGAATCTCTATCAGTCATATACCCCAAATCAGTTCGAGGCTAGCCTGATAGATCAAATGGGGTTAAATTGCATATTTATTTATACATATATATATATATACGTGCATAATGAAAAACTAAATCCAGCAAAAAGAAAAATCCAGCAAATGTCCAAGCCTACATAAACAAACACACACACACACATCAACACACACATACACGAGTACGAGTAAACAAAATGGCGTTCAGCTGATCTCTGTCTCTCTGGCTTATCGGCTTGATAAGTTTTGTTTTGAGTCCGGTATGCTCTATAAAATTCAAACGAAGCCAAGCCAGAGACTCAGTTCAGTTTTGAACCTGTTCGTGTTGTGAGTGCAAAGTAAACGTGGAAACCCCGACAAAACAAATATAAAACGCCGGCATTCCCAAATGCCCGTACAAAACCAGACTATATATACTTCTTCAATTATAAGAAATCAACCAAAAATTTACTTAAGAGCTGTTCGTACATATTTGCAAACATTTTCCAATTGGCAGTGAAAACATCTATATTAAAAATAAAAAAAACAACCCTTCAAGTTTGAACTTTGAATGGTGCTGCTGCAAGTGCGCGACAAAAAATTGAAAATTGCCAAACGCGCGCCCAAAATCGTCGATAAACTGTGTTATCTCAGCAAGCTGCAATTAACTCGAGTTTTCTTCTTCCTGAATAGCCTGAATCTAAGCTGTAAGTGTCAAAAAAGGAAATACAAATACAAGAAATATAATTATATTTGTTAAACTTTTGTTCTCTTTAGTTGTAGACATGGCCTTACCACAGGGTGCTTTTGCCGCTTGCAAGGTGCGCGAGCAGTTCCAGGAACGAGATATGATCATCTCCCGTTTGCGAGCTGCCAATGTCACTGATAAGGCTGATAACAATATGCGTAAGTTCGTAAACAAAGTGCAACTATATTTGAAATGTGCTCAACATTGTGCTTACTTTTTATTCTAATTGTAGAACGCGAATACTCGCCGGTCAAGTATAATGACAAACTGATGAACTCCATTTGGGGATTGTACAATCGCTACTCCCCCCACAATGTCAAGAAGAACGAGTACGCACCGCCAAAGTTCTGAATAATCTTACGGCGGCTCAGCAGCTGTAAGTAGCACTATGCCCAATGTCATCTATATATATATATTTTATATATATTTTTTTATTCGTTTCAGTTTTGTGAGCTGTTGCGCCTCCGTTGCCAATGCCTAACTACATTTATATATGTTATTTAGTCATTGGCTTTCTTTGTGCTTTTTGCACACATGTATCACTTACTTAATCTCAGCATACATATTTACTCACTTATCCAATAGCTGATTAAGCTATATAAATTCAAAACAATCGAATGTTATTAATTAACAAATTTTTAATCATTCGCATCTATGTAAAATTCAATAAATACTCGTGATATGTTATATAATGTAAGAAAAGCTTTCTTTGCTATATATAGATATAATGTTTACGGACAAAGACTACTTATATAGTCTCTGATTGTAGCTGTTGTAACTGTTGTAGAGATTATTTTTCAGTTTAAATAGCATGACTCATAGGTTGGTACCATATATTTAATATTGATAAAGGCATCTTCGCCGCCATGGAGCTCCAGCACCTGCAGCGTCTCATCAATCAGATCGCCCAGATTCAAGTTGTTCTTTTGTGCATAGTCAATCTCATCGCCGCAGTTTACTAGAACACAGAATATACTCTTTAATATTTCAGCATTAGGTTTAGCTTTCTAATAACTTACAGTTTTTCACCTTGAACGCATTGAACATGGGCAACAGTTGTCTGTAGAATGGCACAAGAGCGGGTCCCACCATATCCGAGGCCATGACCAGCTGTTGTATAATTTTCAATGTCGTGCACATCACCTCCACATTTCTAGTGCTCAATGCGTCTGCCAAAACAAGAAAAGACCAAAACAGAAAATGAGCAAAAGTTGTAGGTGTAAATTAAGCCAAAAGACATTTGCGTGCCGAAACATTTTTGTTTTCCTTTTTAATTTTTTTGTTTTTTTGGGTTTTGCCCCCGTCGCCGCCAGGTACTCACTCTTTAACGGTAATATTAATTGCGGTACGACGGGATGGATTTTATCGCCGCCGGCCAAAAGCAAATCGCTGACACCCTGTCTCGCATATGTCTTATAGGGATGCTTCGGCTCCGCCAATCCATCGAAGAACAGCGGCAAATAGAGGCTGTAGTCCAGCTTGTCAATGTCCACCTGGCAACGGTAGCAGGAGAAACAGAGACACATTTATTGATAGCTAGTCTCAATTCAGTTTTGTTTGGGGGTGTGACTGGCATTGTTTTTGCTTTATTTTGTTACAGGTGTAAATTTGCACGCGATGCTCGTTAAGTTTTTGTTTTCTGTTTTTTACTGATTTCTATTAAGATGCTTTTGTGTTTTTTTGTTGTTTGGCTTGTCAATATTGGGAAAGTTACCAAATTGCTTGCAAACGGCACTATTTATATGTTTTCTATAAACTATGGCTTAGAGTGTAAGAAAAATGCAAAACAATTTTGGTATTATTATTTTAAGTTTTCTTAAGACAATTTTACTTAAGTATAAATACTCGGAAATCAGCTGAAAACTTTTCTGTGACTATTACAATATATTTGTACTTATCAGGCATATGTATTAATTTATAATGCTGATATATACTCAAGAACTACATCCCCAACGATGTATATACGTCAATACTTCTATTAAAATTAATATGAGATTTCATATATAGCCAAGTTCTATATATATATATATATATGTATCTCATTAAGCATTTTAGTTCCCTTCTACTCTTCAAGTACAATTTCTTCCCACAACTTCAACCCCTTTTTGCTATTCAACGTATGTATATCTTTTTAAATTAATCAGCTTTTGTATCTATATTATCTATCTATTTGTTGTATCTCTCATTATAATATAAGCACTTTAATACCCTTCTCATTGTCAAGTACAACCTATTCTACTCATATAACCATCCACAACTTTAACCCCATTTTTGCTGTGTTTTCTTTGACCTTCAGTCGAGTTTCGCATATGACGCAAAATGATATAGTGTCAGTCACATATCGCTCATATGTAAATGAGCTGTCATAAATGCCGCATGGCTATATAAACAAACGCACCTACTTAAACAACATACGATCAAGGTTCCCGACATTGAGAGTGGTGGGCGGCAAACACACATGAATTCAAATCCTACGACCTCTCAGTAGTGTTCCCAATATGTATTATTCGTTTTCCAACTGACTCTGACTGGTTGACACCTGGACGTCACTATAGCTGAAATGCGAACGGAGTCAGTCCGTTTGTTTGGTAGTAATTCCGGAAATAGACAATGGCATATTATACATATACAAAATAAAGAGAGAATTCTTGTTCATTTTTTCCTATTTTTTCTCATTTTTTTGGTGCCACCGTGGCGCGAACACTTCAAAAATAATTGGACACGCAGGTGTGCAGATGGATGGCTGTAGAAAATGGGGCCACAACACCTACAATTGGTAATTAGTAGTTGGCATTGAAGGTTACCGGGTAATTTACGGCTCAAAGTTCAGGTAATCATGGTACCCACAAGTTCTAGAAACCAAAAAGCAAACTAATAATACGCAATAAGGTGAATGTGTGGGAAAAGATTACATTTTTCAAATTTTAGATATAAGAAAAAGCTGATTTTGATATCTTGGCAGTTCTAACATAAGTAAATTCCAATTTGCGAGTAAAAAACTTGTTTAAAAGATTTAGTCAAGAATGTCATCATCTCTCTACTTTTAATTGTAAACATTTTAAACCTAGTCTCTGTTGAGTTGCCACCTTAAACAATCCCCAAATGGTTTTTTGCTTGTAGGTAATTGTCAAATAGATTAAGCACAGAATACATAAACTTCCCTCGCACATATTACTAATAATAGCTGATTAAACATAACTTATTTCAAATTCATATCATCTAATAGTTTCCAGCCTTAAAAATGAGATCCTTTCCCAATCCACATACTCACCGTCCAGCCAATTTTATCGCCGCCACATAGATATTCCATTTTGATGGGCAAATCGCCACGATCGAAATACATGCGAAACAACGTATTTCCACGTCCCGGATTCTTGACAGCCGCGCTGCAGCCATTAAAGCGGGAAGCCAAATTACACGACGAAATGGATTTCTGATGTTTCTTCAAACCTACAAAATAAACGAAAGAAAAATTAATGAGACAAAGAAATACATGTTTTGGGGCACAACTTTTTGGGGAATACACACATTTGGGATTTGGGGCTCTGCCCCGCGCACTTGCCGTAACGACTGCCGCCTCATGTATGGGGCCGTTAATGACAACGGTATTTTTCTGCTGTGATTGTATGGAAAATGGCGGCACATAACGGGGTCGCGAACCCTGTGTGCCGCTAAATGGCCGTAATTGCGGTGGATTTGCGGATTTCGAGCGTTGCTTCAACGAAATTGAATTTGTATGCAAATCGTGCGACGGCCGCGTTCCATAAGCGGTCGCAATGCGTGAATGAGACATTTGCGTGGGCACCGTTGCTGCCATCATCAACAACAAACTGTGACTGACTAACTGGCTGACTGTGACTAAATGACACCCAGGTGCAGGAATTTTCTAGCTGCTCGTTCGTTGTGGGTGTCCGTGCCCGTTACTATGGCGCACGTTGCTAGGACAGCCAAAGGCACAGTGACTGATAAGGCGCCCATTGTTTACGAATTGCATTTAAAGCAATTTTGACTTGGTTGTTGTTTTGTCTTTGCCGTTACCATTGTAACAGTGAATAGCGATGCAGCAACTGTTATTTTGCGACTGTCTGGCAACGCGCAAAAGGCGCAAATAGAAAACACTTTCAATATCCACTTATTCATATTTGCATTAACGCGCCAATTGTTAAATACGTTAGGTATCGATGCTTGTGTTGGTATTATTAGTTGCAAAAAAAGCACTAAAAAATGTCAACTGCATGCATCGGTATTTAATAAGAAACAAAGCCCTAGAAGTACTCGTTACTACTCGTTCCACTAATAAACAAGTATTTAGTGCAAGACTAGTGACGAGTCATGTAAACCAGAACTTGTTCAGTTCATTTCCGTTTCAGATGCAACTGCAATTTGGTATTTTAATACTAACTTATGTGCCTGTGATCAGTGTCACTGGAAAATACTTGTGACTAGCAGTTTTTTAGTTTTTTTTTGTTGCACCAGCTCTTCTACTTGCTGAGCGAATAAAGAACAAATGTGTGTGAAAAAATGTCGCTTTAAATTGGCAATTATCGTAGCGCAAGTTGTGTGTTAATTGTACGCCAATATACCAAAAAAGAGAAAAAAATCACAGCATTTTGGTGCCGTCAACAATTGAACGCATGCAGCAAGCAAAAGGTGCGCAAGACGAAGAAGAAGAACAACAGAAGCAGCAGCAACAACAGCAGCCAGCAACATGTCTTCCAATACAAATGGCAATGGGGGGGAGTTGAAAAAATTATCGGAGGAATCGCTGCTGCAACCGCCCGAGAAGGTCTTTGACATTATGTACAAGCTGGGCGAGGGCAGCTACGGTTCCGTCTACAAAGCACTGCACAAGGAGAGCAGCTCGATTGTGGCAATTAAACTGGTGCCGGTTGAGTCCGATCTGCACGAGATCATCAAGGAGATATCGATTATGCAACAATGTGATTCACCCTATGTGGTCCGTTATTATGGCTCCTATTTCAAGCAATATGATCTGTGGATATGCATGGAATACTGTGGCGCCGGCAGCGTCTCCGACATCATGCGTCTGCGCAAAAAGACGCTGACCGAAGATGAAATTGCCACAATACTCTCAGATACGCTCAAAGGTCTCGTCTATTTACATTTGCGACGCAAGATCCATCGTGATATTAAGGCTGCTAATATATTGCTCAATACCGAGGGTTATGCCAAACTGGCGGATTTTGGTGTCGCCGGCCAACTGACAGATACGATGGCCAAGAGGAACACTGTGATTGGGACACCCTTCTGGATGGCACCCGAGGTCATTGAGGAGGTTGGCTACGATTGTGTTGCGGACATCTGGTCACTGGGCATAACTGCCCTGGAAATGGCGGAGGGAAAGCCACCGTATGGCGACATACATCCGATGCGTGCCATATTCATGATACCACAGAAGCCGCCGCCATCATTTCGGGAACCCGATCGTTGGACCACCGAATTCATTGATTTCGTTAGCAAGTGCCTGGTCAAAAATCCGGATGAGCGTGCCACAGCCACCGAACTGCTCGAGCATGAGTTCATACGCAATGCAAAGCACCGGAGCATACTGAAGACCATGCTGGAGGAGACGTGTGCCATACGAGAGCAACAGCGTGCAAATCGTGCGGCAGGCGTTGCCATGAGCCAGGCCAAGAGTCTTGCCACCCAGGAGTCGGGGCTAATGCTGCAGGAAGAGGAAACCGAATTCAATTCGGGCACCGTGAAAACATTCATAGATGATCCCGGCACACTGGTGCCAGAGAAATTCAATGAATATCAACAGAACTCGGCGTCAGATGCGACCATGATAGCCCATCCCGAGGAGATGGATGAGGGCACACTGGGTCCGGGCGGCATTCGCGGCGGCATGGCGAAGGCAGCTGCCAAAGCGGCAGCAGCAGCAGCAGCTGGCCAAGCAGCGGGCACAGCAATCGGTGGTGGCTCATCTTCATCAGCGGATGTGGCCACTGTGGACAGTGGCACAATGGTCGAACTGGAGTCGAATTTGGGTGAGTAGTGAATGGAGAAGAGAAAGCGATGAGAAAGTTTCACCTGCACCAAAAGCCCAAACGAAATATGAATATGGAGGAGAAGAGATTCAGCTGAGTTCCCAGTGTGATAATGTAGTGTGAGGTTATTAGGATCAAGAAAAGATTCACCATGACCAAAAGCGCAGAGAAATATAAATTTAATTAATAACTAAAATTCAGTATTGCAAATCTTAATCAAATTATGTCTTTGAGTTAGATACCTCTTTGAGCTTGTAGCGACACCGATCAGGATTGATTTCAAAAGTTTGCAAGTAGTCCAAAAATAAGTCTCCATCTTACCACTAACTTTTGTTAGTTGTAAGTTTTTCGTTGAAATGAGACTCGCTGTGAAATATATAAATAATAATAATATATGTTTATAGCAGACAGGCACAGATAAGAACTCCGTTTATCTCGAGTGCAGCTCGAGGAATTTAAGAAGCAACGGAAGACTGTTTATCGCAAACATATGAGAGAGCCTTCTTTCTCTCTCTCTCTCTCTCTCTCTCTGCCAAATGTGGAATCAGTTTACTAAGCAGCTCTGTTTGATCTCCACAGGCACCATGGTGATCAATTCGGATTCAGATGATTCGACGGCGGCCAAGCGCAATGACGATCAGAAGCCGCGCTGTCGCTATCGGCCACAGTTCCTCGATCATTTTGAGCGCAAAAATGCTGGCGATGGACGTGCTGACGACAAATCGACGCCCACGCCCACAGAATACTCGCCCGCCGCAGTCGAGCAACAACTGCAGCAGCAACAGCAACAACACCAACAACAACTGCAGCAGCAGCAGCAGCAACAACAACCGCAACAAGAGCTGCAACATTTGGCGAGTGGAGCGCACGATGCCAACAACTGGGAGCACAATATGGAAATGCAATTCCAGCAAATCTCGGCCATCAATCAATATGGACTGCAGCAGCATCAGCAGGTGCAGCAGCAACAACAGTATCAGCAGCAGCAACAGCAGCAGCAGCAACACTTGCTCATGGCCTATCCGATGATGAACGAGCAACTGATTGCGCTCAACAATCAGCAGAATTTACTGCGCAACAATGCAACGCCCTCACAGCAACAACAAGCAGGAGGAGCTGGAGGTGGAGCTGGTGCAGCTCAGGCTCCGCCCGCATATCAGCATCAACATTTGCACACACAATCGCATGCGTATGTGGAGGGAGAATTTGAGTTCCTTAAATTTCTCACATTTGATGATCTGAATCAGCGGCTCAGCAATATCGATCACGAAATGGAGCTGGAGATCGAGCAGTTGAATAAAAAATATAATGCCAAACGACAACCGATTGTCGATGCAATGAATGCGAAGCGCAAACGTCAGCAGAATATCAACAACAATCTGATTAAGATATAAGAAAGATAATAATATAAAAAACAATAACTCAACTGAACAGCAGCTGATTATGGTAAGTGAAACGAGAACATGAAAGCTTTATTGTAAAATGCACTGAACAAAAAAAAATAAACAAATAATGCCGATCAGATATATATATTTGTATAAGAAAAAACAACAGTTGTAAAATGCGGCAGATATATATAGTTATATATATAACGATATTACATAAATACACATTTATAATCTAAATTGCACGTTTGCAAAGAAAGAAAAGAAGAGAAAAAATGAGTTCTAAATTCGAATAGTGTGGCATATATAATTTAACTGCTCTTCAGTTTGGACAAATGCCCAACCACCCAGCCCCCGCCCCCGCCCCCCGCAAAGCCTACTGCTCGTAATATATAACCTTAAGACTAATTTGGTGCGTTCTTCCTTGTTAACTATACTATTAACATTAATTTAAATTCATTATTAACTCGTTGTGCTTTGCGTATAATTTAAAAGAAATGAAACATTAAAATGTGCATCACAAAACAAAAAACCACAAGAAACCGTCAAGCAATAAATAAAAGAATAACAATTTTTATAACGCATAGGAATGCATATTTTTCGAAGATATATATTTAAATGAATAAATATATATATTACAAACACACACATACACAAAACACATACTCACATAAATACATATATAAACATATATATATATATAGTAACTTTTAGAGTTTATATAAATAATTTACAGACTAAATATATATAAAGAATTATATGCAAAAAGCAAATATTTGATTATGATCTTAAACTAAACACATTAGTTCTTTGAATTGCAAATTGTCCAGATAATATATATATGTGTCTGGCATATTAGTGTGTATATAGAAGTCTTCATTTTTTTCTCAATTATATAAATAAAATGATGATTAAATAAAGCTGCTTGTTCCCCTCTATTCGGCAATATCCATTTGCTGCAGCTGTGCCCGCAAATCCTCGGGCAGACTATGCTCCCTCAGAGCGCTCGGATCCTCGCCCTCCACAACGATCTCCTCGGGATCGGGTGCGCGTGGCAAGAACTCCTCCGCCTCGCCATAGAGTTTATCAAAGATATCGCGAGCATTGGCAATGGCTGCATCATAATCCAGCTCGTAGGTGGGCGCAGCAGTGCAACAAATGGGCATGGCGGTGCTTGTCTTTGGAATGGTTTGCGCTGTTAGCGTAAAGTAAGCGCTGTAGAGGATTTGTGGCGCATTCGCTTGGAAGAGCTGCGCTGTAAAGGCAGCCAAATCAGCGGAAGGATCTTCACTTATAGCAGGCGTCGTCAAATGAAAGATATCTGCAGGAGAGCAAGATCAAAGTTATCATATCTAATTCAGTCTAGACACGCATTTACTTACACAATCCTTCGGGGCAGGTGCCGGAGTAGTGTGCCAGTTGTAAGAGGCAAGCCTCCCGCGCTCCCTCCTCGGCCAGCAGACGCAACAAAATGACGCCGCCGCCACCCTTATTCAACTCCTCATTGCCCAACGGACTGGCGGCTATAAATAGACCCCTAGAAATGTGTGGTTTCAACTCGCCGTAGTGTCTGGCCAGCGAGGCAGGCAGTTGAGCTGGCGCACAGACCACCTGCTTGGCGCGCAACGTTTTCCCTGCGCTGCTAACTAGCAGCTCATTGGACTGCTCCGCCTGAGTGATGCCATCCAAGCTGCGCTTTAAGCAATAAACACCGCCAAAAACGGCGCAAAGGCGACAAAAGCACTGCGGCAACTCGCCAGAGCCGTACATAGGAAACAGAAATGGGGTATTCCCGTAGCGACCCAAGCTGCCGAGGAAACGATTGGTGCGCTGCATGCCCACCTCGAAGCTGGTGTTGGCATCGCACATGGCAATCGCCTGCATGACGCACGTGCCAATCTTGTCCGTCACTCGCTGCGCCTGCAGATACTCGAGAAAGGTGCGTCCGCGAAATGAGAGCTCATCCTCCTCCTTGTAATCGTTGCAGGCGGTGAGAAATTTCATCAGCATACGTTTCTCGACCATGGTCAGCATTTTGGTGTTGAAGACATCGCTGCGGGAGCAGGGCACCGACACAAGCTCATCGTTGGACAATATACAAACATGATCCACAGCACGAAATTCTGCGTACCGACAAATATTGGATTTGATCAGCAACTTGACCAACTCGCCATCGGAGTAGGCAACACGTGGACTCAAGTCTAAGCTGAAGCGACGCGACTTCTCCAGCAGCGTTTCACGTGTCCAACTCACAATTTCCATTTCCTCATTTTCCTCCTTCGACTCGGGCCCATGCCAAATGTAGCTTCCATTCCTCAGCGTGAAATTGGGTTGCTCCAGCAAACAATTAAATGCCTCCAGATTAAAGGAACTCCATGCATCGCCATAATATTCATTGGCATCGATGTGCAACACCGTTTTGCCAATGCGACTAGCGGCGGCCGCAATGCAGGATTCCGTGAAGCCTGACAGAAGAATTATGAGTCATCCTAAGCGAAAGGAGGAAAATAAAAGACAAAGCAAAGCTTACCTGTGCCCACAACAATCAGGTCAAATTCCTCGGGCAGATCATCCGACATCTTATTGCTTAAAGTTAACTAGATGTATTGACAAAGTATATACGCTTAATTAATTATTGTATTTACAATTTAAGGCGAAACACCTTTTGTCAAATTTATTACTATTACAGCTGTTAGTTGCGCAGAAGAAAGTTGTGGCTGTTTTTGGTATTTTTTATGTTAACCAGCCACGTTCACACTGTCTTCTATCTGTTGTTACTATCGAGTAGTATCGTTTAAAAACAACTTGTTGCTGCCATGGCAGGCAGACAGAGCACGTAAACAGAGGTAAATGTTAAATGCATAAAGAAAGCAAAATTTAACGGTAATCATTGTGTTAATTTCATTCAACAGAAGAACATTTACTTAATTTTGAAAGCTTTTAGCTGTTTGGAGTATTTCTTGGTAATTTAAAGTTGAACGAATGCGGTCACACTGTGCGGCTATGAAACTACTTGTTGCTGTCATGGCAACGGTAAAAAAGCATAAACAATAAAGTGAAAAGCTTTCGTGAACTGCCAAATGCATAATAAATGCAACACTAAAGGGTAAAACATGTAATTTTGCTTGAAGAATGCAGCAGAAGCTCACTGCACTATTTCTTGCCCATTTAAAGTTCCACGCATGCGGTCACACTGTAAGCAGCAGGTATAAAAAGCATCGTTTGAAAACTACTTGTTGCTGCCATAGCAACGGTAAAAAAGCATAAACAATAAACTTTCGTGGATAACTGCAAAAATGCAGCAGAGCCTAAGCAAAAAGATGAGCTTCTAGTGTGTCGTGTGTGTGTGTGTGTGGTGAAAATGTCCTTTGAGAAGATATTGTACAAATACGATGAACCACACGGCATTGGCGATGTTTACTTCATTTGGCAGAAGAGCGCGGGAGCTTTGCTGGCCACAACGGGCACCGATGGCTCCGTCGCCCTGTACAATCGCCAAGGGCAGCTGGTGCAGCGCATCATCCTATCCGGGTAATATATAGAGGGATTAAGCACACCATAAACAAGAAATGTGTTTAAGCTTATGTATATTTCAGTTTGTGTTCGGGTTTTGCCTGGGATGCGGATGGGGAACTCTTGGGCATCATCACCAGCAGTTCACCGAATGTGACGCTCTGGGACTATGCCACACAGCAAAAGATCACAGTGGAGTCCGGGCTGCGTGATCCGCTCACCTGCATACTTTGGTCCAAGCAGCAACAGTTGCTTGCCGTCGGCACAGGTCGTGGCAATCTGGCCATCTATAATCATCGGAGTGGTAAACGTACTCCGGTGCTGGGTAAGCACAATAAGAGGATTACATGTGGCGCGTGGTCTGCTCAGAATTTGCTCGCACTCGGCTCCGATGACAAGAGCTTCTCGTTGAGCAGCGAGGATGGGGACACGGTGAGAATCGTTCAGCTGCGTGATGCTCCGACGGATATGTACTTTGCCGAGATGTCCAACGATGAGCACTTGGCCGGTGACAATGCGATCAGCATGATCATTGGCAAACGTACGTTGTTTCTGTACTATTTGCCCCAGCCGGAGAATCCCACGGAGCTGGGCTTTCAGAGTCGCTACGGTTCGCTATTGCAGCACAAATGGTTTGGCGATGGCTACATTCTGTTGGGCTTCTCCAATGGCCATGTAGTGGCCATATCCACGCATCCCAAAGACGTCGGCCAGGAGCTGTGGCAGGTGAGGAATCACAAGGATACGCTGACGGGATTGGCTTACTGCCCAACGCTGGACATTGTGGCCTCGTGTGGGGATGATAAGTGAGTAGGGAATTAAACTTTTAATCCTTGCAATCATCCAGAGGCTCTAATCCCTCGCACAGCATCAAAATCCACTCGATTACCAATCTGCAGGAGACGGAACGCATTATCACTGTGCCGGATCATGCGACTGTCCAAATGATTGACTGGTCCCCAGATGGACAACTCTTGGCCGTCACCACCAGTGTGGGCACCGTCTATACCTATGTGACCAAGCTGCCGCATATGTTTGCCGTCTCTGCACCACGCCTCGTTATGCTGAGCAGCCTGGCGGAGGTCTCCATCTATGTCTATGCACCGGATAAATCAAAGGCGTTACCATTTCGCCTGCCTCTGGAAACGGAGCCCACTTTTCTGGCCATTGGACCGTACAATTTTGCTGCGGGCGTGGACAAACACGTATGGTTCTATGATCTCGGCAAGAGTTTGGGCGATGAGCCGCGTCCCTTGAACGAACGTGATTTACCACATGATATTGTGGCAATGAAACTGAATGCGGATTATTGCGCTGCTCTGTGTCCGCCCCAATTGATACTGCAGGCCATTGCAACGGATAATCCCAATTGCAAGGATAAACTGCAGGCTAGCTTTCCCAGTGCGCTGCCCACCATGCCCAGCGATGCGGTCATCACGTGCTTTGCCCTCAGCCAGGAGCTGCTCATCTTTGCCACCGACGTGTGTATGATTCTTTTAAGATTGTGCTTGTTAAATGTTGCTTAATCCCTTGCAGATTGGCCACCTGGTCTTCTTCTCGCTGGAGAAGTGGGACACCTGCACCGTCTATCGTCATAGCAACGGGATCAGGCAACTCTTCACCGATGTCGAAGGCACCAAAACCATTTTTATCGATGAACATGGCCAGGGTTTTGTTTATTTGCCCGCACTGGATCAGGAGGCGCTGCTCATAGCGGACATGCCCAAACAGTGTGTGGGCTGTCTGTGGGATCTGACACAGCCAAACATCTTCATTAGCTATGATGCGCGTATGGTTTACACGCATGTCTTTGCCCGCCACTCGGTGCGTGGCAGACACACCCAGAAATTGGGCGAATCCAAACTGAATCCCGGCCAGGTGCCGTTGTTGCTGTGCGCCGGCGAAATGGCTTTGCATATCGATGGGGGGCAGTATGCGACACAATCGTTGAGCACCCATGTCGTCAATCCCGCCAACATTCAGTGCGAGAATCTTCAACTGCTGCTCGGTCTGAAGAAATACGATGAGGCCTACAAGCTGTGCGAACAGATGCGCATGGATTACGCCTGGCGACTGTTTGGCGAGCATGCAATTGCCGATCTGGAGCCGGAGATTGGTAAGCAGCCTGCAATCTATCTATCTATATCAATATATATACTTATTGCCTCCTCTTGCTAAAGCTTTGCGCGCCTATCGTCAGTTGGGTGATGCAGCTCTCGTGAACGCTCTCGAGGAGATGCGCTATATCGAGGATCTGCACATGTTGAGCGGCTGCTGCTGCATGCTGTTGGGCCAATACGATCAGGCGAAGGAATATCTGCTGAAGGGAGTTTATACCCGTGCAGCGCTTGATCTCAGCCGGGATTTGCTACAATGGGATCAGGCATTGCTGCTGGCCCACAAATATGAGCCGCTGGAGGTGCCGTTTATAGCACGTGAATATGCCCAACAGCTGGAGTTCACGTAAGAATCCATTTTACATTTAAAATGTAAATTTAAACAGATTTTTTTCTAGTGGAAACTATGCGGATGCATTGTATCACTATGAGAAGGGCTACAAGGAGGATTTGATCAACAATGAGGATGCAGAACCATCGCTGCTGCTGCACAGTTCGCCGGAATACGAGGAGCATGTGCGTCTGTGCAAAATGGGCATTGCACGCACCTCAATCAGAGCTGGAGACTTTCGACGTGGCGTAAGCAACTAGAGAAACTGAGAAATGATTTCTGTAGAAGTGGAAGAAGTATCTCTTAAAGACTTCTTTTGCTGCCGCCCGGCAGGAAAATGTTAAACACCATTTCTAGCCAATCTATCTCAGTTATATACTCTTGATACTCCCTCTTCAAATACCCTTCGATATCTATCAGCTTAATGTTCATTAATGTGATTCCTCCCTGAACAGATTCAATATGCTGTCGAGCTGCAGGATAAGCAGCTGCTCTTCGACTGTGCCGAGCTACTCGCCACTGTGGGTCATCTCACTGAGGCTGCTGGTCTCTATGAGCGTGGCAGCTTCTACGACGAGGCATGTGGCCATTATATAGCTTTGAAGATGTGGCACAAGGCGAACAATATTTTGGTGCATGTGAAGAGCAGCAAGCTGCATGCCGCCTACGCCAAGGCCAAGGAATCGGATGGCCAGTTTGAGGAGGCCATTAGAAGCTATCGCATTGCTGGCGACTTGGATGCCTGTGTGAGAATCTATCTGGATCACCTATGCGATCCGCATTCTGCCTCCGAAATTGTGCTGGAATCGCGTTCGATGGATGCGGCCAAGTTGCTCGCGAAGTTCTATCAGAAGATCAATGATATTGAGCAGGCGTTGCAGTTTCTTGTCATCTGCGGCTGTGTGGAGGAGGCCTTCCAACTGGCCCAGCGCCACAACAAGTTACGGCGTCATGGCGAACTCCTAGAACGCTACGAGAATGCCAAATCGGCAGACTATCTGGCGCTGGCGCATTACTTTGAGAGCGAGAAATATACGCTGCTTGCGGGCAAATATTATTTTCTCGCACGCGAATTTACCAAAGCGTTGCGTTTTCTGCTCAAAGCCTCCGCTTTTAGCAATGAGGAATCTCAAGCACTGTCGCTGGCCATCGATTGTGTGGCAACATCGAACAACGAGCAGCTGGCGACGCAACTAATTGAGTTTCTGCTCGGTGAATCGGATGGTGTGCCCAAGGATCCGCGTTATCTATTCCGCTTGTATATGGCACGCAAGCATTACAAAGATGCGGCTAAGACTGCTGTCATTATTGCCAATCAGGAGCAACTGGCGGGCAATTATAAATCAGCACGAGATCTGTTATATTCCATGTACCAGGAGCTGCGACGCAATAATCTCTCGGTTACGGCGGAGATGCGTCACAATTTGATACTGTTGCATCGCTATACGCTGGTGCGCATCCATGTCAAGCTGGGCAATCATCTACTGGCCGCCAAGCTGCTCGTCCAAGTGGCCGCCTGCATATCACAGTTCCCAGAGCGTAAGCTAGACCTATCAAGATAGGAGTACGTCATTATATTTATATTTGAACCCTTGCAGACATTGTGCCCATATTGACTTCGACGGTCATTGAATGTCATCGTGCTGGCCTCAAGAAATCCGCCTTTACCTATGCCTCGATGCTGATGCGACCCGATTACCGCAATCAGCTGGACGGACGTTATGTCAAGAAGATTGAGTCGATTGTGCGCAAGGCACCGAAAGGCATTAAACAGCTGCGCGATGAGATCGATGATGAGACCATGGAGTGTCCCATTTGTGATGCCAACTTGGCCAACATGGAGGTCACCTGCTACAGCTGCAAGACAACGCTGCCCATTTGCATAGCGACAGGTCAGCACATCATTAAGCAACAGATGACCTCATGTCCACAATGCGATTTCCTTTGCTTTCGCGCCGAAATGGAGAAGTGAGTCAATATATACATTATATATATGTAGATATATATATATATATTTATAAATATTTTCAACTGTCTGCAGCATACTCTCGGAGAATGGCGACTGTCCCATGTGCGGGGAGCGTGTGGCGCCTGAGCAGCTGTTCGATGTGGAGGATATACGCCCCTATATATTGGCCGCATCCTAAACTGATCAATTAGTTACTAAGCAAGCATATATAGACTGCACTGAACAACACCAAAAATAGTATTTATAAGTTACATAAGGCACCGATTTCACCTGGTATAACAAATTAAACAATGGATATTCCATGAATATGTTTTAGATTTCTTTATAATTTTGTGTTGCAGGCGGCATTTCCAAAATTTCTTAGTCTACACTGTAATCTCAACTAGTCTCTCTGTTTAAAAGGCGTTCTAATCAGAATTTATGATCTTGATTATTCAATTCCTGATCCAATTGAAATTCGTGCAAAAAACACAGCTTGATCCCAAATATCAATTAATGAATCCTTGTATCAATTGCCATAAAACCTGATATCATATTGGAGTTTTCTATAAAAAAAAGGGGTGAATTGTAATAATTTTAGATCACAATAATTTAATCTAATGCTACTTACAACTTTCTAGTACATATTGCGGCTCCTTTGCCTTTAATTCTGGCAGATTTACATCAAGATCAGAATCCCAAATCATAGCTCCAATATTTTATTAAGTTGTAAAAAAATAAACAAGTTCTTGCATAAATATCAACAATAACAATTGCAAATGTCCCAGGGCATTTTAATCCTTTTTAAGCTGCACAGCAAATTTGGTGGCTTTGATATCGCAGGCGGGCAGACTGGACTTGAGGCTCTTGGCGACCTCATCCATGTCTTTGACATACAACATGTCAAAGATGAGCAACTGCCTTAGATTCTTAAGCTCGCTGATAATGGCTAGACCGGAATCGGTGATGTTATAGCAGCCCGACACCTGCAGACTTGTCAGCGAATCGGTTAAATGGGTGAGTCCAACCAGACCATCGTTTTCCAGATGCTTGCAATTGTGAAAGATCACCGTGTCGATGTGATCACAGTTCTTGAAATGCTCCAAGCCGATTTTCATCACGGATGCATTGGAAGCGTCGACAACCTTAATGCGAAACGGTGTTGTTTCTGATGGCAGCATATTGTAGTCCTTCCACAGCTTGGAGGGATTATCGGTGAAGCGGACGCCGCCGCCGTTCTTAACCAACCATTCTGCGCAGAGGCGATTGGGACCCACTCGTGCCAAGCGTTCCGCATCAACCTGATTGAATGCCACTGCCACATAGCCCCAAATCTCACGCACAGGTGTCGCACATACTGAGGATTCTCGATTTGGCTTTGCTTTGAGTAGTAGCCGATTTGTTATTGATTTTGTAATTGTATATAAAAGCGACATTGCCGAAAACAAACCAGCTGTTCAAGCTAACACAGCTCTGCGCTGTTACACAGCACTGCTCGTCTTAAAACAACGAGTGAGAGAATTGAATGTTATTTTGTTGGTGCTATATAATAATGCGCTGTATGGTTTCTTCTACCCCTAAAACTTTAGCCATTTTTAAATTTAGCTAAAAATGATTTACAACATTTAAATTGTACATTTTCGAAGAAAATGTTGAGTTTTCTAACACTACTAAGCAGGCAGCCCTGATTGTTATCGGAGCGCAGCAGCAGCAGCAGCTGAACATTTTGCTCTCGACGTATCGATACATGGAATATTTACAATCAGTTCTCGTTCAGTTGTCAAGGCGGAAGGGTGCTTAGTGTCGCGTTCGTAACGAGCATCGTTTCTATACGCTTAATTAATCGAAAACAAAAGCGCGTGTGTCTTGCGAATCAATACAAAACTTCACAAAAACAGTAAATATTTGAAGCAATGTACACAGCGAATGTGTGATAACACATAATAAAACATAACGCGTTGCATTTTTGTTACAAGGCAACCAAAAAAAATAAATTCTAATAGCGAGTGCAAGTGTGACCAAAAGAGAGTGAGTAAGAGAAAGAGCGCCGAAGAGAGCGCGAGCATAAAATCACAGTCGCAGCAGCAGCAGCAGTAGCAGAAAAACAAAATAAATACATACACACACACACACATGTAAGTACAAACATAGTTTTTTTTTTAATGTTTTATGTATTTGTTACGCATTTGCTGCGGCGGCAACAATCAAAACAATCAACGAAAATCCAAATTCAATCTTGATAGGCATGCAACACACACACATGCACACATAGACGCATATGCAAGGCGCGCATTAAATAAAAATAAATTCTGCCGCTGCGTTTGTTTTGTGTTTGTGTGTGTCGGTGTCAGTGACGTCGCTGTCGCAGTCGCAGTCGCTGCCTGCGCTCGCGTCAGCATCGAACGTGTTAAAGTGACGAATAAACAACACACAGAATCGTTCACTAGAAAAAAGATACGACAAATCGACAGACAGACAGTTAGACAGCCAAACATTTGTACATATCTTTCACACATATATACAGAAAGGTATATACACACACACACGCAAGCGTATAGACGCTGTTTAGTTTATAGCCGCGGCAGACATTTTGGCTGCTTCGCTTGGCGCAATTTGTTTATATGAGTGCAGCCACAATCCACAATCCCCTTCCCCCATAACTAAATTCCCTACCTCTACAGGCAAACCGAAGCCCCCTACCCTTCCCCTCATCATTGGCATCCATCTCAAGCACATCAGTTTTCATTCACGCTAATTTTTGCCTTCACAACTATTTCTACTTCCACTTTTATTTTACCCATTACAAAACACATGCATGCAATGGGGCATATTAGCGCTTGTCAAATCTGCTTAGCAGGCAGATAGAAGCATATGTGAAATTATATTGGGGTTACACATGCCTAATTAATTCCTTTCGCTATAATTATAAATACGCGCCTAGCAGCCCATAGCATACAGCAGCTTCTTAAATCAATGAACGCTGCTTAAGGACAGAGTATGTTTCTGTGATCACTCACAGCTAAGAAATTTTTTCACGGTTTTGTCTACTCCTCTCGGGGCACCCAACTGTGCGCTCGTGTATATGTAAATGTGTGTGTGCTAAGATGAAGAATGATATGCAGCAATGTTAGATGATAAATAGCGCGCGCAATATTAAATGATTTATTTTGCCTGGCGGCTGCCCCCCGCCACCTCTGCCCCCACTGTCCCTTTGGCTTCTTTGCCCCGCAGGTTCATTGTGCCCGTTTCTCTCGTATGCTGTGCATTCTCTCCCCCTCTCTCTCTCTCTGTCTTTTTCTCTGTGTTTTGACCGTAGCTAAAGCTGAAAAGAATTCATCTATGGGCTAAAGCTTAATGCCCATTGCTGCTGCCTTTCAATCTGCTCTGCTTTTGTATCTACATTTGTTGTTGTTGTCTGGTAATTGAAGCAAGCAATTGTACAAATCCGCAGTACAGTCGCCTCGCCGCCTTGCGCCTTTTATTTCCCGAGTTAAATAAAAGAGCAAATCTGACAGCATGATCAAGAATTATTAGTATTTGTTCCTTATCCAAAGTGTAACGAATCATTTTATTTTGAATTTACATAAATTTGAGTTAAGTTCAATTATTGACTGAACAAAGAATCGAGTAGAGTACAGTTCTATAAATATATATGAATGGGATATATGCATTTATATATTCACAGTTATTCCGGGCACCTAATCAAGCCATTTGATTAGTCAATTGAAATGCCATTTCTCCATTGGGGTGACTCAAACATTTGCACAATTAAATCAATTATTTGTGGGGATTTCATTTAATTTGATTTCATGCTTTGCCAATGCAACTAATCGCATCTCATTTCCAACAACAACATCAACAATAACAACAACAACATTTTTCCACTGGCATTAATCATTCGCCATGGTCGCGAACAGCAGTAGAAAGAGAAGGAGAAGGAGGAGGTGCAGAGAAAGAAGCACACCAAAAGCAATTTCATAAAAATGTCATTTTTTTCTCCAAGTTCTCTATTTTTTTATGTGTGCTAGTTATGCGGCTTTTTTTTACTTTGTTATTTTATTTATTTATTTTTTCTAATTAGTTATAATTACACTTAATGCAATTTAGTTATTAGCTCTTCTCTATCGTTTTTGTAGTTCGTGCCAGCTTTATTTATTTTTTGCTCTCTTCTCTTATTTTTCTTCTTTTTTTGCTCTTAATTTCGTTGCCCTAAAAGCATTTAAAATGTTTTTGAAGGGGTATAATTATGTTGGACTACTTTTCACTTTTCAATGAACTGACTTTCCAACCCAGGACATTTTCATCATGATTTGAGCCTTACAATAAAACTATATTTAAATTTTAAGACATTATTCTGGACTCGAATTTATGTTTATAATATTTCGCAGAAAATCTGCTTGAGGACGTTCGTAACTTTCCAACGCCATAAGTATCCCAAAACTGAACCGATTTCCATAAACCAAGACTTTTTAATCACGATTTGAGCTCTAGAACAAAACGACATTTAAATTTGAAAACATGATTCTAGCTCGAAATTCGTTTAAAAAACCTGTACGAAAGAACCGATTTGGGACCACTTAAAAACTTTCCATTACCATTAATTCGACTTCTGCGCTTGGCAAAGACTTGGGCTTAGGGTATCTACTCCTCAGGCAAGGACTTGGGCTTAGGATATCTGCTAGTCGAGCACTCCCGACTACAGCACTCACACTTTTTGCACGATTTGTGCACATTGCACATTGTCGTTGTTTTCATTGCTTTTGAAGCTTTAGAGCAAAAAAACGTTTGTTGTTACAAGGGCTTGGCAAATACAAAACAAATATCTGAGTGGGAGTTGTAGGTTCTCAGGAGTAGAGGGGAGCAACGCGGGGGTGGGGGGTCGCAAATGTGTGTTTTGTTGTGTTGAGCAGCTCTGAGAAGAGGTGTTGGTGCATTCTGTGCTGTGCTGTGCTGTAGATTTCAGTTGGCCTGATAACTTCAACCGCATTTGCAGTACCTGAAGGTGCTTTTTTTCTCTCTACCTCTGTTTTTGTTTTATTGTATATTGTTTTGTGCCAAAGCCGGGTTTCGCAATGTGCTAAAATATTTATGAATTAGCCGGAAAGTCACGTTACGGGTATAAAGATCGCTAAGTGCTTTTCAGATGTGATAAGTGAGCAGTGACTACATAAGGAGCTGACTTATAACTACCATTAGTATTTCAAATCGAAGCACTTAATATGAGTGGCTTCGTTTATTATTGCTGTAACTGCTACAAACTAAAGGTGACCTGAATCCATTGTGCCTCAACCTGATAAATGAGATTTAGCTCTTGATTCAGAACTATCATGACTAGCTAAGCGAATCACAGTCTGCTTATTGGATAGTTCTTCGGAATGTGTTCCAAACAGGGTTTCTAGCCGTAACCGCAACTGTACCGATTGAAATTCAATAAAGAAAACGAAATTCAACATTTTTTTAAAGAAGCAGTTACAGGAAGCGATGTTATTGCTTTATATAGCACCAAAATGGAACTATCTACCGAATGCGAACATTTTGTAAAAGAAAAGAGCTTCTTAAAACCTTTTTCAAATTGCTAAACTGTTTTTGTCTACATTAACTAAATAATAAAATAAATACATGCTCTTTGAGTTTAAAAGTTTTGCCTGGAAAATGCTTGAAATTTTCCCTAACCAACCCCACGAGCAGCTTGATCCCTCCCTTCCCCCTCTCCGAGTGTGCATATGTTTTCACATTGTAGACTCCGCCACTTTTCCTACTTGTGCAGTAATCTAATATATTTGAGGTAGTTCAAGCATTAATTCTGTGCTAGTCGCTGCGCCTTGTTAAATCTCTGTTGAAATCAGTTAATCGCCCTGATAATTAATGGTACAACTAACAATTAATTTAATAATAAAAAAAAACCCCAAGCCAATGTAAACTTTTTCCATATCATTTAACGTTCAGCTCTCGTGAACGCTTTAAATCAGACACGAAACATTGTGTGGCTTACTACGACTGAGTGTGTGTTGTGTGTGCTAGGTGCGTATGCGTGTGTGTGTGTGTGAGGGAGAGGGAAGGATAGAGGGGCGTGTAGCCAAGTACTGGCCTCAAGGTGTGAATTCTACTTAAATTCAATATCGCAATATGCGCATCATATGCATATGAGCCAAGCAATTTTAGCCAAGATTATATCGAATACTTTTTAGGCTGTGGGGGAGGGGAGGGGAGGGGGGACCTCATAAATAAATGCATTTAATGCTTGGCTGGCTGACTGACTTTGGCTGGGGGGGACGGGGGCTGTCTACTGCATAAGATTCGTTACGTTGCTTGTCTCACGGAAGGAATCTGTTTCTGTTGTGGCAAGGCCAAAATCGAGCCGACTTCTTTGCAACTTGCAACTTCCCTGGCTCTCATCATTAGCAATTTGAAATGCATTCACAAAAAAAAAAAAGAAGAAAGATTCGATGCGAGCGTCTCGAGTAGTGTATCCAATTATTTTCACATTTTATGGCGTAAATTTTCTTAAGCTCAGCTCCCCCTGCTCCTGCCCCAACCTTTCCCTTCATACCCCCCAGCCGAAAACCATTTTTCAACCGAAACGAAACAAAAAACGCATGGGGGAAGAAAAAAAACATAAAATGCAGCTTCAAGTCCAACTAAGGCGAGCGCTGGACAACAAATCTTAAAAAGGCATCAAGATTATTGCACAGAAAAATTCTTTTCTTCACACCTCTGCCTCGATCGGAGTCGGAGTCAAAGTCGGACCCAACACACAAGACACAAGCACAACAAAAGGCCCAACCAAGAAGCTAAAGAATTAAATGCGACTTCAAAGAAAGGTACAAATAAAAAAGAAAAAGGAAAACGAATCTTTGACATGCCAAAGTTGAAATACCCTTTGATTGGTAAGATATGGGAGAAATAAAATTATTGTACTAGTTATATATATATATTGAATTAATGTAGATCATTTGTGGTAGTGGTAGTCTATTCAACCGATTTTAGCATAGGTATGAGCCTGAAGGTGAACTAAAACGACTTATCAATTGAAGCAGACTGAGAATATATAAGACTTGTGTAGTCGGGGATATTTCCGCACATAAAATCATAAAACTATTTGTAAGGGTATTCAAAGAAAATGTAGAAGAAGCAGCAGCAGCAACAGACTGGTATAACAAGAAGAAATATGGTCAAAACGAATGCGGCAACACCAACAATGGACATGTGTTGCAGCAGAGGCAGTAACAGAGCAGAGCAGCAGCAGCAACAATAAAAACCAATTTAAGCCAAGCGACGCGTCGAGTCGCCTCCATGTGGCAGCAAAAACAAAACTCTCTGCGTCTATCTGTATCTGTATCTGTAACTGAACTGGGCATGTGTGTGTGCGTGTGTGTGTATGTGGAGGATTCCTCGTAGGTTTTTATTTTTCTTTAACTCGAACTGACGTTGGGAAGAAACGTCAACTGCGTGGCAGCAACAACAACAACAGTTGCAACAACAAGAACAGCAACGCATTCACAATCAGTTTCAGAAATCAGATTCGGTTCGAAGTTGAATAGTTTTTTCTTGTTGTTGTTTTTTGTGTGGGTATCTCTCTCTCTATGCCCACTGCCAGTCTGCATGTGTGTGTGTGTGCGAGTGAGTGTGTGTTTGAGTTACGTGCACACCTGTGGAACACAATGCTGGGTTCTCTGCTTTGTAGCGTCGGGATTAGCAGATGTCTTGGCATACAAAAACGTTTCGAAAATAAATTACAATTTCATAAATGTTCATAACAAAAAAAAGATGGAGAAGAAACCCGAAAGCTCATTGATACATTTTTGAAAGCAAAGAAGTTAAAAGAAGGATTGGAAATGCTCTTTGTAGTATAAAATGATATTATTATGCTAAACCATAATTGAATTATGTTTACAAATTATGCCTAAGCCTTATAGATCATATATCTTATGTGAAAAGTAAAGTTATTGAAAAAGAAGTTTTGGAAAGAACATTGTTGAGTTACTGCCACATAAAAACATCCCAGCAATATATGTGTAAGAAAGTACTTTCTCAAGAGGAAATAGCTTACAAAATAGTATAAAAGAGAGTAAAGAGAATGTCTCTAATACCTTTAAATAACAAGTCCACCACATCTATACACATGGTTGTATTTTTAAAAAGATCTTAAAGCAGAAAACATAATCCCATTTCTCTCACCTGTCCACTTTCTCAAGGCTTGAAACTACTTCCCCTGTCATTCAATTATAAAAAATCTAAAGTACGCTTTTGTTCAGATTCGTTCCTTTGAATAACTTAAAATTATTTGCTTCACATACCCTGCTAAATGAAACAAAAGTCTATTCATTAAACAAATCTACCAGGTCATAAATGGAAACTTTTGTTAACATTGCAGAGATTGTCATAGAAATCAATTCAAACAGCTCAATACCAAAAGTCATCTATAGAAAAATGAAATGATGAAGCCTTTTCAAAATGAACTCAAGCAGACAACAATAATGACAATAATAATAATAATATCGGGCGTAGTCCATACGAGTTGAGGACACGGTAATCTTAATGTGACCATTTACCATTTAACCATTTACCCGTCGGGCTTCCTTATTATAAGTACTTTTCACCTTCAGTTCTTGAGGCCTGTCAGAACTCTCCGAACCGAAGTGGCAAAAAGCAACAACAACAACAACAACAATACGAAAATCCAATACCAAAGAAACAGATGCTTCTAAGACACGGAGCGGAGAGATCATAGCCAGAAAAGTAACAGCAACAACAACGGCAACAACAATAAAACTGAAACCCTCTGAAATCCCAAAGAGTCTGCCCCATGCCTCGTCTCTGGAAAACGACCCGACCAGGCACAATCCAGTTTTCTGTCTGCTTCTTTTTGTGTGCCCTTGCAAGCGGGTATATTCAGTTTGTTGTGCAACGCAGCAAAGGAGGCATGTCTGAGTGTATCTATATCTATTCTTGTTCAACTATTAATATACTAGCCTCGATTTATCTTTCCAGCTTTATCTACTAACTCAGCTATAAAGTAAACTACATCAGTTGATATAAATAATCCCAGGGTATGCCAACGTCGGTTTACTGTCAAGTTTAGCTGCGTCTTTTTTTCGTATTCTTTGGTCTCTGTTCTTTGGAGTTTCTGGCAGATCTGCCGTTGATTTCGTTTCGTTTCGCCGTCGTTGTTGTTGTTGTTTTTGTAGCTGGCTGTGCTTTGTATTTTATTTTTTCTTCACACCTTCAAAAAGGCAAAAGGCTGAAATTTTGAACGTCGACTGGAAATTCAATTCAATTCCCTTGCCACAGGCCAACAGCCGTCGGATGAGACGCCCGAGCCGAGAGCCGTAGCCGGTTTCTGGTGTTGGTGTCGCGCTTGGTTTTCTCACTTGGCCCGAAGACACCGAATATGTGCGCTTGTGTGCGTGTTGTTTGTGTGTGTGTATGTGTGTTGAGTGTATATGTGCATATGTGTTTCTTTTTTATACAGAGAGAAAGGAAATCAAGTACATTGCATTCCCAACTTGGGAGTTTACCAAGTGTGCAATTAGTTTATTAGAGTATTTTAATGATATTTTCAAAGCTATTTTTAGTATTTTAGCAAGTCAGTGAGAGTATGAAATAAAGGCTATCAAATAAATATACGGAATAAGATCATAAATAAAGAAAATAAAAATAATACACAAAATATATAAGAGTTCCTCATCATAGGCCTAAGAAAAATGTCTTCAGCAGGACTTAATTAAGTTTACTTAAGTGTATTGATCTTATTTCTAGTAAGTCAGTGAGCGTATGGAACGTAGTTCAAATGAAGACTTTCCGATCTTCAAATAAGTATACAAGACTCACTTCTTCATTCAAGAACTGGTAAAAATGTGTTCTTACACTCTTCGCTTTAGTATACCCTTTATTTTTCTCAGTGTGGCTCTCTGTTTCTGTTGAGACGGAGACTGCAGAAACTGCGCGAACTCGCCGCGCGTTAACTGACAGCCCTTCTACTCCCCCCGCCCAGTGCTCGTCCTGCCCTTCTAGTCCGTCCCTCTGCTAGCGTTGCTTTTGTAAGTCTTCTTCTTCGCACTGCCCAGGATCATTTCTTATTCGTTTTATTTTGCTCGTTGTTGTTGTTCGTTAAGATCTTTTGACAGCCGCATTGCGCGTTGCTTAACTTGCCCGCATTTTGTTGCTTTTGTTTTGTTTTGTATTCTGTTTTCGTCTTCATTTTTTTGTTCGTTGTCGCTCTCCTTTTTTGAATGGAACTCAATTTGACATGCCTGAAGATTTTCTCTGAGCTCCGCTTTAAGTTAAAAAAAAAGAAAAAAATAAAAGAAACCGAAATTAAATCGAAAAATTATTGCGCGACGGATTAATTTTATGAATGCCACCGCCAACGGCCAGCCTCCGCACCCGCCTCTCTGCCTCCTCTTCCAGCCTTTGCCTGCTTTTGAAGTCTATGCGTAAGCGTTATATATGAGCCGCCTAAATCATAAGCTTACAAATCCAACGATTCCCATGTCCCTTTTTGTCCCTCTCGCTCTCCTCTCCCTCTCTCCTGTCCCATTCTTAATTAAAGCCACGCAAAAAGAACAACAACATAAATAAAAAACGTCCACTTGACATTATCTAGAAAATAGTACTATATATTGCGTAAGTCTGTTGGGGCCTTTTGATAGAAGTTAGTTTGTCGCACCAATAAAATGTGTTTGTCGTTGGTTTTGTTGACTGCTTATCATTTGTGATGATAACACGTTTAGTAATAACAAACAACAAAGCCACAACAGCAACTGCAATGCCTGGCAAATACCCTGTAAGTTATTGAACAGCAGAAGAATATATTCTGCTCATGTTTATCTTTTGTTCTACTAAACTTGAAGTTGGCAACTTATACATCCAAAATAGAAATGTAAATATTAATATAAGCATACATCATGTATTTATTGGTCATAATCAAATTTAGAGCATAACAAATTGTACAAGTTGACATACACCAATGAACAGTAGACATCGCGTACAGGGTATCTACGTTCAACTTGAGTCGCGGTAAGCAAATTAAATTTGTACAAGTCCGTCATGCAACTGATGTCACGGGTCACAAAACCAGCAAAAAACGACGATTTCCAAGGAATTTTAGACCGAGATATGAAATCGAAAATATAAGTCAAATAGTTGATTTATGGCCTTTAAAACGCCTCTTTCTATGGCAAAATGGGGCATAAGCCGACCCAAGGACAAGGAATACATTTTGAAGAATTCATTTATTTATATTTGATAAACTGACAACTTAAAATCTCAACGCATCAAATCTTATTTTCCTTTTTAAGGCTAAGGCAAAGTTTGGCCTTTGCGCCAGGATATGGTGGACGAGGAGGGGACAGAACTGAATCTTCGATTACTGCATCTTCGATTAAGCATACTTCGATTTCTGATTCTGCGATTACTGGCTCTTCGTTCATAGGCACTTCTTTTTGTCGCAGAGATTATTTTTGATCTTGATATATTTGTTCACTGCATTCTTTTCCGATGTTTTTTAGATTTATATAGTTGATATTGTTCGACTTTTTTTGCGAATGATTTTTTTTGGGTGTCTGTTAAATTCATTTTAAAACTCAAATATATTAACAAATAATCAACTGTGTGTTGCACATCAATCCTTATAATCCATTTTGAGGGTTTTTTATTTCGATGTCAAATAGCCAATGTAATTCATTGTTTACTTTGAGGCAGACACAGGGTTTGCCATGCGCCACTTTCTGCATTACCCTTGCCATTTGCTCGGCACGAAAGCGCTTCTTCCGCTGCTCCTCCCGCTGCCCTTCCTCCACGATCAATTTGCGTTTCAGCTCCTGCCTGGCTGCGATGCGAGCACTGCGACGTGGCTGGGGGATAACAATTTCTCGATCTTCGATCAATGGTTCGTCAACTGTTGATTGTTCTTCAATTATTGGCGGCTGTTCGATAGTATTCTCCATTTCCTCATTTTCATTGTGGAATGACATTATCTAAATATATATAGTTTACAATTCGCTGTGGGTATATTTTCTTTTTTATTATATTTACATGAATGGCAGATAATTTTTTTTTTAAGAAATTAAACATACTTGGATGGTGTGCTTTAATGTTGTCAATGGATATGGAATTTCTACAATACTGAGAAAGATTTTTGTGAACCTGCCAAATGATGTTTATAGCACGACCTTCTTTTTTTCAGCAGCCCTAGTATAATCAATATTTTGTGGCATATAAATCAGCAGCTTTTAATATTTAAATGAATATAGAAATCATTTAATATGCTAATTGATACACAATAAACTGCGCATTAATTGATTCCTATTCTTAAAACGTTCATCTCTCTTTTTACTGGCATTTCTTTTGCTTGCCTTGTGCGATATTTTTCCTTTTATCGCACATTCTCAAGGTTAAGTCTTATTAAGTCCACTCCACCTGATTCCCACACACACACACAGCCCCTTTCTTCCCTTCTCCACCCTCCGCTCATTTTGGCATATGATATCACACACACACACACACAGTGACACACACGCACGTATCACAAGCTAGCCCCTGAGCCTTATCAAGCAACAACAACAATTCGCTTTGTTTGTTTGCTATTTATGCGCTTTAGACCAATCAAGCAAAACGGTTTATCATTAAAGCGATAAAAAAGACGTTAATTTATTGTGCACACATACATATATATACATATTATATATTTACATAAACAAGAATGTTAACTAATTGTGCAAAAAATAAAATTATCAAACTTGAGAAAAGCTTTAAAAGCTCCCCTCCTGCTGAGCTGCTATCTCGCTCTCTCCCTCTGTCTCCCTTTACTACTTGCTGCCCTATTTCGTTCATAATAAACCGTTATAAGCAGGCGTGCATTGCAGCTGTCTGCCAGCCTGTCTATCTGTCTGTGGGTCTGTCCGTGTGCAGTGCACAAAGCATCCAAGCAGAAGCCAATGGAAATTAGCCAACAATTATAAAAACTCTTTTTAGTTATTTAATTAGTGAGCGTTCTGCTGGTACTGACTGCTGTCGGCGAGTGCAAGCGAGTGGCTGGCAGCGTCTTGCGCTCGTATCTAGAGTGGAAAATTAATGGCTACAAAATTAAATTTATTTTTGCAAAAAGCAAAACTAAAACAAAACAACACCAACAACAGTAACAGCAAAAGCCGCGACGAGGCAGCCGCTGGCACAGACAGCCTGGCAGTTTGCTTTCTTATTGGATTTTGCTGTTAGCGTGCGTGTGTTGTGTTTGTGTTTGTGTCTGTGTGTGTTCGTGTCTGTGTGCAAAATTTATGTTGCTATTTGCGTCGTTGTTGCGGCGCAGCGACTGCGCTGCTCTTATCATGGGGTTCTCGTTGTGGTCGTGGTTGTTGTAGCTGGCACGTTACCTAATTAGTCGCCGCAGACAGCGCGGCAATAGGCAACGATTTTACCTTTTATGTTGTTATTGTAAGCCATAGGCCAACACAAACAATCAAATAAACACACACACACACGCAGACACACTCACACTAACTCATCTCGCATTGACGTAACGTCAACAGCGACAGAGACACAACGCCGACGCTGACTGCGCGCTGTTTCCGTTCTCGTGCCCACGCACCTCACACACACACACACAGCAGGCAGGCAGCAGCAGAGAACGATAGAGAGAGAGGGACAGAGAGAGTGCGCAGACCACGCGACAACAAACGCAGCTTCAACTTTGTTGCTGTTATGTCTGCTGCTGCGGCTGCTGCTTTGTACGAAAAAAAATACAAAAAAAGAGTTGCCAGAGAGAGAAAGACAAATTTGTGGGGTGTAATGGAAACGAGCAAATTTTATGTGCTTTTCAATAGCTGCTTGATCACGGCGAAACGAATCGATTACACTCAAAAGAGAGGCATACAAATTAGACATGCAAGATACAAGCACATATATATATATATATATATATAAATATGTATATGTATGTATGTGTGTACATTTCTTAAGTACTAGCATAAGCGTTCACTTTGGCAACTGATCAGCTTTGTAGTTGACGTTGTTGTTTTTGTTTAATGCGAACCAGCTTAGAGGCAATTAAATACAATTGATTAAATTTGCAATATAGCCGGATGTGAGACTTAGTGGGAATTTAGGTATAAGCATCATAAATATTCTAAATAATAAATAAATAAATTCAAAATACTAAGAAAACACTTAGAGGAGACTTAGAGAATAATTAGAAAGATAATAAGTGAATTGAGAATTTTAGATTTAATAATGAGAACTTTAATAAAGAATTGTGTACTTTGTAATAGTTGTAATAAATATAAAATACTAAGAAAAAACACTTAGACCAATGGGCAAAACCAGATAATAAGTGAATATGGCAATTTAAATTTAATAATGGGAACTTCATTGAAGTATTGGGTATTTTGTAATAGTTGTAATAAATATAAAATAATAAGATGAAAAAAACACTAATGGACAAAAGCATTAAAGAGATAATAAGTGAATCAGCGAATTTCGGTTCATTAATGAGAACTTTTTGTATGTTTGCCTTGAGATTTCTGATTATGATTGAATAATTATTGTTTCAAGAAATGCTAATCACATTTTTCTCATTTATTCTTACTCTTCTGCTTCTTGGAATCTAATCTTAGAAGCACTTGCAGCATGCTACATTCTACTGTAACTTTTTTCGTCTGCAGCTTTTTTGGCATCTCTTGTAGCAGCTGCAGCTGCGGTTTGTCTGTGAACCCAACTTCACCACACCACAGAGCACACCACAGCCCACCTCAACAGATTCCAACTCAAATGACTGCTGCCCGCCCACAGCAAACGCTTTGACTTCTGCTGTGGTTTTTTTTATACGTTTTTTCTTTTTTTGCTGCTTATGCTTTTGGTGTATTTTTTACGCCAACGACAAACGTCACTCAGACAAACGCAAACGCACACGAAAATATTGTATATATTTTTATTCATTTGGCAAAGGCAATAAAAAACGAAAAACACAACGACACAAATAGAAACAACTACAACAACAACGATTTTTGGGCGAAGCATTTTCTTCGCACACAGATAAAACCAGAAAAAACAATCAGTGGGCGACAACAACAACAACAAGAAATGCGCCAAGCCAGCAGAAAAACAGGCAAGAAGCAGAGGAAAAATTACCAATTTAAATGTTAAACAGCAATTCAACAGGCAGCAGGTAAAAATTAAGACAAATAAAAATGCAGCCTCAGGCATTTTGTGAAATGTTTAAGAAACAACAGACGACGAAAATGTTACAACCAAAAAAAAATCCACAACAAAAAAAATGAGCAAAATCACATTAAAAATGTTATATAAATTAAATGTAAAACAAAAGCAAAAACAAAAGACAAAACAAAAAAAAACAGCATGTTTTATTCAGTTGATTTTATCTATCCATCTATTATTGCTCCACAATCTGCTCTCGAATCTAATGAAAAATGAATGTTATTCTGTCGTACAACTAACGATCTTTCAATAGATAAACCCATAAATATATATATAAATGTGTTGTATTTTAACCCACGCCAGTTGTATATATTTATCGGCGGCATTATCATATCATCGACAGCCATCGGACAGCTAACAGCGTCGACATTTTGTCGTCTTTTCATAAGAAAACAATAATCTTGCCCAAATGCCCCGTACCGTTATATAATAAATTGTGAGGGAGTTGACAAAAACACAACAACAACAACAAAAGAAAAAAAATCACATTTGACATAAAAAATCTACATTTGATTTGCTCATCTTTGTTGTAACGAAAAAAATAAAAATAATAATAATAATAATGAGTTCAAAGCGAAAGCTTTAATTTAACCAAATTTGTTTACTCTCATCCCAAATTGATTGGCGTGTGGGTTTTGCCCTTAGACTGGGTTTTTCCCAACTATCTATCTAGTTGTCTGAAAGAGAACTTATGCTAATCAATAAATGCGATTTAGTTTGGCATTTTATGCATATTTTATGCATGCAAATTCATTCAAAATGGCTTCCTTTTTTTGACGAAAATTTACTCAACTGCCTGGCGAACGTCGCTGATTGGTGTGTGAAAATTGTAGCAAACAGAGTGTTGACTAAAACAAAAAACAAAAGACAAAAGACAATAGTCAACTAATTTATATATGCTGTTTTTTTTTTTCTTTTTTGATCGATAGTCAGTAAAACGTCTGTCGAACTGTCATCGATTGTGATTGGCGGCCACCCGCAGCAGCAACAGCAGCAGCAGCATGATCATCATCCCGCATTGATCGATAGTTATATTGAAAGCGTGTCAAAGGTGTTGGATCATATTTCTGGCTCTTCTTCTTCAGCCTCTTCTTTTCCAAAAGCATGTTGTCAAATCAAGCGAAGAAAGCCGCTAAGCCAAACTTAAGATTAATGTACATTTGTTCATTTTGCCTATTTATCTAAATTTTGAATCAATATTTATTATTTATGTTGGGGGAGACAGTGCTGAATTTTAAGTTAATTTAAATTTATGTTTACGAAAATGAATTATGCTTAAAACAGGCAATGGTTAACGGTTTCGTTTCCGATTTGATTGACTGTGAAGGAATCGGGGGAAATATGGAAATATGCATATGAAATATGCTTCTGGTTCCGTTTTTGGTTCGGACCTTCAATCGATGAAGTTCGCTTAACGGTTTCGGTTTGAAAGCCTTTTGGTTTACATTATGTCTTTAATTTTCTGATTTGATTCCCTTCCCTGTCAAGGAATCAGAGAGTGTCGAATTTTGATTCCCGTTCTAGTTGTAAATTTCAATCAGTTAATTTCAGAGTTATTGGAAAGGAATATTCAAATAACATACGATTAGCAATCGATTCTATAAACAATCTTTGTCATATTATAAACTGTTTTATCTTTTCCAAATTCCTTACCCAACCCTTTATTTTTGCGTTTAAGATCTTGGTTAATTTTGTCTAGAGACACTTGTGTGTTGAGTGCGGGCAATTCAAATGTTTACCGAGAACAAGTTTTCCACATAACTGCTCAATAAAGTTGTTGTTTTGGTTTTTTTTATGTGCGTTGCTCGTCAGACTATAAAAATGATTTCTTCTGTAGATACCGCCCGAACAGCACTCGTCCGTCCGATCGTAGACAGTGCAAACCTATTGATTAGATAATTGCATCGAGTATATACACATATGTATATATATATATATATGTGTGTATATATATGTAACTGAAGGGAGCCCAATACCAAATTATCTAATTGAGAGACCAAACAGACTTTTGTCAGTTGCTTATTATTATTGGGGGGAGTGCTATATTGTCTAGATATATATAAATATATATATATATATATATTTTACCTAGAATCTAGGCCAGTTGTTGATGTTGCTGTTGTTGTTATCAACTGTGGAAACTAATCAAAAGCACTTCACAAAAACGGACACAACTTGAGCAAGTTGAGCAGAAAACTCGCTGGAAACTCTTTTAACTATATATAGACAAGAAGAGTCTGTTTTTGATTTTGATCTGCTGCTGTTGCTGCTTCTTCTTTTGCTTGTGGAAAACTCTTTGAAGCTGGCAGGAAAAATAACAAAATATCTGTTGCAGTTAAGTAAAGTGAGCGGTTTCCGCTGCTGCTGCTGTTTCTTTAGCAGCTGCTTCTTCGTCTTCATCTTCAGCTGCAGCTTTTCCTTGTTGGCGGGGCACTTTTTTTTATATGATTTCATTACGCTTTGCCCCTCTTTGTAGTTGTTGTTACTAAATTTGGTTGTCTGGGCATTTTAACGCGCCTCTGTCTGCCTATGTGTGTGTATCTGTGTGTGTGTGTGTGTGTCAGACCATTTTTAGTAGCCTGGCCGGCAAAAGCGGCCGTCGTCTCTCTATATAGCCTGCTATTCGTTACGTTACTTTATATTTATATATATATATATATATATATATATATATATATATCTGTCTAAGTATGTTTATATATATATATATATAGTATATATATATGGGCATGTCTGGTGCGGTAATTGCTGCCATTGCTTGAGTTTTTGCAGCCGCTTTTTTTGCCCTTTTTGGTGGGTGTTGTGTTTGTTTTTTTTGGCCTGGGAAAATCTTGTTTGTTGTCGGCTCAACTGTTGGTTAGCCTTAACGGGCTTTTTACCAATGTTGGCAGCGTTATCTTTGTTAATTTAGCATCAAACATTAATGAGCATTAGCACGTTTTAAAGTCATTTGTTATATAATTTAATTGACACAAGTGTTGCCAAAAAGTAGAATTAGTATTTTAAAATCGAGCTTTTGTCATTTTTTTTTAATGAAAATCAAGTCTAAATATAGTCTTGTGATTAAAAAAATATATAAAAAATTGTGCCTAGAGTTGGTCAAGATTTTTTTTAGACTTTTTTGCGGTCATTTGCAGTTTTAACAGAAATCGCTTGTGTGACATTTTCATTGGAGTTGATGTTAAAGTGAAATACTCACATTTTGAAGGATGGAACTTGAAGAATAATATATTGAATACTGTTAAGTTGGTTTGACAGAAGGAGCTTGTTTGGTTGTAGATTGGTTGGCTGGCTAATTGATACCAATGAGTTTTCAAGGGAGCTCCATCTGGGTAAAATCTTGGAACTCTTAATTTAGCCTGTGAAATGATATGTTTAATGTTTCCAGCATGAATTCAAAAAGTAAAAGCTTGGCTAATAGTCTTAATTTGAAAGTGTGTGTTTAATAAGTCAGTGTTGTTCAAGTTTTAAATGGTTATCTTAATTGTATTGCCTGGGATGGATTTATGTCTCTTTGTTCGTGGATAAGATTTTCTGGAGAGTCTGTTAAACGTTATTCCCATTTCTAGAAAGCTTTACTAAATCAGCTACCTAGCGCCCTAATTTCTTATTAGCTACTCTCATTTTAAGCTTCTTATTCAATGATTTCATTAAGTTTACCAACAAGATGCACACTTCGTCAGTGCTAGATTAACTGCATAACATTTATATTTTACAATATGCACATTTTTTATTGGCTACAATCACCTAAAAACCTTTCCGACTAACACCTCTATAAAGCTAAGACTTACTGTATAAATATTTGCAATCCAAAATTAAGCCTAGGATACAGTTCAAAGCTCAAGTATTTTATAGTACCCAAAATCATTGAGTTCATATAATATAATAGAGTAAAGTATAATAAAATTAAGTGCATAACTACACAGTTTTCTTATTTGCGCAATCAGTTTATCAGTTTTTATTATGTTTGCGGCTGGGTGGGTTGGTTTGGTGTAGCACATATAACATTTATCTATAGAGCTGATAATCGTTGTTTGCTATATTGTTAAGCTGATTGCGGAATGCTGCGGATTGCTGAGCATTTAAATGTCGAGCACGCCCCAATTGAGCTGATAGCGAAAAGTGCGCAGCATTCGCATTATCTTTATCTGAATGTCACCGAAAATTCGCATCTGTTGTGTGTGTGTTTGTGTGTGCTTAGGTGTGTGTGTGGGCGTGTCTGTGTTCATTGGACTTTGCAAGCGTACAAAATGCAAAACGCTGCACAATTTCAACAAGTTGAAAGATATTTTTCTTGATGCTGCTGTTGCTTCTGCTTCGTTGGCTCTGCGCGTTTTTTTTTTCGTGTTTTATTTTATTTTTTTTTGTTTTTTTTTTTCGCACAAAAACATCCGGTCGTATTTTAATTTAATGAGCATTTATTTTGCACACTGCTGCAGAGAGTCATTTGCCACTCTGATCTGTTTATAAATTATTATTTATTTACTTTTGTTGTTCGTCAACATAAACAATTTTAATTATAACTGCAAGAGTCGCAAAGGGGATTTGTTTTTTAATCTTTTCGTGTGCAAAGCACTTATTGTTTTTTTATGGCATCGAGTAAAGTTTTTAATTTATTTAAATACTATCATTCTTAAACTCATCTCTCTCTCTCTCTTTCTCTCTTTCTATCTTGTACTCTTTTAGGCGCCGAACATGCAGCAAATTCAAATGACGACAATGCGTTCGAGCTTTGAAACACTGGCCGCTGGCGGGGCCACCAACGCCATTTTCGTTATGCAGGAATAACGGAATGTTGCAAATGAAATTGTAAAAACGCACGAATTTATCAAGCATAAAGAAATCAACGCAAATCAAAAACAAAAGCGAAAACTCTGCAAAATGCACGTTTCGGCTATTAAACAGGAAATGGCAGCAGAGAAGGATGCATGTGCAACAACGACGATAAACTTTAATAATTATCGAAAGCCAAGAATATGCAGCAAGAATACGAACAACAACAAGAACAGCATCAGCAACAACTATATTAGCAAATTTATAATGACGACGTCAATAATGCTGCTGCTGCAACGCTTCGCAACACTGAGCATGAGTACCAAGTGGCGACGGCGCCGACGGCGACGCAAACAGCAAAACGACAACAACGCAATTGCAATAGCAACAACAAAGGCAATGCATAATGATAATTGTAATTATACTACAGCAACAACAACAAGTGCGCGTCGCAATGATTTCAATAAAATCAATAAATTAATGCTAATTACGTGCATGCTGCTGATAACAACTACAACAATTTGTCAAAGTAACGCTGCGCCGTCGCTGTCGACGTCGTCGGGTGAATCGTCAACATCGCCGCTGAGCGCTCTGCTGAAAACGGGCGGCGCCTCCTACAATCAACAGCTGCCGCAGCAGCAGCTTTTCGCGATGCTAGCAGCAATGAATAACGGAGCTAACGGAAACACGGCTACGCTGGCAGCAGCAACAGCGGCGCATCAACAACAACAGCAACAACAGCAGCAGCAGCAACAACAACAACAACAACAGCATCATCGACAACGTCCGCGTTTTCTGCCGCTGCACGAAGACGACGAAGAAGATGAAACGGATGATGAAGATTTTGCTGCCTTGCATATTCCAGTGGAATTTGCCGCTGCCGCTGCACTGCCGCCGTCCGCTTCGCTGGAAACGAACGGTTTCGTTGCCGACGATGGGGCGCAATACGAACAGGCCGAAAAGGCGCTGGCAGCTGCCGAATCAGCAGCAGCAAATGGAAATGCCAAAAATACCAACAACAACAACAATAATAATATAAACTGTCCCAAGGAGTGCAAGTGCCTCAACGTCTACTTTGATTGCGATAAGCTGCACTTGGAGCGTGTTCCAGTGCTACCCGCCTATGTTGAAACTCTGTAAGTAAATCCCCTCCAAAAAAAAAAGCTAACCAACCCCACTGACACCAAGCCAACATCATGCATAAATAGTATTTATAACATTCGCAACAACCCTCGCAGCATTTTTTTTTCGTTCTTTGTCCTCTTTTCGTTAGTCGCTGAAGGAGTCGTTTGAATATGGGAAAGCTTTGGTTACAGAGTTGATTTGAAAATGTATTGCCTTCCAATATTCCAGTTTAGTTACTGGAAAACTAGAGCTATACAATTTATTACAATTTCATATATTAATAGTAAATATGTAAACTAAATATGAAGCTTAAGTAATTTAAAACCTTTAACATAGGGTATTTTCTAGTCAGTCAGTGCAGCATTTGTAAATTTTCCATTCATTTTTTTGGGGGTTGCGATTTTATCGTTGCGCTTTAATCAATTTAATGCACTGCAGAATTATGCAAAATGTGTGTTTATCGACGGCAATGCATCAATAATTGCATGACTGACAGACTGACGCACGCTTATCTGCTTATCAGTCCAAATTACGGCAACATAATTACGCTGCATTTAATTGCAGGCTTCAAAAAATAAAAATCCAATCAGCTAACATTGTTTTTCTGTTTTTGTTTGTTGCTTTTTTTTTTTATACAGGCATCTGGCTGGCAACAAATTGAACGACAGCACCGTGCTTGCGATACGAAATCTGCCCGAGCTACACAAACTGTAAGTAACAAAAAATAACAGAAACAATCGAAACAACAATTGAAATAGCAATTGAATTGAACCAGCAACAGCAACGACAATAACAACAGCAATGCATATATTGAATTAATTGTTTTATTCCATTTAGATAATGTTTTGTTGAATCTGCTGTGTTAGCTAAGCGCGTATTTTTAGATACTCTGCGCGTATTATTAAGCTATAAAAGAAAAAACCATCTGTTTTTTTTTTTTTGATTTTCAATTTATCTTAAATTGAAGATAAGCCTTTGGTTAACTAAATGCTGATATTATGCATAAAATACGCTTGACTAATTAATAAGATTTATTTATATATTTTTTTTGTATTTTAATTAAAGCTTGTCATTAAATAATTTTTAGTAATATTAAATATTGACTATTTTTTTGCCTTTATGTATATTTTTTAATTTATGCATTTGCCAATAGTAAATATGTATTTAAATTAACTATACTGTTTAATAATTTGCTGTTATTTTAGATCTCGACTGAGTGATATATATAACTCTTATTATTTCATAATTAAATAACTAAATCGTTACCACGTTAGAATTGCAATTTATATATAATTTCTTACTTTATACGTTGATTCGTTTAACTAAGGCTTGTTATTTAACAATTTGAAATTATATTAAGTCTAGACTAATTTTGTAACCTGCTTGGAGTAATAACTGTATTTTATTATAGTGGAGCGTTTTCTTTCTAGGACAGTCTGAACTTAATTTATATTTGAATGGACACTTGTTATTAAATAATTTTCAGCATCTTTAATCCATTATTTTGCTATTGTTCCCTTCACAGCACTCTGAAGCGCAATCAATTAGATGTGATGCCCCGTTTTACCGGTTTGTCTTCGTTGCGTCAACTCAATTTGGCCAACAATCGCATTCAGCGCATCTCGAGCGAGGCGCTGACTCTTCTGCCCAAGCTCAAATCTCTGGATCTGACGAAGAATCAGCTGCACAGCGTCGAGGCCAATATGTTTCTGCGCCCCAATCGCTTAGCGCATTTGTAAGCAACCAAGATTCATCCCCATTTCCATATCCATTCATATTCTCATCATCATTTGTTATTCATTTGTTCATTTTGCAGAATACTCAACTCCAATGAGATTGCGAGCGTTGATGAGCAAGCATTTGCTGCGCTGAGCAATCTAACGGATCTGGAGCTGAGCAACAATCGCTTGACCAGCCTCCCAGTGGGCGTCTTCAAGAATTTAAATCGTCTCAAGAAACTGTAAGTTCTGTGCGTTTATCTCTAATCTTGCTTCAATCTCTAATCTCTTTTTGGCCTTCTACAGCACTCTGAACTACAATCAGCTGGAGATTAATTGGTCAACATTTCGGGGACTGTTGTCGCTGCAGAAGCTCCAACTCAAGGCGAACAACATTAAGGCGCTGCAGGATGGCGTCTTTCATGTGATGCGCAACATTGAGACCATTGAGCTGGATCACAATAGCATCAGTTCGCTCTCCCGCCAGGGCCTCTTCAATCTGACCAAGCTGCATCATCTAAGTTTGTCGAATAACTCTATCACTCGCATCGAGCTGGACACGTGGGAGTTTACACAATCGCTGGAATCGTTGGATCTATCCCACAACTACATCAGCGAGTTTAAGGCACAGCATTTGGACTGCTTGAAGCGATTGAAGCAGCTGAATTTGGCGCACAATAAATTGCAATATTTGCCCGAGAACACGTTCGATTGTGTCAAGAATCTGGAGGAGTTGAATTTGCGTCGCAATCGCCTCGCCTGGATCATTGAGGATCAGTCGGCGATGGCGCCGTTTAAGGCTTTGCGTAAACTGCGTCGCCTCGATCTCTATGGGAATAATCTGAAGCAGATTAGCAGCAAAGCGCTGAGTGGCTTGAACAATCTGGAGCTCCTGAATCTGGGCGGGAATGCGCTGGCCAGCATTCAACCGAACGCTTTTGAGCATATGCAGCATCTGCAGAAGCTCATCTTCAAATCGGATAACTTTATATGCGATTGTGATCTGCTGTGGTTTCGCCAATGGCTGCTCGGTCGCTTTGGGCAGCAGGCTCAGCAGCTGCTGACCAATGTCGTCTGTGGTTATCCCGAGCATCTGCTCGATCGCCAGCTCTTCAAGCTCACCCAAACGGAACTCATCTGCTGTAAGTTTAACTGGACTTGCGCCAACTTCAGCTCTTTTTAATGAATCTTTTCTTCTTACACCTGTTTACAGCTGATTCACCCAAACCAGTGGTGCAGAAGGAACCGAATAATATGCTGGCTGTCAAGGGTGCAAATATCAGTTTGGAGTGCATTGCCAGCTCACCGGCAGCTGCCTCGTTGGCCGCCGCCGATGAGCTAAAGATTAAGTGGCGCCACGACAATCAGCACGTGCTCGAGCGGCAAACCGGACACGATGGCGCCAGCACGGAGACACAAATCCATCACGATCAGAGCACCAATCAGACCACAATCTACGGCTATCTGCGTCTCTCCAATGTCAGCTACGAGAGCGCCGGACGCTATCAGTGCGTTGTGTCCAATGCATTTGGCACCAGCTATGCGCAAAAATTCAAAATATCCATTGGCAGTGAGTAGAGAATATGGATCATTATCTATAGATCAGATATATATATCTATAATATCTATCTATCTATAATATCTCATTGTATCTCCTCCCGTTTTTCAGTTCATCCCAGCTTCTTGCATGTGCCCTCAAATCTAACGCTGGACGCTGGCGAAACGGCGCGTTTGGTTTGCTCCGCCAGCGGTGATCCAATGCCGGAGATAGCTCTGCAGAAGTTTGGGGCTTTGGACTTCCCAGCTGCAACGGAGCGACGACTCCAAGTGATACGCGAGGAGAACGCTTTTGTGATCACTAATGCCAAGCCGAGTGATTCGGGGATCTACACCTGCAACGCTGAGAGTCCGGCGGGCGTGATCAAAGTGAATGCCACGCTGCTCGTCAATGGTGAGTTAGGCAAAAAACAGAAACCCCTTTCCAAGAGGAACAGTATTTACCCCGCTCTAATCTTGCAGATAAACCACTGCCACGCATACCACTCGTGCACAAGGAGGTGCTGCTGGGACGCACCTGTGTGCTGGAGTGCCTCAGCGAATCGTTCAATCTCGATGTGGAGCAGTCGCATCGCGAGTGGTTCAAGGAGAACAAACCGTTGCACAATGCACCCACCGGGCCGGATGCGGAACGCTATTACTTCACCAAGGCCAAGGAGCTGCTGGTCATCGTTAATGCCCAGTCGAATGATGCGGGTCATTATCGTTGCGAGATAACAGATAATATGCGCACGTTGATACTCCAATCGGAGCTGCTCGTCGTCCAGGATGGTGGTGCGACCATCGATATGCTCTTCGTGGGCGTTATTATATTGGCATTTTGCCTATGTGGCATTCTCATCGGTTGCATCGTTTACTGCTTGTTGCGCTTTCAGCATCGCAGCAAATTGCCGCGTACGCATGCGAGCAGCTCCTCGCACACACTTCAGCTGCAGGATCAGACCCAGCTGACCACACTCAATCGCACCCAGTTGCGACCGGTGCTCGATGGCATCCAGAAGCAACAACAGCAGCAGCAGCACGAGCAGCAATCGCAACTGCGTCCGCGCAGCTTGGCTGACTTGGGTTGTGTGGGTGAGCAGGCGAATAGTCGCTTGATAGTGACCACGACGCCATCGTATGAGCAACGCTGCCTGGAGCAGGGTCTGACGCTCAGCTATTTGCAGCAGGCGGATCTCGAAATTCAGCAGGATCATCTGTCTAGCAAGGACTCCGGCACGGGTTCCGATGCGGCCGTCAAGCGTAGTCTGGAGGATTTTGGCATAGCCATACCGACGCAGCGCCGGCAAACACATCATCTCGCCCATGATGATGACGACGATGATGATGATGCTGATGCTGGCGAGGATCATGATGCGGATAATTATTCGCATTTTGCGCCGACGCTTGCGATGGGCGTCTCCGTCTACGATGATATGGAGCTGTATGAGCTAAATCACAGCGCTGCCGAACAGCAGCGTTTTCTGCGCAACAACAATCACAACTATGATGGGGGCGGGCGCGAGGTTCACGGAGTGGGCGTGGCAACAACAACAGCTGCCAGCGTTGACTACAAGCCGTCGTCCACAGCGGTGGATATTTAAGCTTGCTTCCTGATGCGACCAAAGCGAAGGATGAAATGCAAACCAAAACCAAAATGCACACACCAAAAAATTAAAATTTGGGCTGCTCCTGCCACGCCCCCCAAATTGAAAATGAAAAACCAAAACCACCCGCCACCCAAAAAAAGAAAAAAAAACAACAAACGAACAAAGACTGTTACTCGTAAATATGTAAAAGTAAAAGTAAAAGTAAGAGTAAAAGTAAAAGTAAATGTAAAATCTGACGACGCTTGCCTTAGCGACATAGAGCATATATAGATATATATGCTATATATATAATACCGATATGGCAGCTCTATTACATACCAGTGTCTTCGTAATTTATGAAATTAAATGGATTTATTATTATTATTATTATATACTTATAAAACTATATGTAGTTTAATATTTAAGCATATGTTTATATATTTAACATTTCTAATTGTTTATTTCGCTTGTGATATTATTTTTTATTTGACTTTTTTTCGGATTGCCTTCCAAGTTTTCGTAAGCCTTATAACCATATATTTGAAGCTGTATATATCAATAACACCTCTACCATTTAGTATTTAGTCTATAGTCCTTAGCTCTTAAGTCCATTTGCCACGAAATCGGCTAGGAACAATGCTAAAATATATTTGAATGTCAAGTGCATGATTTATATATCCATTTTAGCCACTCTTTAAGTTGCTTTTATCTAAAAAAAATTTGATATGTGTATAAAAATTGATTTGCCTTATGCTTATGGCCTTGACTATATAATTCTTTGAAATGCATATATATATTTGAAAATTTAGTTACGTAAGCTATACATTTTTTGAAAGCATCATGAAGTCAGCAAGTGCTAAATAAAAGTTTATAAAATTATATTTATCTCAGTATTTAATCTGTGTTCTCAAATAGCCAGTACGTATTTTAAAACTATGATCTATTTTGGGACAGATCAACATTATAGTTCAATCACTCTTAAGGTTTGGAAAGTCATTTAAATTGTTAAACTAACATTCATATTTATTAGTACCTTAGTACACAGTTTAATACAATTGAACATAAACATTAATTGGCTATAAATGCTAATAGTATGCAAAGGTCAGTTGGAATCGTCGGAGCTGCCGCTGTAGGCGGCTAAAAGTGATAAGCCAGCAGGCTTTGAAGTGACACTGGCAACAGGAGTTGCAGTTGCAGCTGGCTTGGTGACTGCTTCTGATGCAGCAGCAGATGCTGCTGGCTTGGAACAACTATCATTGTCTGCTGGAGTTGGTGCTGATGCTGCTGCTACAGTTGCCGTCTTGGGTTTGACCAGCACTAAAGGCGTTTTCCGTTTCACCAGCGACTGTGAGGCAGATGCTCTGCTGGGCGCTGCCATTGCGCTCGGTTTGGCTAATTTGGCTGGTGGTGGCACATTTGGCTCTTCCTCCTTAACATCCTCAATAATTTCCTCGGAGACAATGCGCGTGCCCGGCTCCGTTTTGTTTTTAAAGTTTACAGATCTGTCCACACATAAAAGGAATATATTAATAGTCATTAAAATTAGCTCCTCAACTTCACTCACTTGACAAAAGCCTCGTCTTCGCGTTCCTCGCGCTCCAAGCGCTCGCGTTCCGTCTCTGCCGGATTGTACTGTTCCAACATGGTGGAATAATCAACAGTTTGTTGTCGTCTATTTAGATCGCGCAGCTCCTCCAAACTCTCAATCATTTCGATTTCGTTGCGCGACTGTTGTGTGCGATTCTCGAGCAATTTCATTGGATTGTTCGCCTCCTCCTCGCGTGCCTCCTGCTCTTCGCGCCGAGCCTGCTCCTCGGCCAGCTTGAGGGCCATAAAATTACGTGTGGCGCCCGCCTCGATCTCGTAGTCCGTATTCTGTGGGTCCGTTTTGAAGGAGATCTCTTGCAGGCAGCGCGTGCATTTGATGTAGAATCTATAGATGCGTATGCCCAAATACGTTTCATTCTCCACATCTTCCTTGCGCGCATTGAATTTCTTGCCCTTGTATATGTATTCGCCGCAGGTTTTGCATCGCATATTAAACGGGGCCATCAATCGAACCGTATATTGTCGATTTTTGGCCAATTTCATGCGCGGTATCTTCGACGGGTCGAAGTCCGGCGGATAGTATTTCTAAGAAAGAAGTCATCGTTAGTTTACCTATTGACACATAATTCCCTATTTCCACTTACATTTAACACTTTACGCTCAGACATCTTGTTACTGCACTAAAATTCCGCGTTGTAAATAAACGTTTTTGCAGTTCTTCTCGCCAATTTGTCATTCACATTGGTGGCTACAAATAGAGTTGCTGCCTGCTGTGAATATCGATAAGTTTTCGATAAGACCGAGCCTGCTCAAATACGATATATCCACAATTCAAAGTTTCTGTTACATTTCGAACTTCAAATCAAAAATCATAATTGCATTTCCAGCACCCTTACAATTTTCACATATATTTGTTTATTTTCACAGTACAGCGATAGACACTTCTCTTTGGCTATTATTGTTGATAAATTATAAATTTGTATAATACAATAAATACAGGCACACATAATTCCTTCTATATACACATACATATATGTTTGATGTCACAATATGCTCATAAAAATATATATTTTTATATGGCGCACTCTCCGTTTGGTCGATTGTAACTGTTACGCTCCGGCTGCTCGCTCAACGAACCCAAATCCGTTGTGCGGCGTAAGCCGCCAAAGCGCGACAGATTATTGGCCTCACCCCGTTCCGGATCTGGTGAGTCCTGCACAACTTTCTCGACGCGGTCCAGATCCACATCCGGAAAGCTGACCTTCTTTGTGGTGGGCACTAAATTCGTTTTGGCACGCCCATTTGGTTTGAGAGCAGCACGTGGAACCTTATGCTTTGCCAGCTCATAGGTGCAGGCGTAAAGGAATGCATATTGCTGCTGTGTTTGCACCATTTTCATGCGCTGCAGGATTTAATATTGGTTAACAATAAGTTGCAGTCCATTAGAAATCAGTTTTTGCACCCACCTGAAATCGCAGTTTCTTGACCGTTTCAAAAATATTGATTTTCGATTCGCTCTTCAGACGCTGCATTATCAAATCTAGGGCAATGAATGTGCCCGTCCGTCCAACGCCGGCGCTGCAGTGCACCACAATAGGCGAGTAATTGGGACGCTTCTCTGCCTTCACTTTCTTCACGAACGTTATCAGGTGGTTGGGATCATCGGGACAGCCGTGATCTGGCCACTTCTTGAAATAGAAATGTATCACCTTCTCCTTCAAGCCGTGTTTCTCATGGACCACCGTCAGTTCGGTGCGATCATAGATGTCAAAGCGTTCCTTTGACTTGATTGTGACAATAACACCACGCGTATTATACGGATAATACTCATTGCATTTGATCTGCAAGCGGAACCGGAAAGAAGATTTACAAATCTTTACCAAGAGTGTGCAATTCCAAAGTGGTTGCTCACCGTATTGCCCTCTCGGAATTGGGTAACCTGAACAATGACTCGCACATTATGCTGTAGGATCATGCGCCAGAAATCCATAACGCTCTCCGGCTTGGGTCCTTGGGTTGCTATATAATTCTTCTTACGTGTGTGACCCTAAAAGCAAAGTTTCGTAATATTAATAATCATAATAATCCGGACAATACTTACATCAATAAATGAGGCATTGATATAATCCGATCCCTCCGTATCTATGTCCAAAATAACCCTATTCTTGTCATCTGGAATTAGTCAGAATTAGTACTCTCCCTTCTGTCTCTAAGCCAAATCCAACTCACATGGATATATATCCGCATAACGATTCTTATTGCAGCCCAATTCGGATGCGGCGTAGCTCAGTTTCAAGGTGTCAACGGTGATTTCCTTGAATTCGCGTGCCAACTTCTCCGGCTTGGACACATCCGCATAGAATATGGCAAAATTCTTGGGTGTCACATTGCCAAAGGGATCCTCAATGCCCTGACCAGAATCGCGATGCCTGTTGCAAGATATTGTCAATTAAATATGAGCCAAACAATTTGTAATCCTCTAGTCCATGCTTACCAGGCAATCCGTTTGCGCACGTAGAGTACAACCAAACCCAGAATAAACGCTAAGAGCAGGCAGCAGGAGACACTGATCAAAATCAGGGTCACCTTGATGGCCGCTTCTGTTTTGAACTCGAGCACGGCGGCATCATTATAACCAGAATTGGTGAACAGACGCACAACCATATTGTATTCCATATTGGGGTTAAGGGGTCCATTGCAATAACGCTCCGTAATATCTGGACACTTGCCCTCACCAATGACGAAGACAATCTCCTCCTCGCCGCTGGTGTCGCGTCTATTTCTGCTGGTCAGCGGCGGTTTCCAACGCACAGGCGTTGTTTGATATTGATAAATGCAATCGCCACCGACTTCATCCCATGAGGCAACAGAGGGCCAATCTCCCGCATTGAGCACATCATATTTCAGCTCCGGTGGGCCTGTACAACTCTTCTGGGATAGCAATAGCGCTATATACGTTATACTGCCCGATTCCGAGTCTAAAATATTGGCGGGCAAGCGCACAATAGCCGAACTGGTGGGATGACTTGTCTCATAGGCACTGACGCGCATTTGACGCACAACATCATCACCCAGGCCAGCGGGTACTAGAAAATGGAGATAAGTAATTAATTTAATTAAATGTATTTGTATTCAAAACGCGCTTCAAATTAGGCAGACAATAATTGCAGTGCTGCAAAATGCAGCATGCATTTTAAAAGGCGGCTGGCATTTTTAGCATTTTATGCAACTGCAAATTGGGATGCTGCCATAATGAGCAAACAATTCACAGCGCTACGTAAACAAGTGCGCTTAATTAGGATTTGAAAATGCTGTGTGTCATTTCAGAACTTGTGTTTCTGTTCATACCAAAAGTTGATTAATTTTAAAAACTTATCAATACTTACAGCCCGATGGCGATGTCCACTCCTGGATTGCGCTCTCGCTCAACGTTGGCACGTTGCGCGTTTTGACTGTGACTTTAACGGCATAGTCGACTTCTGGCTGCAGATCGGTTTCGGTATATGACATGCGTCCCTTTTTGGCCAACCTATCGAGCGGCACTTTTCGCTGGAATGCAATCTCCATGTCCTTCCGTCTACCACTAAAGTCAAAAATGAAGCACTCGATTTCGCCATTCGATTTACACGGTATTGTCCAGTAGACAGTCACATTGGCGCTATAAACATTCGGATCCAGCGAGGGTCCCTCTGATATTACATCCAATTTCGTTACAGGATCCGAAACTGTTGCAAAAATAATAAATAAATACTTGAAAGTAATTGTGCTTTTTGCTTACCATCTGGTTCTGTAATGCCTATAATGGGCGCTGTGTATTGACCCAAGCCGAAATCATTCTGTGCAGCCACTTGCATAATATATTTCACAGCTGGCGACAGATCCGTGAAGGTATTCGTCGTATCACCTATGAAAGAGAATTAAGATAGAGTTTAGATAAATATATGTGGATTGAATGAGTGTCAAACCTTTCGTATCGGTTTTTGGCACCTCTGTGATGGCCTCACAGATGCTGGGCACAAAATAATCGGCCTCGTAGCGCATGAGAAATGCCTGATAATATTTAATGGGTCCATTCGATGATTTGGGCTGCAACCAGTTGAAGGTCAAGCTGTGTTTGGTGCTGCCGTCTAGTGTGACACTTTCCGGCTGATCGGGAACTGTAATTGATTAGGGTTGCTTAGAATTGAACATTAGAAACTCTACCACCAGCACATACAATAGACAAGGGTCATGAGGTCAGTGCCCGTTAGTCGCTTCGGCGCCGAGGCACCTGCCACATTGTAGAGCACCACACTGCATATATACTGGGTGTAGGGGCTGAGTGGTGCAATCGTTGCCTGGAAGCCACGATCCCGATAACTCTCCACATACATCTCCCCATAATTGTAGCGTACATTCGCCGTCGTGGAGCAGCTGAAGTGCGCATAGATCGTCTGACAGTTGTTATTGAAATCCTGATTTTGTGCATTCAGCTCCAGACTATGCGAAGTCGCCTTTTTGCCCGCCACTTGCAGAAGTATCTAACAAAAAATCAACAAAAAATATACAACAGGCTTGGCATGTTTGAAAAAACTTTTTAAAACCAGAAAGGTCTCATTAATAATATAGTAATATAATATTATCGTTACCTTTTCAAAATTGATAACAGCTGCCTGCGTCTCGACCTCAATTTGTCGCAGTTCTCCATCCAAATTCTCCCGGGTATAGGGTATTATTTGTATAGTGTATGCCTGGCACGCAATCAGATCTTTCTCGAAGACCACGGAGTTCTGTTGGGTGTTAATGCTTAGGGCATCCACCTCTTTGTCATCGTCCATCCAGCCGGAAATGCGATAGCCAGCGATGCAGAGATCCGCATAGCTTGGAGTCAGCCAGCTCAGCTCAATGGAAAAGGGTTTGGTGCTGCTCGTCGGCTCAAGGATCTGTGTTGGTTCTGTTACAATAATATAGAACTATAATCTAGAACTATAATTTATGGTACATGTGCTACTCACGATCCTCGCCAAGTGTACTTTGACCCTGGTATATTGCACCCGGCTTGCCATTTAACGAGATGGGCACAATCTCCACATTGTAGCTGCCACAGGGTTCCAGTTTGCTAAACACAATAAATGTCTCGCTGGTCAACTGCTCGTCAATATCGAAATCCTCACGCTGGATGGGTCCACTCAGATTCACCCGATAATTGGCCACACATTTGGAATGATCGATGGGCGGCGACCAAAGCCATTTCAGCTCTGTCGAGTGAATTTCCTGTGTCGGCTCCGACACAGCACTGGGCACTGGTTAAATATAGTCAGAGTTAGGAACTGGATTATTTTTTATTCCTTTAACCTATTCAAAAAAGGGCCCTAACTTATTCAAAACTGTTTCGATTTGCGAGTCTGAGCTAATTTTGTTTATCAAAATCTTTAAATTAGGTTTCTAAGATAAGCAATTTTCGATCTTTTCTACATCTAAAATTGATGTTTATCAGATTTTTCAAGATCAAATCACTCAAAATACCAAATTGTGATCGATATAGACAACGAAAATTTGTAAAACAATCGATTCTAAGTACTAACACGAGTCTGAAAAAGCATAGTTTTTCAAGAACCCACTTTATTTGACCCATCCGTAATCATTTAATGATCATTTTCTGGTAAAGAATTACTCATAATTTTGCCAAGTGTACTAAGTACACTGTACTTACGCCTCTCGCCGGAGACAAAAGTCTCCGTGGCTTTGGCAGTTGTATTGCGCTCCATGTTGATGTAGACCTCGATGGTGTGCTCTGCACAGCCCTGCAGATTGTTCAGGGTATACTGCTTGAGGGAGCTATCGTTGGAGTATTCGCTCCACTCGCACTCTGCAATTGGACTTGGTTGAGAGTGGGGTTCTTATTGAAGTGGACGTAATCCACCTTACCTTTCTTCGCTTGTATCCCCGAACCCTGCACAGGCGCAGAAGTTGTCCCCTTCAAATGATCTAGATTCACAGTAGCCGCCGTCTCATCATCTATAACTGTGGTGGTTGTCTCATCGTCTGTTATTGTGGTGGTTGTTTCCTCATCCGTAATCGTAGTGGTTGTATCCACATCCACCTTCGTAGTTGTTGTCTCCCCATCCATCTCCGTAGTTGTTGTCTCCCCATCCATCTCTGGCGTTGTCGTTTCTCCGTCCATCTCTGGCGTTGTTGTCTCCCCGTCAATCTCCGGCGTTGTTGTCTGCCCATCCTCATCCGGCACACAATCGTTACGGCGCCAGACAATGGTGAAGCTGCCAATGCAGCTCTTGTTATCCGGCTCATTCCATGTGATCAGCGTGTCCTCATTGGAGCGCGTTGTAATGGTCAGCTGCAGATCGCCGGGCTCCAAGTAATCCGTTTCCAACAGTGTTGTGTCCTTGTCAACGATAACGCTCTCATTGTTCCGTGTGCTCAGCGTGACTGTATAGTTGCGACAGGGCCACACATCCTCAATGATATCGCTGCTTTCCTCCTTCGCCTGTTGCCTCGAAAAAGAGCTATCCGATGCCGTTGCCGAGATCTCAAAGTGTTTCACACACGACCGATCGCTGGTCTCCCAGTTCAGAACTATCGTAGTCGCTGTTGCCTCAACGGATAGCAATTGGGTTACTGGATCTGAAAGATACAAATAAAACTGTCAAAGAAAAGTGTAAGGTCTTTTAATGGAATACTTTATGGAAACACTTCCATCAGTCACAGTGAATATCCCTCTCGTAAACTCTCGTCGTACTCACCTTTATAATCCGTGTAGGCAACCACGAATTGTTCGAAGGGTGTTGATCCCTCAGCTGTTCCTTTGAGGGTTACAGTGTTTGTGTAGCTCGTACAGGGCTCCAAATTTTCACTGACAAATTAAAAATTAATATAGTGCTGATTGAAATCTTAACAAATATCTAGAATATATTACCAGATATAATTGTCATCAGGCAAAGCTGTTGATGTACCACCAGATGGACAAGCTACATTCTCGATGATGTAACTGTCCTTCTGCTCAACTCCGACACTAAATGTTAGGGTATATGGCGTGATAACCACATTTATTCGAACCACTGTGAAAAATCAGAAGCGGAATTTTAGAGTCTATACTTGAACTTTAACTTTAGATACAGCTTTAGAGGGGAATTTAGTAGATGTACAAGATTTTTCTAATTTGAGGAATAATTTAGGATCTAAACTTTCGCTTTCGAGGATAATTTTCAATTTGGACTTCAGATTAAACTTTAGAGGAGATTTTGAATAGATATAAAAGTTATTAGTAAACTGGGGATTATTTTAGAGTCTAAACATAAGCTTTATTTCAAATATTTTCCTGTTCATTTTCGATCAAACGAATGTTATACTAGGCACTTTGTACGGCATTTTAGGTACATTTCTCCCCCTAAACTTACCATCATTTTGGTCCGGCTCGGTTTGGGCTGTTGTTGTTTGGGCTTGAGCCTGGAGTTGTGACCAGGCTAACAGGAATAACGGTATGCAGAGCAGTCTATAAAACCGTGTCCTTGGCTTGTCGTGTTTGTTGAGCCGCATCTTAGGACCACATTGCAATCAGTTTACTAAACGAATGTGCGAATTATGGAAGTTAAAATCAAGTTCAAAGTCAAACAACCCATAAATGAGCTATATGCTAACTATGTGCCAAAAAAATGCAACCGGTTATTCGATTCAACTTCCCAAAAAAAGAGAATGAAATAATATATCGAAAGTATTAACCCCGCAATACAAATGTATATAAGAGCGATCGGCTAAGTCAGCTCGTTAAAGTGCAATGAGCACATTAATAATGTTTAAAACATGAATCGCATAATAAAACAATAACAATAACAGTTTCCCAAACAAATGTTATTTTTGTGATACGTGATTTACAAGTATTGATCACTTGAACTTATTACACAAACGCCCAAGTGTTAAAAATGTATTTTAAAAATCATTAAAAATAATAACAAAGCAAATTATACAATAATTATACAATTACGCTTTGAAGCATTTGAACTCTAGAGAACAGCAACCAACAAATAACTACAAATAAATACATTTGCTATTGAAAAGCTCGAAATTATTCAAACGAGTCTTTTTTGTATGTTGTTCAACATACAACAACATATTTAAAAGGAATCTTACACAAATTATTAAAAAATAGGCATCTGTAAGGGAATTTTGATCAGCTTAATTCAAAGTCGCTAACAAAGCTAAGTATTGTTTCTGAAATTATATATATACATATATATTTGCTTTTTTGTCCACATTTTTCAACTCAAACTTTATTATCGTATGGAATTTCTGCAGCAAATGAGAAATCGCTTGGGTTGGAGCTTTTACGATTATTACAAATAACTTGAAGCAAATTGAGAAAAAACAATCAAACAAATACACACAGATATGTATATATATTTATATCGATATCTATATATATATGTATATATATATAAAGCTGGGTATATTTTCTAAATGAGTCAAATTCTTTGACAAAGCCTTGCAGCAGTATCTTTTCTTTCTTGTTTTTTTCTGCATTGGGTAATTGAGAGCTTCTGAGTAATATTCCAATTGGCGATTAAGAAGAGCAACAACTACTACAAACATCGTAAATTATTTACACTTGAGAGCAATGCCAAGTCCAGGGGATTGGAATCAGGCTTATCAATCCACTTCATAAACAATACTTGGACGTCCAACTGAGTTAAAACCAAAATATAATGATAAAGATAACAATCTGAACAACTTGAGATTTTCATATACAAGACCAACAGCAACAAAATGAAGTCTCCTCACAAAGGAAATTGAATTGAAAGAATTAACTCAATTCTTATCAGACAGTCGCTGAAGAATTTCGTATATGATGCGTATAGGTAATCTATAAGATAATTCATTGTTATTGATTTTAGTTTGCGTTGCTGCTGAGGCTTTTTAATCAATGTCGGGTGAACAACGCTAATTACAAATTTCCAACGGCAGTCACTCTAAAAAAAAATCAATTGAAATTCCATTTTTTGTTTCTTCCCGATACACTTATTATTAATAGCACTGCGACATTATTTTCTTATCTTCAATATGGTGGCAAGGCTTGGTTTCAAATGCCAAATCGTTGTTTGCTTTCTTTAAAACAAAACACAAAATTCGCGTGGCCTCAAATCACACGGTAAATAAGTCAATAATAACAATTTAACGGTTATAGAAAGTAAACGCTTGTCGGAGCAGCTTTGGCTGCTTTTCGCGTTAATGTTTTATCATATCAACACACAACACACAGGTAAACATAATCAGAGCGCGGCTCCCTGATAACAGATAATGTGCATATATATTGCTTGAGGCCATTCAAAATATACAGTCCATCAGTGATTGCTTTTTTTCGCTTCTTTTTTTTTGTATCTATAAAAGTTAGTGTCCATTTATGCGATTTATGAGCCACTAAAAAGATGCGCTTCCGTTACAAATTATATTAATCGTTTGGGGCATCGATTGGCAGCAGTTTTTACTTGAATTTTGTGCATTGTTATCTTCACAGTGGCATGTGTGTAATATGGGGAGAATATGATTAGAATTGCTTTCGACTGCTTCGATAACAAATGAGTGCCTGCCTGATTGAGTGACTGCCTGCTTGCCTGCCATAATGTGCGAATCATTTACATATTTTGGCAATTTGATCATTAAATTGACTTTGGCTGTGTCATCAATAAAACAAATCTTGTCGTAGCACTCACAGGGTGGTCACAAATACGTCAGTAACAGATCGTTTTTTTTATTGTTGTTGTTCTTGTTGTTGCCGAAACCGATTTAGAATCTACTATTACACTTGAGTAAACGAAACGATTGCGTTGTTTAACTCTATTATAAATAACCGTTTCCGTTGAGCGTTAGTCGTGAACTGAGCAAATTAATTACACATGTCTGCATCACTCTGCTTATTTCTACTGATAAGCAAAAGTTTACTCCGACAGGGTGTGCATGAGAGAGAGGCGTGCGTGTGTGTGTATAAAAGATAATAAATAAGAACTCATTGCAGTTCGTCTATCTGTTCTGGTTTGCGCCCTTTACAGTGCTGTGCATTGTCAACAGGCGTGTTGTTTTCAAATGAAAATTACCATCCACAAGCTTATTGGCACATTATTTAAATTTTTGAACTAGAGCACAACCCGCCAAAAACAGCTGTTCCATGCACGATTTGTCACTGCTATCGATAGGCGTACGCACCAATCAAGCATCGATAACAAAATGAAATGCTAACCCTGCAAGTAGTGCTGGACAACAAAATCTAAGCATCGATACGTCGAAAAGCATCGAAAGATATTGGAAGCATTTCTCGCCGCGCTTCACTTCTGCGTAATTATTTCCCAATTGATTAAATTTAATACAATTAAAAAATACATAAAATAAAAGTTTGGTGTAAGTATGCGACGTGTGCCATAAAAAAACATTGAATCATCGCAAGTGCACGCCCCGCAGCGCATAATCAAAGCTACCCATTTTTTCGCAAAAGTGTTTGCTCGACGGCAACGCAGCAGTAGCAGCGAAGTGTATGTAATGGGCAAATGAGAAAAAAGAAAAATTTGTCATTTGTATGTGAGTGAGCACTGTCAGTGTGTTGGTGCGCGCTTATATGCAAAAGAAACTAAAGTCCCATATTGAAATGCTGTTTGTTTTCGCGTAAAAATGTGCGTGTTTCATAAATCTATTTGGCCTTTTGCAATTTTGCATATTGTCTTCTCTTGTGAAGCGCTGCTGCAGCGGCGCTGGCTGCGCTGCTCATTCAAGATGGCCGTCGTAACAGTTTTTTTTCGTCAGTGTCAGTGCTATTGTCGTTGTTGTTATTATTGTGTTTGTTGAGTGTTCGTTCGCTTTTATGTTGTGTGTGTTTTTGTTATTGAAAAGCAATGGCAACAAGGAGGGCTTATGCAAAATAATTCTGAACTGAATTATAAAAAAAAGAACATGAAAGTTCAAAAACAAAAACAAATTTCCAATTGTTTTCCCCATAGGCTTACAACCACCAAAAGCGATGACACATCGCCGCCCCTGCGTCAGTCAGTTGAGTTTATGTGTCAGTATGTGTTTGTGTGTGTTCTTATTTCGCGCATGTATCCTCCGCTTCGTCTCCTTTTTCCCCCTGCTCCACGTTTGCTGCGGAATTGATCGATTTTTACACACAGAACAAAACGTTAGCAACACTGTCGGTTCCAATTCCGATTCCGATTCCTTTGGTGTACCTCTAACAGCTCTTTTACATAGGTAGTAAAAGTAAAAAAAAACCTGTTCTGCGAATGCAGCCAACTCAGTCGGCAGTCGATGGAAATCTTGTTTTTATGTTTTTTACAGTTTTCCGTTTTGGGCTATGCTTTGGCATGGGCCATCCATCGTGCACATATGTATATATGTACGTACATACACTAAAAACAAAACACATGTGTAAAGTCGCATTGTTAACAGTTCCCAGAAGAACGAACGTGAGCAATTTGCTGTGCTAAGCTCGTTCTTCAGTCTGGAGCTGGAGTCACCCAGTCTGAGACACTGACTCTGCAAATTGACTGGCCACAAATTGTTGCTGCTGCTGCAATTATCTATTGGACTGTTTTCTAACACTTAGCCCTGTGTTTCTCTCTCTCACGTTTAGTCTTCTCTTTTGTTGTCTATTTTTTGTTTTTATGACTTGTGTTATCTACTAAATGTCTGCTCACGAGCTTCAACTAAGTTAAAAATATAAAGTTGTTTTTGTTTGTTCGACTTTCCAAGCTAAATGTTATTCTTAATGCGAATTAGACATTTTTGGCTGGCAAGTGTTGCTTCTAATTTTGATACTCAAAATTTTACTTAATTTGTGCTGCATTGCCAAATTTTTGCCATGTGTGGGTGAGTGTAAATTAATGAACAATTGCAAACACTGGCAAAGCGTGAGAAACACACACGCAGTTGGCAGCCAAGTGCACTGAGCAAGTGCAAGGTCTGTCGAGAGAGCGTCATTGAGAGAGAGAGAGAGAATGATAGAGAGCGTGCATGAGTCCTTATGCATGTGTGAGCTTATTTTTACATATATATGTGTGTGTAGCACTGATGCTGACATCAGACACCCACGCGAGTTGTTTTTCTTTTATTTTTAAACAGGTTAACCCAGCGCATTTTAAACAGCTACATGTGTAATCCTAATTAACAATTCAAATTGGAATCTGAAATACCTTTGGTAGACATGTGAATACTTGTTTATGTATGTGTATGTTAATGCATATATTTAATTTGCGTGGGTGTCAAATTGGTTGGCAACCCTTTTTTCGCAGCTGCTGCTGTTTGCCGTCGTCGCATCGCCTTTCAAATCTTGTGCAGCGTGTGACCCAAGCGACGCCCCCTTTATAGCTGTATTTATTATTATTATTTGATGATGATATTGTTGCTTTGGGACACCGTTACTAGTACGACCCACACAGTTACATATATTTACATGATTGGTTGGAAGTTACAAGGCGCATGACTGTGTATTGGAATGCTGGCACCAATAAGAACAAAACGCACGCCCGGTTGCCACAACACAACGGTTGTTGTCGTTGTCCGGCATTACATACAAACCAACTTACCAATCTACCCACCGCCTGCCCGAGCAACAACCAATCAAACCCACGCGTGTTCCGTTAATACTCGTGACGTTAGCAGCACTGTCTTTTATATATGTATATACTCTGTTCTTATGGGTTAATTGGGGGTATTAAATGTGCAAGACTTTAAGTAATTTAACTCCTCGTTTGTATCCGCTTTTATTAAATTGACTAGTTTAAAGTTCAAATGAGTCAGCATTTTAGATGTAAAAAAAATTAAAAACAGAACAGTGCTCAGTCGGAGCCTCATATTAGCAATTAGATTTATTTTTATTTTGTCTACTTGTATATTGATTTTTGTATTTTATATTTAGATGCGCAGTTAATGGAGTGAGTGCACTACATGCATGTCTCTCTCTCTCTCTCTCTTTTCCAGAGCTGAGCATGTCCCAACAGCTGATAAAAAAAAGGCTGACTTTGCTTCGCTCTTCGCCGACTGCGACAGACGCTCCACGCGTGACTCATTACTAGTTTCAATGCCGACGTCGGCGTCGTCGTCGTCGCATAAAAAATATGTTCAACGCTTGAACTTGTTTGGTCAGTTTTCAGCGCAAAATAAATGTATTTAGATGTACGCCCTGAGTTAAACAGCCAACAGCTCAGAAATCGTTGAAAATGATTCGGCAATGGTTATAAAAGCCAAAAATAATCTGAAAACGTCATTTCCTCGTTTCGAGCGTGTTTTGCGTATGTGTGAGTGTGTTTGTGTGTGTAGTCTAAGCTTGGACTTTGTTTTGCGTCTCTCTTTCGCTTGCTTGTTATTTACTTATAAGAAGTTGCTTGAATTACCGTTACATTTTTGCTAATTGGCTTTTTCAACGCTGCTTGTAACATTCGCTGTCGTTAGCAACGTTGACAACGTGTCGTCAAATGTTTATCAGGTGAACAAAATAAAATAGGCTACAAACAGCGCGTTATGCTTTCGTTGATTTTGCGCTGATTCGCGATTTGTTTAATAGCCGTTTTATTGCGTGCAACCTGTGATTTGTTTTCGCTTGTTCCCACTGCTATCGCTCAGCCGAAATGGATGGTGGCCACCTTGAGTTAATTAAATTGCAATTGTTATAAGCACAAAAGGCGACAAGTACATGAAAATTAACTGTTTTGTTTTTACTTTATCGTGGAATCTGTTGCATTGGAATAGAAGTAAGCAGTAATCGATCGATTCATGAGTTGAACTGTTTTTTCTATCAATTGCAAGCAGCAGGGTTGCATTTCAAACGAAATCCAAAGTTCAAACTAAAGGAATAGTTGCTGCTGCTGCTTTAACTTTTTGCAGACAATGCTCGCTTTAATGGCGACCAAATGAGCAAAAAAAAAAATCGTGTGCCAGAAACACAAAAAAACGCAACAGTTTCGGAAGCTGATGATGATAATCTTTATGTTGATTATCATGCTACACGCTGCGAAACAATGAAACAAGAGGCTAGATAATTATGAACAAGCAGCAGAAGAATGCTGAGTATGTATGCCAAAGACGCAACATTGCCAAAAAAAAAATAATACAAAAAAGTTGCAAAAGTAAAAAAAAATAAAGGTATGGGTGACTTGCCTCTTTGCGAAGTTTGCCTTTTCTTTTATGTAAAACTAATTTCCTGTTAAGTCAGTCAATCATTTATAATAATTCTCGAAAGATTGCTTTGATTTGATTTGTGTGTGTTTCTCTTTGGTTTCTTTGCAGCATTTATTGCACAAGAAGAAGGCAGCAACAAATTAAAGCAATAGCAGAAAAATTTGAAGCTCGCCCAACCCGAAGAACAGCATGAAAATGGTGTTGTCGCAGCGGCAGCGCGAGGAGCTGTAAGTAAAAACCCGAAATCATCAAAAATTCCATATCTAAATGTGTATATTTCTTAATCGAATGCGTGCAGTAACCAAGCGATTGCCGATTATTTGGGCACAAATGGCTATGCGGACTCATTGGAAGCGTTTCGCAAGGAGGCAGATCTCAGCACAGAAGCGGAAAAGAAATTTGGTGGCCTGTTGGAGAAGAAATGGACATCGGTCATCAGGCTACAAAAAAAGGTGATGGAACTGGAGGCTAAGCTAACCGAAGCTGAAAAGGAGGTCATCGAGGGTGCGCCCACAAAGAACAAACGTACGCCTGGCGAATGGATACCTAGGCCGCCAGAGAAATACTCACTAACGGGACATCGTGCCAGCATAACGAGGGTAATTTAAACTGTGGAAAAGCACCTACACACAATATATTGACTTATTCTTATTTCTCTGACATTGACAGGTTATATTTCATCCAATATTCGGACTCATGGTTTCGGCCTCGGAAGATGCCACCATTAAGATATGGGATTTCGAGACTGGCGAATATGAGCGCACTCTCAAAGGACACACAGACTCTGTGCAAGATGTGGCATTCGATGCGCAGGGCAAGCTCTTAGGTAACCAACACTATTATATATGTAGCCAAGTGATTAACTGTGAACACTACTTTCTGCAGTCTCCTGCAGCGCTGATCTGTCCATCAAACTGTGGGATTTCCAGCAGAGTTACGAGTGTGTTAAAACCATGCACGGCCACGATCACAATGTGTCTTCGGTGGCCTTTGTGCCCGCCGGCGATTATGTGCTATCCGCATCGCGTGATCGTACCATCAAAATGTGGGAGGTCGCCACGGGGTGAGTTTAATGGAGAGAGATAGTTAAATTGAATACTCATCGATTGATTAATGTATTTATTGTAGTTACTGCGTGAAAACCTACACCGGCCATCGGGAGTGGGTGCGGATGGTGCGAGTGCACATTGAAGGCAGCATTTTTGCCACATGCTCAAATGATCACACAATACGCGTTTGGTTGACAAATTCAAAAGACTGCAAGGTGAGCAAATGAACCAAATGAATCCTTATAAGCTTGACAAAGGAAATTGGGTGAAGCCAAGAAATTGGAGGGTTAATCATGCCTTAAGGGGGATTGTTGCTCTATGGCTTCCCTTGGCTTAAACTATGGAGAGCTCACTTCCGAAAGACTTATCGTATACTTACCTAACAATTCCTTTAGCATTTTCATTGAAATTCTATTTCTTTTTTTTATCAGGTTGAATTACGCGATCATGAGCATACAGTGGAATGCATTGCCTGGGCGCCAGAGGCGGCCGCATCGGCGATAAATGAGGCAGCTGGGGCTGACAACAAAAAGGGTCACCATCAGGGACCATTTTTGGCATCCGGTTCGCGCGACAAAACCATACGCATTTGGGATGTGAGCGTCGGACAGTGCCTGCTCACATTGAACGGGCATGACAATTGGGTGAGGGGCTTGGCATTCCATCCGGGTGGCAAATATCTGGTCTCGGCCAGCGATGATAAGACCATTCGGGTCTGGGACTTGCGCAACAAGCGATGCATGAAGACGCTCTATGCGCATCAGCATTTCTGCACATCGATTGGTGAGTTCACAAATACTTAACATTTTCAGTTTCTTTATAATGATTTTCGTTTTTTATTTAGATTTTCACAAAGCGCATCCGTATGTCATTTCCGGCAGCGTCGATCAAACAGTTAAAGTTTGGGAATGTCGTTAGGAAAACACTCAGCAAACGATATTTGCTTATTTCTCAATTTAAACATAATTCATAAACAAAAAAAGAAAATAGAAAGAAAACTACAATACTAATATATATACATATACATATATGTATAGATATATATTTAAAATTTGAATATGCAACACACACAGTCTCTCAGCCACCTTTACCAGATTCTTAAGTGCAAACTACATTTGTATATCTCAAAATATATCTATATATATATATATATATATGTGTGGTATATATATGATCTATGTCTAAAGTTAAATCCGAGCAAACAGCAATTAGCAAAAGAAGAAAAAAACAAAAAGCAGCGAAAGAAACGAAATATTTATTTAATGTACGGCCTCCTCCTAACTAACTAACTTACCAACCTACCAACTATATAATATACAAAGTACATGCATATTTATATATATATATATACCTTAAAATATACATACAATTATTGTTAATTTAAATGCTGTGTAGACCCACGCCTCAAAAATACAAAAAGCTAAACACAAAAAAAGAAATCAACATTGATAAGAAAAACAAAAGAAAACAATCGCCCACAAAGCACGCTCGCTAGCCGACAAAACTTGAGATCTGTAGTTGAATTTTCGTAGAGAAACCCAATTTGAAAACAAAATATTATATAAAATGCATATAAACAATTGTACGAACTAAAAATGTTGTAATGTCAAATCGAAAAAATGTTGAAATCACTAAACGCCTGTCGATAAATTGCGAAAACATGAAAACAAACGCATTATGATTGTTGTCATCTCTGAATTTCGTTGCTTATAGTAAGCGCATATTAATAGATAAATATATATATATATATATCAGCTCGCGCAATAATAAGAAATTCGATCACCACAAACAACAACAGCAGCAACAAGCAAAAGTATTCTTTTTATTATATAATTTGTATGTATACAATTAATTAATAACGCAAAGCGAACGAGATTTCGAAACAAGGAAAAAGGCGACATTTGTTATTCAAGGAAATTACTTGAAATTTCATTCAGATGAAATTCGGGTAATTTTTATTTTTATTTGAAATAACAATTAACAATGCTTTTACAAACATATACAACAAATTCAGCTCAGAGTTTTGTGTTCTTTTTTGCTAAAGGATTTATACAAAAACTAAACAACAAACAATACAAATAAACTTATAAAATGTGTACAAGTTTAAGTTTGCTTTAAGTTCAAAATATGATTTACGTTAGTAAAAATGCTGCAAATTTAATTTTAATTTAATTGTTCATAAGTGCAAAGGCAAAATATAGTAGTCTGTATGTATACTTTATTAATTATTTGTGGAACTTTGAAAATTTCGTATATATATACACGCTAAATAAGAAGAAGAACAACAGGATTGTGGATTAAACAAAACAAAAACAAAATACAAAAATAAAATTTGCTTCTTCAAGAAACAAAAAGATAAATGCAACAATCGAAGATGTTTAATATACTCTGTACTCACAGCATGTTGAAACATTAACAGATCCATCCAAGAATTGAGCACTGGGTACAGGGTATTCAGCATAGTCGAGCACTCTCGATATTAGACTACAAATTAGAGTACTCTCTCTCATGTAATGCACCTTTATAAATACACATGTATTTTAAGCATTATAAAATATGCAAATAACACTTAAATACAAAAGAAAAATGATACAAAAATCAATGCATATTTTCAAAACGCTTCTCTTATCACCAAAGCTGCTTTAACACGATGACCGATTATGAAGATAAATCGCTAGAAACCACAACATGCAATGCGGTAATTTGGCCAATTATAGCTACAATGGCCACAATTTTAACGTTACAGAAAGTGGTTAATATATATATATAATATATACACATAACATGAATAAATCCACAAATTTGTTTCACTAATAAACCATAAGTTATATTTTTGTTCTTTATTGTAATCATGTAAAGTAAGTGAATTAAGTCAAGTGGCAGGCGCATTTGGATCAGCAAATTTTGTGGTTTTCGTTGAAGGTTCAGTGACTACAGCTTCCTTGGTATATGATTTGTCCGCCTCCTCCATGATCTCGGCAAGCTCCGCCTCCGGTTTCTCAACTGCATTTGCATCCTCCAAGCTCTCCTGCTCTGGCTTCCCAGCTGCAGTTGACTTCTTCAGCTCTGGCTTCTTAGCTGATGTTGCCTGCTCAGCCGCCTCATTCGGCTGCTCATCCTCCTCGGAGCCACTTGCACTGGACTCACTCTCTGGCTGCTTATTATCATCCTTCGGTTTGGGTTCACGTGGTCGTTTGGCCCGCTGCTTTTTCTTCAGGCGTTTTGCTCGCTTCTTGGCCGTGCGCTCCTCGGCCTTCTGTTTGTTATCATCCAGTTTCTGTTGATAGGCATCGTCGGCTGCCTCACGTAAGCTCTGGTTTTGTATGTTTTTCTGGCGCGCGTATTCCTTGCGCCGCAGGTGGCGATATACGTGAAACTCTCCGGAGCCGGCACCCGCACTGCTGCCCATCACATTGCGCACGAATGTGGGCACGGAGGACATGTAGTCGCGCTCGCGCCTTTGCTCCGGTATAATAACTGGCTTTTCCTGTCATTTATTTACTTGATTAGCTTTTTTTTAATGGGAATCACAAATTTACTTACAGGATTTTTCATAAGTTTCTCCAGCTTCAGTCTTTGTAGATCGGTGGCTGACTTGATGAACGGCCCCAATGGCTTATCCTTCTCCCCAGCATCGTCGTCGTCGGAGCCCGCATTCTTTTTCTTCTTTCGCGGTTTGTTTTCTGTCTCTTTAACTAGATTTTTAATAAGCGACATGTTTGTTGACAAAAGAAGTCATTTCACTGTTGACGTGTTAACGTATCACGGTGACTGGCAATTCTTAATACCAAAAATACCAGACTTCTAGCATGTTACGACTTGTGAAGTTTGGTCACACTGTCGAGTTCCAGTCGAAAACAACGCGTTAATTTCTAAATTACCGATATAAAATCGTAACTCGTAATGTGCTAAACGTAGCCAAAGATCTAATTGTCATTTGTTTGTAAAAAGACACCCAGACAATAAATCCCCGTTTATATTATTAAATAGATTTATATATATATATGCCTAGTTACAACAAATTACAAAATTAAAAATCACATAAGCGGCAGTGACCAGCAGCAGAAAGCAGCACAGACCACAGAGCAAACAGTCAGTCGCCCGAGCGAGCAGCGTAGAGTTGTGTAACACGGCAAAGGCAACGGCAACGTGAACTGAACTGAATTTGGAACTTAGAATTTGGATTTGGTTTTCGGTTATCCGTTTTTGGTTTCTGTGCGCTATCAAAGAACAGGCATAAACAGGCAGCATGGCGCTCGAGATTGATGCAAAAAATGCAACGGCTGCGACTGGCGATGCTGGTGGTGCCACTGGCGGCAAGGCCAAAGCCAAGGAAAATAAGACCAATAATAACAACAACGCAGCCGGCGAAAAGAATTTGGTCAATGGCAGCAGCAGCAGCAGCGCCGCAGCAGCAGCAAAGAAGAAAGGTACGCGTTAACCGTTAACTATGACATTTTCGATCAAATCATCCCTCCCCCCTTCCCACCCACTCCACAACCATCCAGTGCTGAAGTGCGACATTAGCGAGTAGCAAAAGCAAAAGCAACAAAAATAAATAGTCTATCACATAACATTTTTACGTTACGTAATGTATTTTTTCTATAATGCTTTAAATGCGGCCCGTCGTCGTCTATTGCTGGGCGCTTTTGTCGTTGCCCCCCAACGGCCAATAGCAGCAGCAGTGCTGCTAGTACCGCGTGCGTTTCAATTGCATTAGTATTAGTGGGAGTTACGTACAGAGTGTGTGCGGTGTCTGCGTATTTGTGAATATGCGTGCGTGCGTTTTTTTTTTTTAACATGGCGACACACACACATACATAAATGCCGTTGTCCGATGTTCATTAACCCCCAGCAGCGGCGCCCAGCAATTGAAATGTTTCTTTAACCTCCAATTACCACGTGCTTGCCGCTTGACGCACTTGCTTGCATGCAACAAACAAAAAACTCTCGCAATCAGTCGTTGTCGTTGTGTTAATTATGTAAATCATGTTTTTGTAACAAATGATCCCCAAAGCATAACTCTCTCTGCTCTCTCGCTCTCTCTCTCAGCAGATGCTCTCCGTTTATTGGTTTGTTTATCAAATTTAGTTTGCTGTAATTTCAAATGTTCATGTTGAAATTAACAAGAGTCTGTTAAAATACAGAGAGAGAGAGAGCTTAACAATTAAGATTAGCGTTAAGAAATGCATTCTGATGCAGTCTTGCAGCACTGTCTTATCAGCAGCAGTTGCTTTGTTTGCTTTTCTCTTCTCTTTTCTTGTTTTGTTTTACAGCACTCGCACACAAGCGTAAATAGGCATGTGTGTGAGTGTGTGTGTGTGAGCTGCAGCCGGTAACAGTGAATGGCAAAAGTAAACGGCCACACTTAGAGGGCATATGTTATGTAACAAGTGCGCGAAATGTAGGTGAGGTCAGGTCGATGCGATGTGATTGCCCTTTGACGAATTCTTGCACTTCGCCCGGTTCAGTTAATTGGAATGACCTATAAAAGCAGCAATAAAAGCTTGTTTTGTTGGTATCGTTGTTTTTGTTTTTAAATACTTATATGTTAATTATATAACCGGTTTTGAATGTGTTATAAATAAGATTGCACAGTTTTTCTCTAAATGTTATCATCTCATTTTAAATAATATGATAGGTGTAATCAAAGCAAAGGTTAATTTCCTGCTTGAAAGGCTGCAATTTCTAAGGTTTTTAATTCTAATAAATTTGAAGGCCACATTAACTAAAAATATAAAATAATAATTGTTATATGGATCAATTTCATAGGGATTTCAAAACCTTAAAAAATCAGATGACAATACATACATGCATACATTGCGTGTTTAACGTATTAATCACGACTTTTATTCTTCAAACTGTTTCCAAGTATTAGCAGCTGATAAACAATAAGATAATCTACATATTCACATGCTGTTTACAGTTATGTAACGAGTTCATCAACTATTTTGAATGGAAAACCCACCCAAAGATATGCATAGAATACACCACAAACAATAGAGTTGTAAATTTGCTGGTTGAGCCTTGACCACAATTGGAATAACAATTGATGTTTATTTGTAGGCAAGAAGAATCGCAACAAAAGCCCGCCCCAACAAGACGCAATTGAGGCTGAAGCAGGCGCCGCGTTGAGCAATGGCCATGCGGTAAATGGTGTTGGCGATGGAGATGCTGATGCTGCTGATGCCAACGCAAATGTGCTCGCCGATAAGCCGGACAAGGCAACAGCAGCAGCTGAGGAGAAGAGCGCTACTCCTGACGATGAAGCTGCGGCGGCAGTAGCAGCTGGAGATGATGCTGATCTGGATGCGCTGAATGACATTGGCATCACAGTGAACATTAGTAGTCCCGGCACAGATGTGCTCTCCGTGCAGTTGTCGAGCATGGAGCTGGTGCAGGAGATCCATCAGCTGCTGATGGATCGCGAGGAGACATGCCATCGCACTTGCTTCTCCCTGCAGCTGGACAACGTAACACTGGACAATTTCGCCGAGCTGAAGACAATCGAACCGTTGGAGCAGGGCTCCACCATACGCGTCGTCGAGGAGCCGTACACAATGCGCGAGGCGCGCATCCATGTCCGTCATGTGCGCGATCTGCTCAAGAATCTGGATCCGGCGGACGCATACAATGGGATCGATTGCACCTCGCTCACCTATTTGAATACGATAACACAGGGCGATCTGCTGGACAAGAAGCGAACACGTCCCGATTCCGTGGACTGCACACCGCCCGATTATGTGACGCCCGGAGTGCGTGAGCCGCCGCTGTTGCCACTGCATCCGAACATTAAGAATGCGAAGGGACCACAGGCCCTCAAAGTGCTGACCACATCCGCATGGAATCCACCGCCGGGTCCACGCAAACTGCACGGTGATCTCATGTATCTGTATGTGGTCACCATGGAGGATAAACGCTTTCACATCTCGGCCTGCTCGAAGGGCTTCTACATCAATCAGTCCACCGACGACAATTTCAATCCGAAGCCCGACAATCCCAGCCATTTGAGTCACTCGCTCATCGATCTACTCTCGCACATCTCACCTTCCTTCCGACGTGCCTTCCAGGCCATCCAGAAGCGTCGCACCATGCGTCATGCCTTCGAACGGGTGGCGACACCTTATCAGGTCTATCAGTGGTCGGCACCACAATTGGAGCACACCGTGGACGCCATACGAGCCGAGGATGCCTTTAGCTCCAAGCTGGGGTAAATTGAAGCAATTAAATCAGTCATATTTTACTTACTTTCTCTCCATTCTCTTCTAGCTATGAGGAGCATATTCCTGGTCAGACGCGCGATTGGAACGAGGAGCTGCAGACGACTCGGGAACTGCCCAGGAAGACACTGCCAGAGCGCTTGCTGCGCGAGCGTGCTATATTTAAGGTACATGGAGATTTTGTGACGGCAGCCACACGCGGCGCCATGGCCGTCATCGATGGCAATGTCCTAGCCATTAATCCCGGCGAGGATGCCAAAATGCAAATGTTCATCTGGAACAATATATTCTTCTCGCTCGGTTTCGATGTGCGCGATCATTACAAGGAGCTCGGTGGAGATCATGCCGCGTTTGTGGCGCCACGCTATGATCTGCATGGTGTCCGCGTCTACAATGCTGTCGATGTGGAGGGTCTCTACACCCTTGGCACCGTTGTGATTGATTATCGGGGCTATCGTGTCACTGCCCAGTCCATCATACCGGGCATCTTGGAGCGGGAGCAGGAACAGTCTGTGGTCTATGGCTCCATTGATTTTGGCAAAACGGTGCTCAGTCATCCCAAATATTTGGAGCTACTGCGTCTGGCTGGCAAACACTTGAAGATCCTGCCGCATTCGGTGTTGAATGAGAGGGATGAGCCCGTCGAGCTGTGCTCCTCGGTGGAGTGCAAGGGCATCATTGGCAACGATGGCCGGCACTATATACTCGATCTGTTGCGCACGTTCCCGCCGGATGTGAACTTTTTGAAGCTGGAGGATGTGCAGATGAGCAAGGACCTCAGCGAGATGGGCTTCCCCATTGAGCATCGCCATAAGCTGTGCTGTCTGCGCCAGGAGCTGCTCGAGGCCTTCATCGAGGATCGTTATGTGACCTTCATACGCATTGCTGCAGCGCATCTGCAGCGCCTGAATGCCAAAAAACAGGCGGACAAAGACTTGCCCGTCATCACAGAGAAGCAGCTGGAGGAGCCAAAGGAAGAGCAGTCGACTGAGAAGCCCACGGAGCAGTCGGCAGAGAAAGACCCGATGGAGAAGGAGCAGGACAAGGAGAAAGAGAAGGATAAAGAAGCAAAGCCCAATACCAGTTCCACTGAGACGAAGAGCGCTGAGGCCATGGTGAATGCGATACGTGAGGCCCAATCCAATGTGGCAGTCTCCAATGAGGTGCAGGCCGCTGAGGTGGTGAAACGGGCCTGTGCCACTGTTGGCTCCCTCAAGGAGAAGGAGTTCGATTTCCGTTTCAATCCGGATGTCTTTTCACCGGGCATACGTCACATCGACGGACCCGATGGCGGCGGTCAATCGCTGGCGAAGCAAAAGCGTCTCGTTCAGGATGCTGCCGAGTTTCTGGTGCTGAAGCAAATACCCGCGTTCATCAAGGAGCACACGGCGCACTCGTCGCCACCCATCGATGGCCAGAGCCTGACCGAATCCCTGCACAGCCATGGCATCAATGTTCGCTACCTGGGCAAGGTGATAAAGATGCTCGGTCAGATGCCACGCATGGATTATCTGCATCGGATTGCCATCCTCGAGCTGATTGTGCGTGCCACAAAGCATATCTATTACACGTATATGCAGAGCACGGAGCCACTGCATCTGTCTGCGGCAATTAGTCACTTTCTCAACTGTTTGCTGACGACGGGACCAGTGAATCCCGCCGTCAGCAGCGAGGAGGTGCACAAGAAGCAATTGCGCAACAATGGTGGAAAGCACAACAAGCACAACAAATCCTCCAAGAGCCAAGCCAAACCACAGTCCTCATCGTCATCCTCATCCTCGGCTGCGGCATCCACACAGAATGGTGGCAACAACCACAACAGCAACAACTCGACAGCTGCTGCTGCAGGAGCCGCATCATCCTCGAGTGCATCGAACAACAGCAGTGCGGACTGGACACTGGTCACGCCACGATCTCTGTGGCAGCAGATACGCAAGGAGACGAAGGCCTATTGGAACTTTGAGCTGGACTGTGACTCCGTTGAGACGGCGGGCGCCAAGTATGGTTTCTTGCGGATCAGCTTGCTGCGCGCCTTCTGCCTGAAGGTGGGCATCCAGGTGCTGCTGCGCGAATATAACTTTGAGTCGAAGCACAAGCCCACCTTTGGCGACGATGACATCGTGAATGTGTTCCCCGTTGTCAAGCACATCAGTCCACGTGCCACAGATGCCTACAATTTCTATACGACGGGTCAGGCCAAGATCCAGCAGGGTCTGCTCAAGGAGGGATACGAACTGATTAGCGAGGCGCTCAATTTGCTGAACAATGTTTTCGGTGCAATGCATCAAGAGAATGGCTCCTGTCTGCGCATGCTCGCCCGTCTCAGCTATCTGCTGGGCGATGCCGGCGATGCATTGGCCATTCAACAGCGCGCCGTCATCATGAGCGAGCGTGTCAATGGCATCGATCATCCCTCAACCATTTTGGAATACGTGAGTGCCTGAATTGATATATATGTGTATAGAAAGTCTAATCTGTTTCTCTCTTCTTGTACAGACACATTTGTCACTCTACTCGTTTGCCAATGGACATGTGGGCATGTCCCTGAAGCTGCTCTATCGCGCACGCTACTTACTGGTGCTCATCTGCGGCGAGGATCATCCTGAGGTGGCACTCATCGATGTGAGTTGCAGGCAGTAACTTTTTAGCAATATATTTATTACAAGTTCAATTCAATTGCAGAGCAACATCAGCTTAATCCTGCATGCTCTAGGGGAATATGAGCTGTCGCTGCGTTTCATAGAGCACGCCTTGAAGCTGAATCGCAAATACTTTGGGGATAAGGCAATGCATGTGGCTGTCAGCTATCATTTGATGGCGCGCACCCAATCCTGCATGGGCGATTTCCGTTCAGCGCTGAGCAACGAGAAGGAGACCTACTCCATATACAAGTCACAGGTAAGTTGTGCCATATCAAACACAACAATGGCAACAGTTAATCAACTCCTTTTTCTTTTCCAGATGGGTGAGAAGCACGAGAAGACGCGCGAGTCGGCGGAGTGTCTGCGTCTGTTGACCCACGAGGCTGTCGCGCTGCAGCGCAAGATGAACGACATCTACTCCAATGGCAAGCTGACCAGCGATCTGCCGCCCATCCACATAACGCCACCCTCTATGGGCTCCGTCCTCGAAATGTTGAACACAATCAATGGCATTCTCTTTGTGCATATCAGGTTAGCTCTTGCATTATAATCCAGCTGAATTGTTAACTAATTCTCAATTCTCTACGCTGTCGCAGCCAAAAGGATATTGTGAAGGTTCGCAGCGAGATTGAAAAGCATTTGAAGACGAATACTGATGAGAATGAGATAACCGATGCACTCAAAACCATTGTGGCAGCTGCCAATAACAATGAGAATGCGACAGAGACGACCAAGGATGAAGGAGCAGCTGCAGCTGGAGCAGCACCGGGAGCTGGAGAAACGCCCGTGCAGCTGACAAATGGTGGAGGCGAGGAGACAACTGCAACTGCAACTGCGACGGTTTCCAGTTGAACAACGCAGCTACTGCAGCAAGAACACACAACAAACATCAACAAACACCAATAACTACAAATATTAAATACTACTACAATTTCATGAACAACACACATATAACGTCACAAAATTGTCATCTGTTGATTGTTGTCAATATTGCAACGTTTAATTCGGTGTCGTAAGCAAAATTCGTAACGGAAAAGTGTCTTTAATTTTGTTGTGGAACTAAGAAACAACCGAATCTAATAACACACAAACTAAAAAAAAATAAAGCATAATTATTTATGCTTTCTTCTAAAGGCTGCTCTTGTACTGCTCACACACACACACATATGTATCGTTAAATATTACTATACTATATACTACGGCCATATCCTTAGGTGATAAACGGCATTACAAAAAAAAAAAACAAAAAACAAAACCACATTTTAGCTTTAGTATGTCAAAAACAAAGGAACAAACTATACAAATACTAGCAAGCATCCTCCTAACCCTAATCATCACCAGCTATAGAGAAGAACAAAGAAACCCAAAAAAAAAAAATCAAAGCAACATAAACAATTGTCACTGTGTGTAGTGAATAATTCTTTTTGTTAAACCATTTGATGGGCGCCAGTCAAATGTCTTATTTTCATAGTTTATATAAACATATATATATATTCATTTATAGCTAGAATGCATTGTTTTTGTTTTGTTGATCACAACAATATATACATAATTTAAGATTGCGCTAACTGAAAAGAAAAGGCGAAAAACAAAGAGAAAGCCAACAAAATGGTTAATTTTTTCTGTTATACAATTACCATATAGATATATAGAAATATATATATATATATATAGACATCAAGCAAACTGACACACACACACATACACATATACATATATATATATATACATATGTATATATATATAGATTAAGTCCTTTAAATGCCAACAAGGTCTTGAAACATTTAATCACATGAGAACTACATGTTTTTTAATATTAAAAAGGATGATCAAAATAAAAAATCGAAAAAATGCAATTCGAATTCGGTTTAAACTAAATTTAACAGCTATGTGGATTAAGTTAAGTTTATGGGTTTATAAAGAGACTCGCATCACTTGCGCTTCCTGCACTTGTTGCGTCCCTTGCGCCTTCGTCCTGGCGTCTTTCCCGGCGACTTGCCATTCTTAGCTGTTTGGGTCTGTTGTGGTTGTTGTTGTGTCTGCTGCTGCTGCTGCTGGGATTTAGAGCCAGCTGCATTGGTTCCAGCCACATTAGTATTGGCCGCATTGGCAGCTGCAGTGGCAGCGTTGGTCTGTCGGTTCAAGCGATTGGCAATCTTCTTGGACGGTAGCAGATGTTGGCTGACCAGCTCGCCCAGGACGCCTTGATGCGCCAGCATGGAGAGGAAAGTGCAGATGAACTTGTCATAGTTGTGGGTGCGACGACTTGCATCCACCTTGAACATTTGCCGGCGATCATTCTCATCGGCCAAGTGCTGCTCATTGATGGCTATTTCCGTGTCCAGATTCTTGAGCAAAGATTGCAAATCACGCGCCGTAAACGCACTGGGCTCCAGCAGTGTGGTGGGTGTATCCGGACGCTGTTGCTCATCGCGCTCGCCCTGCTCATCGGCCTTGAGCAGTTTCTGCAGTGTGCCGGACACGATGGCCTGATTGGTGCGCAACATCTTCAGCTTGTGCGTGATGGCAATGCGTCGATCTGGGACGACAGCCATCAAATTGAAACGTATATCCTGCTCACCGGTGGCTATGCCCAGCCGCTCAGCCATGACACGCCGGAACTTGTCCGTCCAGTCCTCGTGCTCCTCCCAGCAGCCGTGATTCATGGGATACGGCTTGAGGCCGTCCAGCTCGAATAGTTGCCCATTGATGGGCACAAAGCTGACAAAGTGAAAGGCTTCCCCAGTGAAACGGCAACTGGCAACACCAGCGCCCGTTCGTTCCAGACGACGACGTGCCTGGGGCATTGCATGCGAATTGTGGGCACACGCTAGCTCCGGCGTGTTGCCAATGGCGAGACCCTTGTTTTCGGGACTCATGCCTTTGGTGTGGGCCTTGAGGCGACCCAGCGTCTCGCCCAGCTGCAGATTATTCTCGTTGCAGTTGAGCAGCACAGAGAGCAGCGCATGGGTGGCACAGCTATTCGGCACCACCTGCTGGGCAAAGAATATGCTTGAGATGGCCTCCTCATCCTTGACAAATATCTCGGCAGTTGTCTCCACTATTTTGCGACGCGCCCGTCGCTCTTCGATCCAGCGAAACAGGAAAATAAATCCATAGGGACTCTCAATGGGCTTTTGCAGATCATAGACCTCTTCAACCTGCACGTCGTGACCTGGTAACGAACGACAGCAGTGAGTTTTGAAATGAATGTCACCATTTCAACCCCATTTACTTACAGCCAAAATCTTCCAGGAGCAGTGTGAAAAGACCTGGATCAGATTCTAGCTCCAGCCAGCCATCTGCGAGCTGTGCCATTGGTAGTGCATTGTTCTTGCCGGCGTTGCCTGCAGCGGTGCTAATAGAGCCGCCTGCGACGCTCATTGCGCTGACCAGCTTGAAGAGGAGTTTTGGTAAGTTAATTGACAAATTTGACAATTATCAAATGCAAACAATTTTGTGTTTCTGCGCCGCAGCTCTGTGAGTGGCAACTCTTTGATTGTCAACGTTCCGGGTGAATAACATTCATATCGAAATGGTGTGGCAGCACTATTTCAGATTTACGCTCAGCTGATTTGACGTAACTTTAGCTCGGCACTTTTTTGCCCTGAAAAGTAAATCAATTTTGAAATTAATAATGGTGCGTCTAAATTTAGTTGCATTAACGAAACGAGTGCCCCTCATTCAATTCCGCAAGGGCGCTTTGACGGCACCAGGCAGCAAGGCGAGCCCAAGTCAGCAGGCAAGTTCAACGGAGTCGGGAGGCAAAAAGGTTAACTTTATAGGCCATCTACTGCATCATCTTTTTTTCTTGAGAACTACTCATAAATCTTTGTAATCTTTGGCTAATGATCGCTTATTCGATTCGCCCCCATCAGGTCACAAGTGGACCGGCGATTGAGGACTGGGAGCTGCCTGCGCGTTTTGCCCGCAAAAAAATTGATCCGCTAGAAGCCGAATACATCAATAATGGCGGAATACCCAACTGAAAATGCCAACGACACGACTTTAGTGCTGCTCGAATTAAGCTAAGAATACCGAACGCGAATGCCTTGCTAGCTACACAATTTATTGGAATTATTCATATTACGCGTGTCAGCTGTTTTAGCATTCACACACACACGCAGCCAGCCCCAAAACACTCAAATGTTTGTCGTCTAATTTTTGTAGTAAAGAGTAATTAAATCAGAATTAATTCAATGCGTGCAGCAAATCAACAGTTAACATTTATTACATTTAAATTGCATCTGCATGGGCCATAGCAGAAGCCTCACTGTTAAGTGAGGAGCAGCTATGTTGAAAATGGGGAGCCAAAGTGAGCACATTAATGCGAGTAGGAATTGCCATTCTCCGCCAAATGGGCTTTGCTCAGTGCTAATCTTGCGCCAATATAAATCAGACGTGGTTTTCAGTTCGCCCAACATTTATCGTTCATAGCCGACTGTGCTCTTGTCTCTGTGATTGTGTTATTTTTTTGTAATACACCGCGTTCGTTCCACCGCATCGCACCACCCCCCGCAACAGCCATCACACGGCACAAAGAGTGGAAAATTTCCAAGGCATTTGGAAGCAACGGTTGGCTCTTTATTAATAACTTTTCGCATTCTGCCATATTGCGTAGCAGGCGTTTATTCTTGGCTAGATAAAAGAGTCTGGCCAAAATCGGTGCTTGGATGGATGTGAAGCAGAGCATGCAAGTGAAGTGGTGCACCAACAAGGACTGCTTGGGTCTCCGTAAACGTGTCTGCGGACTGCATCAAACCTTTAAGTGGCTCCACCAGACACCCGCCCTCCACGAGTATCTCATCTCCGCCAGCTCCGTCGCTGCAAACACAGCAGCAGCAGCAGAAGAATCTACGCTCTAAAGTCCAAAACAACAGCAACCAAAAAGCAATAAACCAAAAGGAATACGCGCTTCGAGCAGAGCAAACAAGCAACAACAAGAGACAGATAGAAAGAGAAGAAGCAAAAGTATAATAAGCTAAAATAGACACGATACAGATAATAATTAATACAGTCAATACTACGCACGCCTAGGCATAGACATATAAACAAATAGACAACAACACTTAAAAATTCAACCTAACCTGCGAACACAAAAAAAAAAAAAAAATTGAAAAAAGAACGAATCGCTTTTTCGGCTGTTAAAGAAAAATATTAATTAGCAGACGTTGCTGACGCGCTGTGGCAATTGACCTTGTTTTTGTAACAACGAATGCAAATATTGAGCAGCAAGTGCATTGCCGTCACAGTGGAGCAAGCGAAAGAGAGAGAGAGCGAGCACCATAGCAACAGCGCCCAATTGACTTCCTTGTAAGAAGAGCAAAACAACAACAGCGAACCGAGCAGTGCACACAAATTGTGCAATAAAAGCAAGAAGAGTTGAAAATTTTAATTTTTTTTTTGCCCAACTGTCAAATTTAAAAATTTTATAAAATGAGTTTATTGCGTCGTAATTCGAGCCAACTGCGTCTGCTGCTGCAGGGCCTGGGCGCATCGTCAACAAAAATCATGCGGCACAAATCAAGCGATAACATCACTGCCAGCCATAACGTTGGCAACAGTATAAATGCAACTGGAACTGCAACAAAGACGATGACAACTGATAAGAAGCTCGAGTCAACTGCTGATGGGGATATCAAGAAATCGGTGTTCATATCGCAATCGCATGACATCTTCACCAACTTGGCGCTGGAGGATTGGCTGTACAAGAACTTTGACTTTGCGCATCATCATGTGCTGCTCCTGTGGGCCAACGAGCCGTGCGTTGTCATTGGCCGCCATCAGAATCCCTTCACCGAGGCGAATGTCTCCGCGCTGATGGAGCGCGGCATCACGCTGGCGCGACGGAACAGTGGCGGCGGCGCTGTCTATCATGATCGCGGCAATCTCAATTGCACATTCTTCACGCCCCGCGAGCGCTATGATCGCAAATACAATTTAAATATTGTGACGCGCGCTTTGTTCCGTGAGTGGGCCATCAAGGCGGAGATCAATGATCGCGACGATATCGTTATCGCCAACAAAAAGGTTAGACATGTGCTTTCATATTATTGCCCATTGGCTTATCAGCCTTATCAGCTGAAATGGCCATACATCTGGAAACGTATGACCTTTTGAATTGACCCCGCAATTCGCCAAATATTTTGGAAAAACACAATTTCATTCAAATGCCTGATTTATAAATAGTTGCTCACATTATATATTTTATTAATTTATATTTTAATTTGCATTTATATTATTTATTACATTATTATATAATATATTTCTTATTCAGTTATATTACTTATAATTTATATTTGATATATTTGCGCAGATATCGGGCACTGCTGCTAAGCTGGGACGTCCCAATGCGTATCATCATTGCACCATTCTGGCTAGCGCCAATAAGTTGCACCTGGGCGAGTCCTTGGTCAAGGAGCCGGCCAATTATATTAGTCGCGCCACTGCATCCGTTCCGTCGCCCATTCGCAATCTGGTCGATGTTAATCGGAATGTGAATGTGCCGCAGTTGCTCTCAGCTGTGGGTTATGAATACCTGAGAACTGTGGCGACTGCTCTGGAGGATGGTGGCAGCGCACAGACAATGAATCAGCGTGGCTTTCAGTTGGTCAATCCGACGGAGAAATGGTTCCCCGGCATCGAGGAGCTGCGCGCCAACTATTGCTCCTGGAACTGGGTTATTGGCAAGACTCCCAAGTTCACGGTGGAAAAGGAGCTCGAACTGAAGAGCAATGAGCATGGCATGAAACTAAAGCTGAACGTTGAAGTTGAAGGCGTATGTTTTGACAAATCTCCGAAACTGTTAACATTTATTAATTTTATATTGATTTGTTGCAGGGATTGATGACACAGATTGGCATCCAGTTGCCGCAGAGCGATCAGCTGGTGCCCGTGGTCACTCCCCTCCAGGGCCAGGCATATAACGAGCACAATCTGAACGGAATCATTGGCGCCCTCAAGTTGGTCTCCACCTCGAATGTGCAGCAGGCGATGAACGGTTCCATTTGATTCTTGCTTTGCTAGCAGAGCTACAAATTTGCATTATCTGTCCGTTTTCTCTGCTCAAGCCATTTTATATATATATATAGAGTAGTACACCTGATTTATATATCTGAACTAATGTAGCATGTAGGAGCATTAACAATTACATATTGACTTTCTATTTTATATATCAAAACGTTTTATAATAAATGAGTTACATGAAATGTGCATAAAAACTGCCTTTTTTCTATTTATAATAATGAATAAAACGAATGAATTATGTACGTTTATGCAACATTTTATTGCATATTGGTTAATTGTTATAAAATAATGTAAGGCACACTTGTTCACTATTTGACACAAATTGTTCACATAGATTGTCCACAAAATACATATATATTTATATATGGATATATATAGATTGACATATGGTACAAGTAGATATATATATATATATATAAACAAATGTATAACAATAATACGTTAGAAATTGGAATTAACCAAGATATCAAATAAAATCAATACATGGAGTAATCGTAATAAAAGAAATTGCACGCTTAAGGAAGGAGATGTGGACGAGGAGTGGGAGCTGCACCAGAAGCAGTTGGAGATTGGCCTAGATATGCACCGATTGCACCACCTCCGGCAGATTCTGGTACTCGGGATCGCGACTGAAGAACTCCATGAGATAGGCAAAGGTGGGCCGCTCCCTGGGATGATACTGCCAGCAGCTGTGCATGACGGCATAAATGTACGCCGGACACAGATCCGGCTGTGGCAAACGCTGTCCATTATCGACCAGCTCGATGGCATCCTTATTCAATATATCGCCATATGGCGGTGCGCCAAGCGCAAACATCTCCCACAGCGTGACGCCAAACGACCAAACATCGCTGGCATGCGAGAAGATGCCATTGTTGAAGCTCTCCGGCGCATACCAGCGTATGGGCCAGCGTCCGCCTTGCGTGAAATGATACTCATCGCTGCCAGCACGCAGCGAACGCGACATTCCAAAATCACTAATCTTCGCCTGCTGCCGGGATGTCAACAGTATGTTGCGTGCAGCCAAATCGCGATGCACAAAGTGCTGCGTCTCCAAATAATGCATGCCTGAAGCAGAGCAGCAAATGATTATTTAATTGAAATCTTTATAAATTCAAATCAAAGTTTGTATTCATGCTTACCGCTTGCGATTTGCGTTGCCCAGAGCTTCAGTTCGTTGTTGACCTTCAGCTCGGGACTGTGATCGAGTATGTACTGCAGCATGGAGCCGAGTGGCGCCAATTCCTGGACCATCATCAGCATATCACCTTTGGAGATGCCAATGAGTCGCACAATGCACTTGTGCTCCAATCGCATCATCACAGATGCCTCTCGCAGAAAGTCCTGCTTGTTGATGGCATGCTCTTCCTCGTCGCGCAGCGTTTTGATGGCCACCTCGAGACGAGGACTGCCCTCGGAACCGCGACGCAGCCAACCCTTGTAAACGGAGCCAAAGTCACCGGCTCCAATTTCCGGTCCGCACTCCAACTGATCCCGATGTATAAAGAATCGTTGCTTGGCGGCGGCCAACTCATCGCCACTGAGTCCCGATACACTGGCTCCTGCTGCACCTCCGCTGCACTTGCGCTGCAGATAGCCAGCCATTTCGCTCTCTGTGGACCCAGTGGATATAATCGAGTCGAGCCGCGACATCTGCTTCGAGTCGAGCAGCTTGATGGGCTGATCGAGCAGGATGTGCACATCCATTGTGGGCAAATAACCGTTGGCTGTGAGTGCAGCGAGACGTTCCCGCTCAATGGCGACATCGCTCTTGGTGAAATACTCGACTTCCGCCTCAGTCTTATTGGCAATCGGTGGCACCTCAATCGGTGTATTATTCCTTGGCACATTGTACACATCTCCACCAACATCATCGTTATCCACATTAAAGTTGCTAAAGTCCGTTGAGAACGAGAGATTCTTGAGCATCGGAGCAGCCGCCTGCAGCTCCTCCTTGGCCCGGGCGGCGGCTGCCTCAAAGCTGATGCTGCTCTCGGAATCGCTGCGTTTATTCTTCGATTTACTCTTGCGCAGACTGTTCATGTCGAAGAGACTCTTCTTGGGACTGCGCAGCGTATTAAACATGGAGCTAATGTTCTCCTTCTGCTTCTTCTGCTTGCCGGGTGTTGGCACTGCGATGGGATTGGCCGGCATGCTGCTGAGCGGCGGATTGGGCATATCCGTTGCTTGCTTGTGCGTAACACGGGGTATTGTGGCAAAGGAGGGCACCTCCGGCTTGGGCTGCGGCGCCACCGGATGCTTTAGACTGACGGGCAGGCCGTAGGAAAAGCGCATAAAATGCGCCACCAAATGCTCCAAGCTCGGCCAATATGGACCATCGTCAATGTACAGGAATTTTGACTGAAAGACAAATTACATTAAACAGATTATGAAAAAGAGCAAATATTGATGAATTAAAAGTGATTTTGAATCTGCCTCGCAGTCGTAGAAGAGCAAATATTGAACTATTGATAGGGGACAGGCCGAGGGGCTGATCCAGAATTTGAATAATAGATGTTATTGTCTCATTTTTACTCAGAATAATCAGTTAGATTATTAATTCGTAGCTTCTAGAAATATTAAAATTAAAATATATATTATCAGTCCGTTTAGGAACAATATTTTCAAACACATTAAAATTTCACACTTATCAATAATTATGAATTATTGACAATAAGAATGAATCATTTACATGCAATTTAATAAATAATTTAACAAATATTGTTATCAATTTGAATTGCTTACCCCGCCGGAGGACAACTTGTTGCCATTACTGTTCTGATAGAGATCCGCTTGTGAGATGAGAAAGTTTTTGGGCGACTGATCGGCGGTGAGCAGAGTGAGCACGTAGCCAGATGCCGCTCGCGACTCCGAGTAGCGCACCAGAAAGCAACCGGCTGTGTCCACCGGCTGGCCACTGGCCACCTGCTTGCGCTGCAAATGATGGGCAAACTGTTTGAGTATGGAGATGGCCTCGTCTCGCTTGAGGGTGCCATGGTACCACTGCTCCCGACTGGTGCTTGCCGGCGGCAACTTGTAGTTGAGCAGAAATTCCTCAACGGCCGTTTGGCCCGTCTCCTTGGCCAGATCGAAGGGAAACTCGCCGCAGCTGGTGCGTGGTAACGGTGGCGCCTGTGCCTCGAGCAGTGTTTGGACTGCCTCCAAATTGCCATGCTTGGCGGCCTCGTGCAGCGGCACATAACCATTCTCAATGTTGCGTCCCTGTACATTTGCCTGATGCGCGATCAGAATGCGTATAAAACTGGCCGGCTTCTGCCGACAGGCATACTAAAAAAGGAAAGGGAAGGATTAGCAGTAGAACCATTGAATAACTTGTAAGGGTCCCACTCACATGTAATGGCTGGCAGCCAGAAGCATCGGCGCTGTTGACCTGAACGTGTGCATCCAGCAGCAATTCGAGAATATTCTCATTGCAATACAGGGCAGCCAAATGGAGCGCCGTTTGTCCATCCTGATTCTTGGCATCGAAATTGCGATAGCCACATTTCAGCAGCTCAAACACGACGTTGCTCTCGTTCTTGCTGGTGGCACGATGCAACAGATTCGTTACGCCCTGGCTGCGTGTATTGTGCGGCGGCACATCGCCAGTGAGTGGCACCGTTAGTTTTGTGATCAAACCATTCGGTTCCTGTTGATAATAATCCACCAGAGTTTCCAGGCCATGCAAGATTTTCGTCTGACTCTTGTCATCGATGGAGAAGAAGGCATCCTCGCCATGTCGTCGAATCTGATAGTGACACACCTCGCCCTGCAAATAATAATAATTAATATAAATGTGTGAATCAATTTTGATATTTCTAAGCTGCGACATGCACGATCATGTCTAACAACTAACCGTGTTATCGAACACTAAAACACACACACACGCAGACACACACTTATGCAAATGTATGCAGCCTGCAACCTGTTGTTGATGTGTCACTCACCTGATGCAACAGACTCAACACAAAATCGCCAGCTGCTGTGCTGCTTTCGCGCACCAGAAATGTGCCATCCTCGTAACCTGCAAGCCAAAGTAACAATTTACAATTAATGAAAATTAAACACTTTTTTGGGCGAGTCTCAGTGTTGTTGTTGCTGCTGCTGTTAAATATGCACCTTGTTTAAGCAAATCGTCGGCTGCCTCGCGTGTCAAGCGGCCATGATACCATTTCATGTGATCATTGCGCGTCATTATGCTGCCATTTAGAGTCTATGTAATTGTCTGTAATACCGTTCAAAATGTGTACAAAAAAATTCACTTATTAATAGGAATTATCTGTGATAAGTGCGTGCAGTGTTGCACATCAGCTTGCAATCAACTCAAGAAGTTATCGTGATCGTCAGCTGGCAGTTATCGAGCTGCTATCAAACGACATAACATAATCGAGTTACGATTAATTGACTGTCATCGAGGTGGCAACGCTGTTATACTAGGTGCCGCAAAGTGCGCCCGCGCTAATCAAAATTCAATCGGCCCCAAATAAAATAACAATTTGAGTTTAATTGATCGCATTTGTTTTTATCTTTAATGTTGTTTTTTGTTGTTGTTTTTTTCATTTATCCAACTCATTTTTTTGTTGTTGTAGGAGAGAATGGTCTACTAAGAACACAGTATTAAATTGTGGGCGATTATGATTAGTTGGTTTTTGTGTGTGTATCTTAATTCGGCTCAAATACGATGTGTACATTTATATTTTTGTTGTTCTCTTTTTTTTGTTGTTTTGTTTTTGTTTTTTGTAGGTTATGTAAGAATATTCTTAAGCTTAAGCATTTAAAAAACGACTACAGACTATGAAAGAAAGGTTTAAATTATTATTAAATACAAACATTCAATGTCCGAAATGTATGTTTTTTTCTTCTTGTTTTTGCATTAATTTAATATTATAACTATATGTATATTTATATGTATGTATATTTTTGTGTTTTTTTTTCTGTTTAGCTGTTTTGTTTAGGATTATTTTAAGCATTTGAATAATGTACAAAAAAGTGTGCAGCTTTCGTTGTTTGCTGCTGCTGAATTTGATGTTGTTGTTTTTGTTGTTGTAGTCGATTCTTGTTGTAAGTATTGTGGCAACTTAATTGACTAACGGTAGCTAACTACGACATTAAGAGGAGAGAGTTAAGAATCCAGCAAAAACTTATCAACTAAATTGCTTAAGTGCTTTATTTTTAGCATTTCAGTTGTATATAATATATATATATATTGAGGAGTTTTACTTTTGTTGTTTGGCTTTTCAATATTATATATATAAATATATTATGTTTTTAGGCATTTTGTTGCTCGAAACTCTTGACAGCAAATTTACCAGAATTTCAGATTAAATTGCGTTCAAATCAAATACATTCCTAACCATTATTGATTATTGAATTTAGTGCCATTTGTTGTTGTTGTTGTTGCAGTGTTTGTTGTCCTGGATTGGCCTTTTGTTGTTGTTGCTGCTGCTTCTGTTGTTGTTGCAGTTGCCGTTGTTGTTGCTGCTTCTCTGCTGCTCATTTTCAAAAACGATTTCAATTAAAACATAACTAAATTCTAATGTAGAACAATATCTTTAAACATATTATGATCGAAGCATTATTTAAGTAAGCAGTATTCTCGCTCGCTCGCTAATTATTCTCATTTTGCTTGTATTTTGCATGTATTTTCTTCTTCTCATCTTCTTCTTGTTCTTTGTTTTTAAATTTATGACTTTTTCTTTGTTATTTGTTATGTCCTCAACATTTACGCTTTTTTCTTTTTCTTTTCCTTTTTTGTTGTATTATTATTATAATTATTTATATTTGCTTTGTTTTGCATCTTGTGTGTGTGTGTGGGTTTTGCCAGTTAATAAATTGTTTAATTAATTCGCTATTGAAGAGAGCTTTTGGGATACTCCATTCACAGTCTTTGATTTAAGGACATCATTTTCATATGAAAAGACAGTTTCCTTGCCGTTTTCGACGACACTGCAAAAAGAGTAGAAGAAACTAGATGAAAATATTTCTTAAATGAAAATTAAATCATAAATACTTAAAAATTTATGTTTTGGAAAGTTTTCTCCATGTCCAAAAATAAAATTAATATTTTTATTGACCTACCGTTTGGTCATCAATTTTTTGCCATTGACAAATACCGTTGAGGTCGATGTACGCTTAACCGCTGGCGTCTGGTGTCCACCTGCGGAGACGGTATTGCTGGCGGAGAAGGTAGTGAAGCCGCCGGGTGGCAGAAAACAGTCCATCATCTGGTAGTTGAACATGGGCGCACCAAACGGACTCGCCATCTTATGCTGATGATGATGGTGATGTCGAGCAGCTCCATGACCATTCTGGCCAGCATGATGACGTCGACTGCTGCTCGTGCTGCTCGTGGCCCCATTCGACGCCGAATAGCCATTGGCATCTGCAAGATTTAACAAGATTTATTTAAATGTTACATGGTTATAGATAGATATACAGATACTACAGTAATCGCTGAAAGCTGTTTTCAGTTGAGGCCTTATTTATTTAATATAATATTCATGTGTAGTAAATTTTGTAAGCAGAAGAATTTTGTATACCAAAAAGATGAGATTCAAAATGGAATTTAGAATTCCGCTAACATTTCGAGAAGCGACCACTGTATAAAGTTTTGAGAAGTCGTCATACCTCTGAAGAAGTCGGCAAACGGCGAGTTGCCGCCAAAGAATTCGCGGAAGACTTCCTCGGGCGGCCGGAACACAAACGGAAATCCGCCCATTATATCAAAGTCATCGAAGTCATGCGTCGTATAATGATAGCCCGAATGCGTCCGGGTCTGGCCGCGATCGCCCAGCCCATCCTTGCCGTACTCATCGTAAATGCGCCGTTTCTTCTCTGTAAAAAAAAAACAAATATTGAAAGGGGGATTCACCAAAATTCAAATTATTAATCTTCTTTTTGTTAGTAGTCCAGCAAAAAAAACGTTGGCGGAGCGAGCGATTAGACAAGGCCCAAACAAATGATGATCTCTGATGATGATGTTGAAAATGTGTCTTTCGGTTTTAGTTGCTGCTTATGCAAAAAACAAGAGTAACACAAACACAAAAAACGCGCCAAGGTTGTGAGTTCAGCGACATAACAGCAAAAACAAAACTCTCGTAACAAAAACAACAATGGCATCATAACCTCAAAAAGAAAGAAACGAAACTGAAAACTGGCAAACCAAAAAACAAAAAAAAAAGAAGAATGCTCCTCTCTTTGGGAGGGTTTACCAAAGAGTTTGTGAAACGGTGTGCCTTCGAACAAGTTGCGGAAGGTGAACGCCTGATAGCGATTCCCTCGCCTATCGCTGCCGCCACTACTATAGCTGGGATAATAATGATGACGATCACGATCACGATCGCGATCATAATCACGATAGTCAAAGTCACGACTCTTGTACGATGATCCCGTTGTGGCACCACTGCCACCGCTGCTGCGATAACGCGAATAGCTGCTGCTGCCGCTGCTCGCCGATGTTTTATGCAGCGTTGCCCTTGCATCATAGATGCGTCGTTTGCGCGCTAAATACACCAACAACAAATAATAATCGTAATAATAATGGATCCCTTACCATACAAAGCTGTGGGGAGGGGGAGTGGGGAACTTATGGGCAACACTGTTTATAGCGGTGCACTTACCATCGCATAGCACTTCGTAGGCCTCGGAGAGCTCACGAAAACGTTTATTTGCCTCGTCCAAATTGTCCGGATTCTTGTCTGGATGCCATTTGAGTGCTAATTTTCGATAGCTAAAAAATAAAAATGCAAGTTATTAGAGCGCAAAGAAATGGAAGAAAGAGGTCAGCCCCTCTCACTGGAATGAGCATGCCAAAATAGTCATTCCAGTGTTTAGCTCGTAATCAGTATTCCAATAAGAACCTCATTCCACTTGCAATACTTACGCCTTTTTTACTTCACCGTCGGTTGCAGTGCGTGGCACATCCAATACTTTATAATAGTCCACCATTTTGTTGCTGTGTGTGTGTGTTACTTAATAACTGTTATATTTGTTGTTCTTGTTTGTTATTGCCTGTTTTCAATTGCAATAGAATCGCTTCTCGTTCCACTATCTTCTCAAGCGCAACTGCAAAGACAACAATAAAGACAAAACAGAGAAATTAGTATAAGAGATAATAAGAAGAATAGCAGCAGCAGCAGAACACAACAAAATACCGTTGCAAAAACAGCAAATTTGGCAACAAAAAAAAATAGAAAAATTTGACTGTGAATATACTTTTTAGATTTTCTGTATAACTTGCTCTTATTTTTGGCAGTTATTGTTAAAAGGCAAGCCAATGCCTACTGGCTGGCTTCAGGGCAGGCTTAAGATCAGCATAAATCCCAAAAAAAAGAAACAAAAGCAAAGCCAGCGCGATATTTGCTTTAATTTCATTTTCTTGTTTTACATTTTGTACCACATTTCGAGTTCAATGTCGTACGAAAACCTCATTCTCCTTCTCGCTCATTATGAGCCGCCGCATTCGCCCACACACAGCAACAGAGAGACACACAAAGAGAGGGAGACATGCAAAGAGAGAGACCCACAGCATTGCTTAGGCAAGCACACAGGCAAGGCAGGGAGAGCGCCGCTAAAGGTGGACGGACGGCGCATGTGTAGGGCGTTCAGCCGGCAATGCCAGCAGCGACGCTGACTGCGACGTCTGCGATGTCGTTCCACAAGCGCGTGTGTAAAAATTTTATTTCATTGTGTTTGCTTTGGTGCTTTTTTTTTTTAGCGTTTGGCTTTTGGCGCCCATCTTCGCCCCATTGTTTTTCACACACACATTTTTCGTGCAAAACACTCGCTAATTTTATTTAATTTGTGTTTGTTGTTGTTTGGTTCGTTGTCATGCAGCCCCCTTGACACAATTTTTTTTTGTTTTTTATTTGCTTCTCTTATTTTATCAAATAAAATTACAACGGCAATGCACTTATCTCAGTTGTTGTTGTTATTGTTGGCTAATCTGTGTCAATTGTTGTTGTTGTTGCCACATGTTGCCAACGAAAGTGTGCTACAAATCAGGCCCGCAGCTAAATGACAAACATTATTATGCGACTGACCCAAAACCTGAGTGAATAAATTGTTGTTGCTGCCAAAGTTTAAATAACTTGTTGTTGTTATTTGTGTGGGTTGCTTTGAGGAGTTCTTATTGGGCGTTTGTGTGCGTGTGTGTGTGTGTGTCTGTTTGCTTTGCTCTTAAAATTAGTTGGCATTTTTATTTTATTCAATTCTTTTTTTGTCTAATTTATGACTTTGGGTGCTGCGTGTGCGTTCGTCGGCTATTATAAAATTTATTGAATTTAATAAATTCCACGCACTTACGACAGCCAAATTACTTAACTAAATCCACATGACATTTGCTACATCTATCTCTATCTCTGTTTAATTTTGTGGGAACGAAATGGAAAATGGAACGAAGCACACCTGACTGCTAATCATTCACAGTGGGTTAACCAGAATATTTATGAGTGTGCCATTAAGTTAATGCTGTAATTATTTTTGAGGTGACTGGCTACAAAAGGGCAAACCGTATAAAAAATCAAATAAGGCATGAATAGTGTTTGCCATTTAATTTAATTATTTATGCAACGACCTTAAGCAGATTAAAAACAAACAATAATGTTAACAGTAAACTTAACAGCGATTTGACAGTTCCTTAATGTTAATGTTTAACAGTTTGTTTCCCCACTTTTATAGCATACTTTTGTGCTATAAAAAGGACACTCAATAAATTAAACTTTATTTCCTTGTTATTTTATCTATTATTTACTTGCATATGTAAATAAATATGAGGAAATTTGCTCTTTTATCAGAATATTATTTACAGTTCCATTTAAATGATGCATATAAACAATTGCACAATATTTATTAAGCTTATCTTTACAGAGCATGCAAAAACAAGCTGCTGAATCATTAATAAACAATTGTGGTACAACAAAATTATACGATATTTAAGCCAATGTGTCACAAGCTGAAGTAAAGTACAAATTTTATCTGACGCAAGACAAACATAAGAAATTATACTGGAAAAAAAGGACAGGAAGTTCAAAGGTCAGGTTCCACCGAGATTTGAACTCGGATCGCTGGATTCAGAGTCCAGAGTGCTAACCATTACACCATGGAACCAACTTGGCCAGCTTGGCAAAAGTGGCTCATATGAAACAGAGAGCCACCCACTGCGCATGCTGCGCTCTTTTCTTGTGGCATGCAACAGCTTGTTTGTCCATGGCGTCAACAGCTGAGAGAGAGCCAAATTCGACAGGCAAAAGAAGGTCGCGAGTTCAAAGCCAGTCCAAGTTACATCAAAGTTTGACCCACAACAAATTGTGCTTATCTCACAATAATTGTTTGTTGCTTTTATTTTCAATCTTAAATATATTTCTATATATATATATACATGTACACTGCTCAAGGTCACAGCACATGCCACGCCTGCTTTGCATTTAAACGCCTCTTGAATAAGTTGTCAGAAAACTGTTCAAATGAGGCTTGCTCAATGCATATACATATAATATAAAACAAGAAAGTGCAAATAGTTCTCAATCAAGCCGCAGCTTAAATACCCTTCTTGCAGTAGTTGTTTGCAAAAATGTTGATAATTTATTAAGCATATTATAAGCAGCATAATATAACTTACAACACTCGTATTTTCAATTAAACTATCTGGGAAAATTCAAGAGAAATCATCTGGCATCTTATACTTTATAAATCTGACATTGTGGTAAATAAAAGAGTTGTTCATAGAAGAAGTCAACTTCCGACTAATTATTCCTATTAGATATAGGCATATAGGCATATATAGCACCCTATAATTAACCATATTGGCCAAATTTGGATTGGATATCTTGGTAAAGAACAAAGTAAAAAAAAACCGATCTGGCCAGGTCCAATATAACTACAATTAATTCATGGTATATATCCCAAGTTTCATAAAGATAACTTTAAAGCTGTGTCAGATTTCAGTCAGTTATCAAGATAGTGATGTTAATCAGGTATTTAAATATATTTAATGGCATCAAAGATGTTCCCTTGTACACCCTTACAATGTTCACAACAAATTTGTAACACCCTCTCTGCCAGCGTATAAAACATATTATCGCTTATGTATGTATATATATATATATATATACATACATATATAACTATGTATAAATATATACAAACTAGCCGACTAGCTGCTACATTTATATAACAAACGTATAGCTATATAAATATATATGTATATATATATGTATATAAATATATATGTATATATAATGTCTATATACCTGTTGACATATTCGGCAAATTCTAGGTCGTAGGTGTAGGAACTTGTAGCATTGTCTAAAAGCAGCAAATGACGACAACGACGACGACGACAACGTTCAAATTGAATCGTTTGCTATTTGTTGCTGTTGTTGTTGTTGCTGTTGGCCAGCAGACTAGCCGCATGACACACTAGTCTCGCCGGGAGAGGGGTTTCCTCCCCACCCCTACCATCACCATCATCATCATCATCGCTTGCCACTGACGTCTGAAGATAGAACTGTTGCTGCTGCTTCTGCCTGCTGCTGTTGAGTTGAATTTCACAGCTGTGGCTGCTGACTCAAATCACAGCCAAATATCGCTGGCGGCTATAACGCATCAATCCGAGTCCACCACTTGCTTCAATTTTTTTAGTTGCTTGTGGGCGGGGTGCGACAACATTTAAGGCATTTTTATTGTTTGTTTCTGTGCTCGCTTAGACGGCAAGGCAACAACATTGCGAGGAACAGCAGCAGCAACAATTAATTTTAATACCCTTTACAAAACAGATCTAAGAATAAGCAGTTAATCTATCGATAAGAGAAATTTGAATCATAAACTATAAAAAAAAACACGGCGTCCAAATGGGTTTCTTTGTTTCCTTAATCCCAAAAGTTTTTCTTTCATTTTACGGAAGGAAGTGAGGCAGACTATTTTTGATTTGGCAATGCTTTGTTGATCGATTGTTATCTTCACTTATCTATATATGTAAAGCTTTGCTTATCAGCAGTTAAGTTCAGTAATCGATTCTTAATCTTCCATTCAATGGAATGAGGTGCAACAAGGACTAATTTTGATATCATATCTATATGCAGCAGTTATCTTCAATAATCGATTGTTAATCTGTGGAAAGGACTAATTTTTATGTGGCAATGCTTTGCTGATCGAGAATCACATTTCATTATCGATAGCTATCTGTACGTAAAACTTCAACTGACAGCTGTTATCTTCTGTAAATCTCTAATAAATATCTTTCTTTTACATAAGCTGACATTTGTGCTTGGGCTTAACTTTCCAGCCAAAGCTATTGGAAATTCACCACAGACTCCAGTTAGGGTATCGAGAAAATGTTGGCTGCGCTTGCCTGATGCTGCCTACGCAATTGGTTGGTGGGCATCAAACCTGAAATCGCTCCAAAAATTATGTATGTGGTTGCTTTGCTTGTTGCTCGCTGTTAGTTGTTGTTGTTGCTTGTGGCTTGCAGAGTTGTTGCTTATGCAAATTACATCACCGCCAACGGCGACAGCAGCATCAATCGATAATCGATAGATAAATGACTCTGGAGACAGACAGCGCAGACTTTGATATAAAGCTTGGCGTTTTTCTCTTTCATTTTTCACACTTTCCATTTTATATTTGTTGGTTAGTTGCAGCAAGTTTGTTTGTTTATCGACTGTGGTTGTTGTTGTTGCTCGTACGCACTCAATTAATGCGTAATTGTGTCGCTGCATTGATAAAGCAAAAATAAAAAAAATAACCAACAAACAAGCAGCAAGCGAGAAATAACAAACATGACACGACACAATCAGCAATCAGCTGCTGCTGCTGTCTGTGTAACAATAATAAAAGCGATACAAGAAGAAGCAGAAAAAGAGGAGGTGGCAACAACAACAACAACAGTTGGTTGCGTGTTAATTACATGCACTGCGTGCTGAGCCACTTTGCTGATTGATTTTCTTCGTCTCACTGTTTGTTGTCGTTACTGTTACTTATTTTGTTGTTGCTCATTTTGCCATAACCTACTTCTTGTGCAAATGCAATATCAATATACACAAACACACACACACGCACATAATGAA